ATTGCAATCTCTCAGACAATTTTATCTCCACATATCAATATTAAAAGAATATTCGTGCGAGTAAAATAAAGTAAAATAAAATCGACGCTACTGGCAAAAATTAACATCATCAAATCGAGCGATCGAGAAATAAAAAACGTCGAACGCGATCATGCGCATACATACCCGTCGGGGACTCGTCCGCGTCACGGATCCCGTTGACATGGGGAAACGATGTTATCCTTGCGGTAATCTGGCCGATTATTACGCGCAGCTGGCATTTTTCGTGCCACCACACGGCGTGGCGAGCCGCCGATCCGCGAGGAACGAAGGAGAGAGGGCGGACGGAGGGTTGCGAATATCCGAAGGGCGAGCTCGTCATAGTTCGCTGCTGAATTATTGATGGGCAGCACTTAGAAGGCGAGGATGTCAGGACACGCGGTGGCGGCGCGCAAGGCGGTAGCCTTTCCCGAGGATCGGCTAAGAAGGATACGGCGGCGATGGTTGCGCGAGGGACCACTATCTCTGGTCCCGTGGGACTCTCCCGGGACCACGCGAGCCCTCGCTACGCCGCCGCCGCTGCCCAATTCCAACCAATTTGACCGAAAGTTGGGCGTAATTTTATTTTCACACGTCTGCAGACGCTCCGCCGCGCGGCCGAACGTACGACGAAGAGCTTGCGAGGGCAGCTGCTGCGTGCTTAGGCTCAGCTCTCCTCCGGTTAAGTCCCGTTCCTCATGGGGGTTGGATTCGGCACGGTCAAAGGAAACAGAGAAAAGAGAGCATCCCCTGTTTCCCCGCGCTCTTTATCTTTGCGCAATCAACGGCGGAAACGTCGACTCCTCCTAGTCGTCTTGCATCGGCCTGTGTTTCCGTGAGGCGGTCGATGGAAACGTGTAGAAACGCAAAGTCTGAATCGTACTTATAATCATGTTTGCAACAGCGACGACATTGCGTCGGCTGCATTTTAACCCCGTGAGGCCCTGTGAGGTCCACCCCGTTCGAGTAAAATTCTTTTCTTTATATACAGTCATAAAAGACTTTATATAACAGTCATAAAAGACACTCCTGATGAATCCGAGTCGAAACTGTAGTCTTACCTGTCAACCTAAACGTTCTAATATCTGTGTATTCTGAAGAATCAATGTACGTTTAATACAAACGGAAATTAAAGTCGCACTTGACGCCCCTAAATGGCGGGAACACAAAATGCCACTTGTAGATTCTAAAGAGGATCTTACGGTAAAGTTAGCAGTTTAAACAGAATCGAAAGAGATACAGACACTAGAGACTCATATTGAGCCCTCGTATTGAAATCGGCGTTAAATGAATTATTAAGGTCAAAAGTAGGATCAAGTTTTCGGATCCTGCAAAATATATAGAAACAACAAGATGTACCCACAGAATGACACATGCAATCAATCGAGCATGTCCGTAAAATAATCCCCGAACACTTCTCTTTCATTCTAACAATCAACAAATAAATATAAAAAATTTCGGAAGACCCAAATGTGTATACGTACATAATTATTGTACTGGGCCTTAAAGAGTTAATAAACCGTGTCTGCCAAGGGTTAAAAGGACGCGCGGAGAAGATCCTCTCGACGTGAGATATCGGCGGAAAAGTTTCGCGCACACTCCCATGCAAAGTGTTACGCTCTATCATTCCACGGAAGGGAAGAATCTGTCATTATCCCTTTGGGACGACACCGTCGCTTGTAAACGAAACTTCACCGAGGGGCAGGAGGGAGAGTCGAGAGTGTCGCGGAATGTCTGTAAAATGCCAAAACAAGATTCTGACACGGTAGTGGCGGCTTATACCGGGGCTGCTCTCTCTTTCTCTATCTCTATCTGTCTTCCTCCCTTTCCTTTCGTTTTTACGACTTCCGATCCCTGTTCGGGCGGCAGCGAGAATGGTCATAATGGGTTACCGTCGTGTTGGCACATCTCCGCGTGAGGGAGAGACAAGCCCAAGCCGGGAGTAGGGAAAGTACCGTCGCGTTTTACAGTCGTTAAGCGCAATAGCGAACGAATAAAAATCCCATCGCGTCTCGAATCATTTCGGCTTCAAAACCGTCGGCTCTGCCCCCGCCGAGTCTGTCCCTTCGGCTTGGCCCGCGCGTTAGAAATTGCGGAAGTTGGTTAATGGGCTAACTCTTAAGTCTGATGCGTTTCTGGGGACAGATTTCGCGGAGTTTCGCGTTTTTCGATTTAGGCGCAGCGGAGTACTCTCGAGCGAAAAGAGTTAATAGCGTCTTTTAGCGTTTAAGGCTCTTGGCTATTCGTTGCGGCCGGCTTGATTAATGACGTCAGAAGTGAGAAAACGCACGCTTAAAATTCTAGTAAAATACGTGGAAATAAAGAGATGTGTAAAATCACACTTGAAATCGATCGAGCAGATAAAATAGTCCGAACACTTTACTTTTGAACTAACAACCGCAAAATTAAAGCTCCTTGCATCTCGCCGTGGCTATGTTGAATTTATAACGTTAGAAATGAGAAACGATATATTGACGAATGTACGTGCCATTTTTAAATAAAGATAAATATGGACGAAAGAGTATTTGAGACTGTTTGAGCATACTTGTAAAATTGTCTGAAAAGTATCTCTCTCCCCTGACAATCGTATAATAAATGGTGAAATGAAGACAAAATAGACTCATTTCATCATTTATTATACGCAGACAAAATAGACTCATTTCATCATTTCACATGTCTCATTTCATCATTTATTATACGCAGACAAAATAGACTCATTTCATCATTTCACATGTCTCATTTCATCATTTATTATACGAATATTTATTAATCATCAGGGAAAAGGGATATCTTTCGGACCATTTTACAAGTATGCTCTGACAATCTCAAATGCTCTTTCGTCTATATTTATCTTTATTCAGAAATGGCAAGCAATTTTCATCAATATGTCATTTCTCGCTTCTAATAAAATCTGATATGGCTGGCAAGATACAAGGAGCCAACATGATAAAATCATGAAAAGACTAAATTAAAGCGAAATGTTGCATATTACATTAATTTGAGTTATTTATTGATTGTTAGAACAAAAAGAAAGTAAACTATTTTACACTATTTTTGCAAATCGATTGATTGTGTCATTTTATAGACATCTTTTTTTAATTTTTGCGTATTTTGCAAGGATTTTGAGTGTGTATTTTAATTTCTGATGTCATCAATCAAAAGTTCTACGGTAAGGGACCAAGAACTTTAAATTAAACGAGGAAAACAGGCGGCACCTAGAAATCAGTGCTCGTGGATTTGGTCATATGTGATCTTTTTTTTGCACCCCCAGATATCGATGACTTCCATCGCGCTCGATAAGTCATTAAAAAAAAAAGTTAAACCACACAATTATTGACCTCCCTCTTAGTCATTGACACTCTAGAAAAATCTAGTTTTTCTTGGAATCAACGTGTGAATAAACATCTATCCACATTTTCAGTTGTGAAATTCTATTTTGGAATCAAAGAAGGAAACAGGAAGTTTAGTTGCAATGCTGGTCGCAAGAGAGACCAGGTTTTTCTAAAGTACTAAGGCCTAATGCTCATTTCTGCCAATGTTGAATAAATCTTAACCTGCTTCCCAAATTTCTTAGAGTGAAATTTTACTCGAAAAGTAGAGTAACTATCAAGCCATTCTAATTCGAATGGCTTTTCACTCATACAAAGTGAATTCTCCATTCTTAATCGCCGAGTGAATATTTCCACTTGAAATAGGGAAGTGAATGGACCTATTCTCTCTAATCCACAGTCATTTATATGGAGTCATAATTAAACACATTCCTTTGAATGAAATATTCACCCTTGCGAATTTCAGTGACAATATTTTCACTATCGCTTTGAGTGAGAATATTGCCACTTTTCATTCGCGTTTTAGTGAGGTTTCAGTTAAAAATATCCGGAGAGTGAGTTGAGAGCTTTGTCTGAACAAAGCTTAAACTCAGGTTAAGCTTTAACTGCCACAGGGATGCCAATAACTGGGTGGTTCACCCTATGTGTCGCAATTTTGCAAGATCTTCGCAGCGCCGGCGACGTGTACTCGAGGGAATGGCTCGACAACGTGGTCCACCCGCGCCAGCGCGCTCCTACGAGCGTTCGTTAAAAATGAAAGGTTAATGACCAAGAGAGCCACCAAGAAATAGACTTCGCACGCAACGCGAACCACCGTACCATTGGCCGGCGTTTACAGTTTAAATGTAAAACCGGTACCGAGGGGCCGACCATTGGGCGTGGTTACGTTACGTCGATGTTCACTCGCGAATACACTCGCCGGCTTGTCAGTAAACATGGGCTTCATAGCGCTTGAATAATGTATGCCGCTTAAGCGGTAGCTGCGCTACGACACATCGCCACGCCTCTCTTCCTTTATATCTATTTGCGCGACCGCATAATTCGAGCCCCGCCGTGTACACGCTGCACGCTGGTGTAGTGCGCGGTACGCGTTTCTGCAAAATAACGCCCACCACCTCTGTTGTGTTCTTCACCGTGTTGCTCGCCATTAACAGGAAGAGTTGGAGAAAGAGAGAGACGCGAAAGCCGCGCGCCGAGAGCACACGAGGATCCGCAAAAGGAGCGCGACGCGATGGTATGGAGCGAACTTACGGACCGATCGCCGTCCTGCTCTGTCTGACCGAGTTGTCGTCGAACAAGCATTACGACCGAACGCGAGAATATTTATCGAACTGTTAAACCTTTAACCGACAGCTCCTCGTAGTCGAGCGAGCCGCTGCACCGACGCTAAGCGCCGCAATTTCACGCTGGCGATTCTAGCTGGCGGAAGTAATTGCCCGATTGAACGCGTCGGAGGACCTGAGGTTAAAGGACCGAGCGTTTGCGCGCTCGGAAATTATTTGAGGTTTCTTTGGGGACACTCTCTGTGCACACGCGAAAATCGCAATCGCCATTCGTCGATATTGCGTCTTCGCCGCACAAAATCCGTTTACAGAATGTATACATGACTGTGTCGCTGTGTCGCCGTAACCTCTGGCGCTCTTTGAATTACAGTATCTTGGAGCTGCGCAAGGAGAAGAGCAGGGACGCGGCGAGGTCGCGACGGGGTAAGGAGAACTTCGAGTTCTACGAGCTTGCGAAAATGCTTCCACTACCGGCGGCCATTACCTCTCAGCTGGACAAAGCATCTATAATAAGACTAACAATTTCGTATCTCAAACTCCGCGACTTCTCCAGCCACGGCGATCCACCGTGGTCTCGTGACGGTCCACCGCCCATCAAATCTGTCAAAGGTAAGGCAGTCGTGTTTTTCATCGTTGCAAACCAATAGACGATGTGGATTCTGATCATTGTGTTTTGCGCTGAAATCACGATCAAAGCTCACATCATAGCGATCTTTATACACGGAAAAAATATTATAGTTTTTTATAAGTTGTCTCTTCAATTTTAATATTTTCTAAGTAGTGCAGGAATGGACTATCGGTAAGATCTGCACTGAGAAAAAAATGTTTAGAATTTCTAATTATAATCACACACACATAAAGAAATAATTACTATAAATTATAGTCAAGAAAACTAATTTTTATTAAATTCTACTATAATGTTAGTGCGAATAATTTTATATTACTACTACAATTTTCTTGTTAGAACAATCGTAAAGTATAGTTGGGGCCAAAAATAACTATAATTTTAGAACAATTTTTTCTCTTAGTGTTTTGTTAAAGAACATAGTAAAAATTCATTCAAAATAATAGCAGAAATACCACTGCTCGAAAAATGAAGGTTTAACTAAAACTTAAAATAGGTTTTTGATCCATGCGAGTGATTGTTTCAATGAATTAAAGTGAATTTGTTCTTACGTCGGTGAGATTCACTCTTCCATTTCAATTGGAAATATTCAGTCAACGATTCAAAGAGAATAATTAACTCTACGAGTGAAAAATCACTAGAATTCAAGTGACACGACTGTCGCTCTACTTTTTGAGTAAATTTCACTCGAAAAATGTAGAAAGTTCATCAAATAACGATCGCGAAGCTATTACTGTAGCATATAACAAATAGCTTGTACATAGCTTCAAGTTCTGTCGACAGAAATTTTTATTTCGATTTTTTCACAAATACGTTACATACTGCACTGTCGATTACACATTTTTCGTTCTAATTTATTCCGATAGACTCGGTCGACGACGATAGTTCGGGTTCGATGGAGATATATCTGCCGATGATGTCTCTTGATGGATCAGCGTTTAACCTCGGATGGGGGAGTCACACAGACTGTTAATAGGGATCAGGACCCATATTCCGTAGACCTAACTTTCTCTCAAGGGATAAGAATAAGAGAGGAAGTCAGCCGCGTTATAATTCCTTTACGCTCGCGTCGTCTGCAGTAGAGTAGACTGGCATTGTGGCGGACATGTGTAAATGTATCGTCACAATGTGTCTCGCATCGTACACGTGATACGCGTCTCATCTTTTTTTGGCACAGGAGACGTTTCGTGCGAGCAGTCACGCGAAAATATTTCATACTGTTAAGTGCAAAAAAAGAATTATTACATAGTCGTAGCTTATCGTTAGTCGATTTTCGTTTGGTTAACGACAAATGCCGCGTGAATATGCAAACTTGAGGCGACGATGACTGACGGACTCCGTATTGAGAGCTTGACATTTTACAGTTAAAATACAGTTAAAATACGATTGATTGTGAGAAAAATAAAGAATAGAGGTGGAAATGAGGGAGGAGGCGCGCCACCCCCATGCGGCCTGGTCGTAATCGCGTTAAAGCTAGCAAGTCGGCCTGTCTCCGATTATGGATGATGTCTTTCCGATAGACACGTGTCACCTAATGTTAGGCAGAATCGACATCGCGTCGCAACATCGTTCTGTAATTCGATTTGTGCTTTGGGTAGATGGAATTTTTTTTCGTAAAACGTCCACTTCGCGATATCGCGTCTCCGACAGCTACTTGATCTGATGAGATACTTTGACGTGTGTCTATGTAGTAGTAGAGACTGGGCGAGATGCTATCAGAATTTCGAAATTTTAACTTCCCAAAAAACTAATTGTGATTGACAAATATGATAGGAACAATCTTCCTCTGTGTTTATGCTGTAAACTACATAGTTTGTTCTGTAACAAATGAAATACGAACATGTAACCAGTGTGACCTTAGTACGTCTTACCTTGGTACCAGATTAAATTGACTAGCAGCCCAGAGTAAGAAGCCCAGAATATATAAAATATGTGCCTCGATTATATATACTGAAAGATATCTTGAATAGTTCCGAAGTCTCCGTGAGAGGTCTCCACAACGTTCTACCGATCCTTAAATAGTAGCTTTTCTCGTTCGTCCATATGCTCGATTTCAATCATGTTATAATATAAAATTGTTTTTATTACCTGAAACAGTATCATTTTCACTTGCAGAAAACTTTATTCTTACTAATAATAACATGTCGCTTAGGTTTATTCATTCACGATGGAGGATATTAATACGCAATTTCAAAATGCGCGAGAATGCGCTTGACTGCTTCTAAATCAGTTTTTCTATTTTTTAATCGTAATATTATTCCGATTTTAATGAACGAAACTCCTGAAGCTGAGGAAAAAATAGCTATGTTATAAAAGGAACATTTTTCGTTTCCTCTCATGATAAACAAAACACGTAGTTAATTAGACCTGGTCTCCTCTAATTATAAATTAATGATAGGAGAGAAAATTAGGTAAAAATAAATTATAGTAAAAATATATGTTGATATAATTTGATATAAAAATATATTCATTAAAGAAAATATTGATGATTATATATAATAAAAATACATAAACAAAGTACATATATTTCCTGGATTCGGCCTCTCTTAACTCCAAGTAAAAATCAACACTAAGATTCTATCAAACGCAATCTCCTTAAGGAAACAAGCAAGCTCATTGGCAATAGATCGTGCTTGCAGATATCCTTTATAATTCCAGCGACCATGCAGCCGGCAAGAGATTTCTAGATACATAGTAATAGAGAATTGTCGACGATCATCGAACGATACGATCGCCGCGGGCCTCCTTCATTTTCGTGCTTCATTTAGCGAAAAGGGCGCAATTTTATTCTGTATTGCTCTTCTGGTTAATCGCTTTCTCTATCTTTTCTTTGTTGCAACATATCTTTGCGCCTGTTTGGCAGATTTGGTTTTCAAAAATAAAAGAGAAAATTGCACATAGCAAATGATTTGTATAGTCGATAGGAAAATATCAATAGTCAAGTAGGCGCATGTTGCTTTAATGTTTGAAATTATTTTTTTTTAAATAACGTGTTTAGCTCAACATTTTAATCTCACTTTTGATCTGAACTTTTTAACATCTCTATATTATAAAGGATCAGTGTTATATGTTTAATATACATGAAATTGAAATCTCACTTCAGAAGCCATTTAACAATTACGCCACACCACGAGGAGGAGGGTTTAATAACTTACGTGATGATCTGTGATGGCAGAGAGTAAAGGGTGAAGAAGTAAAGGCTATGAAACGTCATATGTATTATATGCATATAAATTTTTATATATCTGAAAATATTATATTCTATAAAAATAATTTAATTTTGTGTTATTTTAATCAAGATTTTAATTTTGAGATATTTATTTATTTTTTAATACAATTCTTACTAATTACAACTATAAAATAAAGTAATTAATTTGATATGTTCAAAAATTATTTGTATTTTGTATTTTAAAAAAATTATTTGTAAAATTATTTGTAAAAAATTATTTTTATTTTAGAAAAAGGCAACAGCACGCGATCTAATTATTATTCATAATATAATTGGAAACTATTTTTTTATTTTTAGAGTGAGATAATTCCATATATGATATAATATTGGAAGGGGGACTTGTGATGAAGGAGAAGGAAGGTAAAAATACTCAAATTTCGCATAATTGACGTAATTGTTAAATGGTCCCTTAGCGGCTCTGAATGGCAGAAAACACATAAAATTTCATTCAAGAGGATCTCTCGGCAAAACTAGTAGGTTACATAGAATCAAAAGATGTTGATATAAGCTTCAGATGATATAAGCTTGGTGTTAAATAGAATATTGAGGTCGAAGATATGATCAAAACTCGGGCAGCTTCTAAAAATTCATTCTGTCTGTTATTTTCTTCTTTCACGCGAGGAATCATCTTTTAACAGATTATACAGTTTACTAGACCAACCGTGTAATTCAAACGCATTCTTTGAAAAAAAAAAGACGAATTTGTTGTTAACTGAATGATAACTCGCCAAGAACAAATGTTCCCGCTATTATCCGCGTTTCGAGGAGGAAGAAAAAAATCCTTTCTCCTTGAAAAGGAATAACGAAGGCGGCGTTGTTGAACGTCGGGAAACTTACTTGTAGCCACCGCATATTTTCGGAGTGCGAGGGGCTGGTTGAGTTAATATTTACAGTGCGGGAGGGTCGCGAAAAGAGATAGAGAAGTTCCGCACGTACGCGAGTACGTATAAAGGCTTAGGTACATCCACTACTATCCACATGGAAATCTAATCACGACAACCCCTACGCGCGGGCGGGCGGGCGCGCGGGCGCCTCGCGTTACCAACCGCCAATGTAACTAAACTAACAAAATTGAGTTAGGTACCGCGCATCGCTGCCACAACTCCTCGTCAAACTAAATCCAGTGCGCCCCTCTTCCATTCGCACCGCATGTCAGGGCCACTGCCGGGACGCGACGAGGCCTCTCGACTTAACCGAGTAAAATGATTCGAGATTTCGAAGCTGCGGCGGCAGGCCTCTCCTCCGTGGTCGATTCGCGAGGAAGTCAATCCGCGAGAGGTAACCCAGTGTGTGATAACGGCCGATGTCGCACTCATAACGCTATAATTACGTACTGCTTGCTCGGAAGCGCCGACATAGTTATTTTTCTAGCTGTCCAGAGCAAACACGGTCGAAAGTTATATTTATCAAAATATTGTGATAAACGGCATAAGGGTGAAGTGTATCGGAGATGGACTTGCGAACGGGAGCTGTGCTGACCGTGGCTGAGCGAGCGAATGCTCTAAGTACTCTCATCGGTCTAACGGTTCGCTCATCGCAATTCATCTTGGTCGAAAGAACAAAACGTTTTACTCGTCTCGATCGTTGTACTGACGATATATTTCTCTAAATTTCGTAGAGTAAAATTTTACTCGAAAGGTATAGCGATCACTGAGCCACTCGAATTCGAATGATTTTTTGTATATAGAATCAATGTATATAGTTTAATAAACAATTTAATGATAAATTTAATGCATTAGAATTCGGCATACAAAATTGCTGTAGTTGCCACTTGTATAATAGTTGTTATCATTATGTCTTTTCCTCTGAGTGTAGAATGAACTCTCTACTCTCTGAAATTGAAAGAATTCATTCTCTGAGTGAATATTTTTAATGAAATTGAAGAGTGAATCTGATGTACCCCATTCTCTGCAATAGAATCGGTATATTCCTCACAATACTACATTCACAACTGGTGGTTTAGTTATAAGTATAGCATTGCAATTAGTAAAATCTCGCTGAAAGGATCAGTTAGTAGTAGCGACTATTCCCATTATTGATAAATTATGCGATCACAGACAGTGTCATTGCATGTAAGGTGCATGGAAGTCGCGATTTTCATCGTCACAAACACAGAAAATTGGATTTGGTATATCGTGTAATGAATTTGTGTACTACAGATTTTGCAGTGAAGTTTTACGTCCACTGGTTAGGTTAGGTCAAAATCATTGAGATATAATACGGAGCAGTAGAGTGAGAGTGTTTTTATTAAAAATCAGTGGATACTGATCATCGGTAATCACTGGTTATCAATGAAATAATGCTTTTATTGAATCACTGATCAACAGTGAAATAATACTTCTTATTGAATCAATTATTTTTATTGCCTCACTCTAAGAAAGTACCGTCATAGGAACACACCCGAGTCGAAATTTTAACCCTACTTTCAGCCTCACTATTCCACTCAACATTTATTTTAATGAAAGTAAGCTAAAGAAAGTAAGAAGGGAAATTTCGGACATCATCCGGTAAATTGTATTATTAGAATTAAACCTACTTTGCTAACTTAGGTTCTACTGCGTCATAGAATTCAAGATTTAACATAAGGCCAAGATTTCGATTCAGGATAGTCACTCTGATTGATTGAAACATTAGCTCTTACAAAGTCCACTCCAAGTGTAAGCGAAATATTCACTTTTGTGATTTCGAGTAGCAATCTTTGCACTATCATCATTTCGGATGAAAATACTGCCGCTTTTTACTCGTAGTTTTGAATAAAACCCCACTACAAGAAACTTAGAAAGCACGTGTTCCGTACTTATCGTTATAACGATGCTTCCGAACGCGTTTTTCACGGATTCGGTCAATGAGTACACGTTTGACGGGGCGGACTTGCGATTCGGGGAGAACAAAGGCGTTCGTCAAGACGAAATCCAGTTAGATTATCCCGCAGTCCTTCTCTTATACGGCTGGAATATCGGCATTACCCTGTTGACCGAAAACCCGACGTGTTAGGGTCAGTCCGACGAGTCGAGCTATTCCGCCTCATCCCGATGGACTTACGAGATTAAGCGGTTCGCGCGCGAGTTTGATCGAGTCTTCTAAGTCTTTCATTACGGACTACTGGGGAGCGTGGGATTATTATTACGGTAAGAAGTAGCTCGTCTTGTTTGTTAAACGAGGGGAGAAAGAAGGCGTAAAAGGGGTCGCCGAGGTGATGGTTCAAGTCGGTACCGCGTATGTCGCGTGACTCACGTATCGCTGATCAATCGAAGGAGGTAACTTTCTTGATAAATACTCTCCGATTTATCGTGACTTTTCAGCATCGCGTCATCGAGTGTTATCGTCGGAACAAATTTTAATTGTGATCATCGACATCAAGTGAAAACAGTGAAATCGGATAATGATTTAATATCAATCAAGACATTTCGATGCGCTGCGAAATGCCAAGAGAAATTGTAGGATTCGGTAGTTAGAAATAATATTAAATGTTTACGCATTAAAGTGAAAGAAACCAATGTCGGAACATGTCTAACCAATGTCGAAACATGTCTAATCCTGGATATTCTGATAGTTTTGGTCTTTAAATACAAATATTTAAACTCTCGACATAAAATATGTATATATATGTTGAATATATACACGGAGAGAAAATTTGGTTGTATCAAGGGAAAATTATCAATGCCAGAGCATTGATAATACTGATATCTAACTCTGGTCACTCTTATTTTGTGTGTTTTCGGGCTTTTTAATACAAATGTTTCAATTTTTAATATAGAATATATATATATATATATATATATATATATATATTGAAAGTTTAAATATTTGTATTTAAAAACTAAAAAATAAGAATGTCCAAAGGTAGATACCAGTGTTATTAGTGTCCAGGCATTGGTTTCTATTTTAACATCCCGAGTCAAAATTTTGATGCTATTTTCAGTCTCACTATTCTATTCAATAGCTAAAGAAAGTGAAAAAGAATATTTCGGACATTTTGAACATCAAAGTCAAAGTAGGAGTAAATTGTATCATTAAAATGAAACCTACTTTGCTAACTTAGCTCCTATTACGTTATAGAATTTAACAGAATTTAAAGTTTAACAGAAGGCTTAACAGAAGGACACAAAATTTCTATGGTTCTGTGCTTTCAAACCAAATTGGCTTATAAGAACTAGAAATCCCGTTTCTTTCAACCAAAACGTGTTGGTCCATTCGTCACAACTAAATTCCTTTTTCCATGTACATACATGGCGAATCCATGTAAATTCTATATTAAAAGTTTAAATGTTCGTATTTAAAGACAGTAAGAATGTTTAGGATAGGTTTAAGATTTCTGTGTACACACAGAAATTGGTACTTTTACCGTCTATTTAGGACGTGGCGTCGTTAAAGTTGTCTTCATTCGCAGGTGCCAACCGAGTCAGATCATCGACCAGCGCAGCGATAGATCATTTTGAAATTCATCAAGGTACTCACATATTACAGGTAAGTTTATCCTTTGTTTTCTGTTTTGTTTCACACCACTACGAACGATAACGCGTTCTCAACGAAGAGTTACGTAGAATTTAATGAAATCATATGCTCTCGACTTAATAATAGCCTCCGATGCCTGGTATCGTGCAAATTATTGCATCACGCGAGTTATTTCAAAGTTCCTAATTAAAGTTCGAGTCTCGAAGTAACTCGCAAATGACAAAATCGCCGACGTTCATCGAAACGCTTATGAGATCGTGTGAACGTTCGGAGGGCATCATCTCCGTAGCTTTCGGTAATATCCGACCAGAAATTCCTCAAGTATCTCGTATTTTCTGTCGCTAGTCCCTGGACGGTTTCGCGATGGCTGTCGCGGCTGATGGCAGATTCCTGTACATATCCGAGACCGTTTCCATATATCTCGGCCTCTCACAGGTAAGCGTGTCTCGCTGCAGCGGGATGTCGATGAAACGGGCGAACAAGACGGACGCGAGCTAGGGGGTGCGTAGTAGGGAAAAGTGATAACGATAACGAGAAAGCGAAAGCGAATAAAAAGCAACGCGAATGCAACGTGCACCGCGGCCGGAAGACCGGAGATAGTGGAAAGGTATGGGTGTGGGAGGGCGGCAGGGAAAAGTTGACGGAAGAGAGAAGGAGGTTGAAGCGTTAAAGTAGTAGTGGTGGTGGTGGTAACGGTGGTACCAGCAGTAGCAGCAGCAGTTATAGTAGTGTAGTGGTGGAGGTGGTGGTGGCGGCGACGGCGGTGGTAGTGATGATGGTGGTAGTGGTGGTGGTGGTGGTGGTGGCGGCGGCGGCGGTGGTGGTGGTGGTGGCGATGGTGGCGGAGGTAGCGAAAGAGGAGGAGAAGGAAAAGTTGATAGCGTTGTAGAAGAATAAGGAGGAGAGGTCAAGGGAGGAAAAGAGGAGAAGGTTGTACGAGTTGGCGGCCATACTGGCTGGCACGACGGCGAGCATGACATAGAAGGGGGAAGGATGGGTGGATGGCGGCGGGCGGAGGTGGTCGCATGCGGCTCACGTAGCCTCTGCACGGCGGCGTGTTCGCCATTCCTAATGCCGCTCGCTCGCGAAGGTGGACGGGGAAAGAGAGTAGAAGCGGCGCGGGGTAAAGCGCGGAGGAGGTGTACGGGAGGTGACCGGTGTACTAGCTCTCTCTCGGTTCTGCGAAGCTCGTGGGGCAATCAATAGGGTGTTTCGGGGATTCGGAAAACCGACGGAAAGCCGACGTTGGCACAAACATGGCTGCCGTGGCCTCTCCGCGGAAAGGCCCCGGCAACCGCGGCCACTTCCCTCGTTACCTCCAGGTGTACCCCCTGCGTACCCTCGCCTGTTTTCCGACGCGTTGCCGAAATCAAGTCGCGGCCACATATAAGAAACGTCTGGCGGCCGGCACGATATATAATTTGGTTTCTAGTGCGCTCTTCTTAATCCTTTCACGGATTAATACTATTTTCACAATAATATTTATTTTCGCTATTCATTATCATTCTTAGCAGCGTAAAGAGATGATATCTAATTTTTTTTTGTATAATTTTCTAATCAATCACTTTGGAGAGAGCAAAATGTTGTCTCGGGGAAAGAATTCTTTAATATGCTACATTACCTTCAGTGCAAACTGCATTTTACGTAATAACAGTTTTTTTACTTTTCATACATCGTAATAATGCACGAGAATATTTCGTATAATCTATTTTCATAATAATAAGTGAAATATCATAGCAATTTTTATAACAAGTGAAATAAATTACATTTATTTGTGGAGCTGTGTCAACTCGGAGTAGAAGAGACGACGAGTACCGAGAATTCACTAGTTTTTATCACTACAATTGATAAAATAAAAGCCCCGCCTACAAAGTCATGAAAGATAGTCTTGTCAACAATGTCGGGCAGTTTGGGGAAAAATACCGATTATATAGCTCGACGTTCGCGTCGACTCTAAAGGTTGCCTCAGGTCAACAACGAGTGACAAAGAGTTAACGAGACGTAGCCAGATGGTTAGCACATAAGTAGCCAGGACCGATATATAACATTTCCAATTAGGAATAAGGCGAAGGGAACGAAGATTGTGACGAAGAAAAGAAGATCGTGCCTTAATTTCAGGTAGAAATGACGGGGTCGAGTGTTTTCGATTACGTCCATCAGCAAGATCACGCCGAAGTCGCGGAACAGCTCGGCCTTGGGCTCGCGTCGTCGTCGAGCACGTCGGGCCCGCACTCGTCGAATTCTGGTCTAGCCTCGCCGAGCAGCGCCGCGTCGGAAGAGCACGGTTCAACCTCCACCGCGAATCCCGACGGTAACTCCCCCGCGTCATCGTACGCATGAGAATGCGCGTTACCACTAGACTATATATAAGAATATAAATAATCGGCGTATCTCGCGAGCGAGAAGAGAGACTCACAATTTCCTCTTGTACGTGTGTTATCCTCAGTGTCCTCGGTAATGTCGCTATCAGCGACCGGACTTTACAAGGGATACGACCGAGCGTTTTGCGTTAGGATGAAATCCACTCTGACGAAAAGGGGTTGTCACTTCAAGTCATCCGGTTATCGGGTAAGCGAATTCGCGACGTTTATTCACGACGATGTCATCAGAGCAGCTGTTAATTATCTCGCAGAGGTCGGTTCGATCATTTTCTCGTAGACTTTAACGAGCATTCATTCTGAGTCAAAATTTTGGCTCCATGTTAAATCTTGAATCCTACCACACAGTAGAAGCTAAGTTAACAAAGTAAGTTTATTAATTTAATTCTAATGATACAATTTACTCCTACTTTGACTTTGATGATGTCCAAAATTTTCCTTTTCCAATTTCTTTAGCGTCAAAATAGATATTGAATAGAATAGTGAGACTGAAAGTAGAATCAAAATTCCGATTCAGGTAGGTTAAATAGAAAAGAGATTTGATGTAAGTTTTAGAATATCAAAATAGATGTTGAATGAAATAGTAAGGCTGAAAGTAGGATCAAAATTTCGACTCGGAATTGGTGATAAATTTATGCGCATAGAAAAATATTCTACTGCTAAGAAAAGCGATTGCTCAGTTTATTCTCCTTCTTTTAAAGTAACGGCAAAGAATATTTTCTTGATGATAATCTTGAAATATATTCATCATAAACTTTAGAAAAACTCACATTATCACGTAGTTAAAAGAAGAATTCATTCGATTTACAAGAATATCATATAACTTCGTCAAAGAGAAGGATGATTCGACTCTATATAGTAAACCGAATTTACTTTAATTTATTCTTGATTGCTGAATTTATTAGGATTTCAAATATATTTCAAATAAGTTCGATGATAGATAATAGGTGACGGATTTGCCGATACATAAACTTATGAAATACTTGGACTAAGCAACGTTTACTTGAACGCAGTATATATTTTTCTGTGTGTGATCTCTGATGAACGACTTCGCGCGATAATTTTACACGGTCTGAGATCGCGTAAGATGGTATACACTTTTTACATAGGTCGTGCTGCTGCTGTGTCGTTTGAGGCCGCAGCTCATATTTAGCCATACGAGGAAGACCGCACCACCTCTGATGGGAATGGTCGGTCTGGCCATCGCGCTTCCGCCGCCGAGCGTGCACGAGATTCGTCTCGAGACCGACATGTTCGTCACACGAATTAATTTCGACTTTCGGATAGCACATTGCGAACCAAAGTAAGTACCACCCGCACCCGAATTAACCCCTTGAGTGGAGGTGATGAGTTTCGCCCGCATGACTTCACTGCGCCAAGCTCGACCTCCGACGGATCAAACCCGCCATATATTTAAAGTACTTAAGTGCTATATTTGGGAATAATTAATACAAGCTAAATATGTTAGTTCTATTTATATAAGAACTGCGCGCACAGGATTACGATAAAATCAAATAATCAAATAATAGAATGAACATGTTTGCTTGAAAATAAGATATAAGATGAAAGCTTAACAACCGTTGATGAAACATGAGACATTCGCGAATCCCTCTCGAACATATTAATAAACACTAAGCATTTTATTTATTTATTTATTTATTCTACTGACGAGACTTATCTCTTTGATACAATGCGCAATAATATAGATCGTAAAAAAAAGAGAGAAAGAACACGAAGACAAATCAATATAAGAGATACAAATAAAGAAAAGAAAATAGAATGTACTATTTATGAATTGCAATGCAGATGATTGATAATAGGAGTCTTGAAAGAGTGCAAAGATATATGATACAAGGGTTCAATTCTCAACAGTGCGTGAATGAGATGCGCATGCGAAAATTTATAGTATACGTAAAGTGAACTGTAGGATTTTCATATGCGCATCTCATTCGCACGAGAATCGCCACCCAGATCAATGATAGTTTTTTCGCGCTGCAAAACTAAACCGGCAAAACTAAACCGGCCAAAGCTATGGACAACTATTTCATAATAAAAGCGTATAAATTCGTGTCTTCAGGGTCTCCGAGTTGTTGGACTACACGGCCGACGAGTTAACGGGGAAGAATCTCTACACGCTCTGTCACGGTGAAGACGCGAACCGCCTGCGGAAGTCTCACATAGATCGTGAGTATGACTGTTATGAATTGTAATCGCGATGTTACGTCGATCATAAGATATGAAGTCGCTGAGTACCGTTTGCACGATCACGTTGAATCACATGAGGGGTTTTTCACGTCGAACCACTTGATACGATTTCTGTGACGTTTTCTGTGTAATGTTCGAGAGAATGGAATAAACGCGCGTACTACGAGTTTATTTTAAGGGCAGGTTCTGGTTTAGATAATCGAGAGATAAGACCTTTTTACGAATTCTTTTCAAAGAAATGATTAAAGATATCAATATATAACCATAATATTTATTTGTTTTAAGTATAAAAAGTTATTTTTTTATTTAAAAAATTTCCAGATTTATTTTTACTGAACACGGTGTCGCCGGACGCCTCCAACTTGTATAGACAACATTACAACTCCTGTCATAATCTGAAACAATTGGAACAAGAAAATTTCAAAGCTATTAAATTTTTTGAGGACTGAATCTAAACTCTTCGAAAAATTTACTAAATTAGTATTTTTCCCAAGACTCTAAATAAAAAGGAGAAAGGGAGAAAGAGAGGAAAAATGACATGTAACTTCTAAATGTCACCATTTTGTTAAGTTTCGCCTTTCTGCATATAACAAAAGTTTATTCTCAAACAAATTTAATACAGTTTTTAATTTTCTTGTCCCATTTGTTTAAGATTATTACGATTGTACATTTTGTTAAGTTTCGCCTTTCTGCATATAACAAAAGTTTATTCTCAAACAAATTTAATACAGTTTTTAATTTTCTTGTCCCATTTGTTTAAGATTATTACGATTGTACATTTTGTTAAGTTTCGCCTTTCTGCATATAACAAAAGTTTATTCTCAAACAAATTTAATGCAGTTTTTAATTTTCTTGTCCCATTTGTTTAAGATTATTACGAGCTCGATAATGTTATCCACCAGTTAGAGGCGTCCGACGATGTCACGCTCAGCTCAAAAACCCGGAAGGAATTTTATTTTTTTTTTAATAAAAATATAATTTTCTTGTAGTTAATGAATAAATGGTATGGTCAAATGATCTCCTTTATTCATTTGTTTGAAGAAAATTCGTAAAAATTTCCAATTCTTTCGGCTTCCAATTCTTTAAATCAGGATCTCTCCTTAAACAGTAAGTGTACCGTGCATACTTAATGAACTTGAGAATCTCATATGCAACTGCCGTAGCATTTCACGACCATACCGATGTCATAATGATCATTGGAAGTAGCTTTTCGTTCCCGACGCACACGAATATGTGCTTCTCCGGAGCGATTTCGATCTTGCTGATTAGCCCGAGTAATCTTGCGAGACGATAAGTTCGAATGAGAATGTATTCCGTGTCAATTACACACGCCCTCAAAATTCCAGAGATCATGTCATGATACCGTTTCCATATTGCGGCGCGTGCTAAATGCGATGTTTGCAATCGTGACAATACCGTCATGCGGGACCGTGGTTTGTCATTGAAAAAATGCTGATCTCAATCCGCCCGTCTCTTTATGTAACGTTAACGAAGGAATGACTACGCGGAACGAACAATAAGTGATAACAATATACGATAAGTGTTACTTGATGGCGACGGAAAGAGAATGGGGTTTATTAATAAAGACTGAATAAAAATAAACGATGACTAAACACAAGCGGCAATGAAAAACAACAGACAATAGTGCAAGGCTGTCATTTTGCAACAATAAAACATTTGCAAAGAATAGCGAGTCGAAGAAGGGATCGTGGCAGAGATATGCGAAAGATTAAGGACTGTCTTTCCATCAAAATTTATCTTTGCGGAGAGAATATCAATATCGCGATAAAAAAGAAGTAATAACGGGCCGTGACGATGTCGAGCCGTTGAACGCAATTATCGAGAGTTCGATTTTTCCAGTAGCGCAATCCAATATTTTATTAGCGCGAAAGAACTGTTTGCTTTCGTTTTGTTCGAAGCAGTCAGTAGTCGAATCGATTAACGAGAATTGACAGAGAGAGAGAGAGAAGGAGAGGGAGAGAGAGAGAGGGTCGTAACGTTATTAATGTACATACGTTTCCATCAAATCAACACAAAGCCGATAGATCTGCCACGCAGAATTTCTTGCTCCTATTGTTCTAGGAAAATACTTCGGTGAAAGAACGCGATGGGTGTCAAAGCTGTCCGGGAAGAGAGAAAAGCACGAAAGTATTAATACGTTGGTCTTTTCGACTGCGCGCGACCGCTTGCAGATTTAGTAAGTACGTATCTGTTTGTATTTGAACGTTTCAGATCAGATGTTAGTCATTGCACGTAGGCGTGGGAATAACGATGGGTCCTTTATCGATGATCAATCGATCCCGTTGTGTACGGTTTGCCGAAATTATTGATCGCGCGCGCGCGTCCCGCGTAACGTCACGACAATAAAGTATCACGACGAGTTGGTGCATCGTCATTACGCCAATCGATTTTGCGGCTCTCATGAAAATCAACGAGAGAGAGAGTGTGTGTTTGATTTCTCGTTAAAAAAGAAAAGGAAAAAACATGCGGCGCAGAATTCTCGTTTGTGTAATTGTCGCTCTATCGACGCGGCGTATTCCAAGTGTGTCATCTGTTTCTATGAAGATCGCTTTAAAGACATCGTCGCAGTGCGTTCTAGCGTGTTCCCAAGTTGGTTCGATACCTCGGACAATAGCGACAAGACATTCGCCGACAAACCAGCACATTGTCGCTGGCCACATGTCGCTGGGTTATATATCGACAAACCAGCATATTGTCGCAGATGGCAAAGATAATTGTCGGAAAAATTATCGGCAATCGCTTCGCCTCTCAATCAGTCAAACAGAAGAGAGAGATTCCCTTTTAACAACAGACGATTCATCTCCTACGAGACACGTAACACGGCTGTATAGGCGCCACTTCCAAGAGCATTATACAGAGATAGAAATGAACGTATATTTACACATTATATATATATATATATATATATATATATATATATATATATATAAATACACCCCATTTAAAAATTAAACGAACGATCAATCGAGATTTGCAATCGCAATAAGACGCTTGTCTTTTCCTAATCGTCGTACAAACGGTAGCTTCGACGCTGATTACAGCACTTTCGAGTAATGAAAATGAAAAAGGAAAAAGAGAGAATAAAACAGTAACAAATAAGAGAAAATTCGTATAATTCACACTTCAATAAGTTAACTCACCTCTTTACGGACATTCCTCGGTCTCGAGGTCTTTAAGAACACCCAGCTGTGTTGATTATAGTGATCCACAAAGGGCAAGTACTGACACATTACTACCGACTGATGAACAAGAGCGGCGGATTCACGTGGCTACAGACGTGCGCCACTGTCGTGTGCAATTCGAAAAATGCCGAGGAGCAAAATATCATTTGCGTCAATTACGTCATAAGGTGAGTCGCCAAGTTGGTGCGTACCGTTAATCTTGTTAATTCTCACGATAAACAAGTATTTTCGGCATCTTAATACACACAGAAAAATTTCATTCTATTATTAAGCAAAGCGATCAGGGTAAACCGAGGCGAATCAAAATAAGTTTTGAGACAGTTACTGTGGTTAGCTTTTTGGTTCAAACAAACTGTTTTATACTGTCAATTATTTCTGACACAAGAAAATAAATACTTGAAATAAAAAAACCAATAACTTTTGAAACAAAAAACAAACATGAGTACTTTTAAACCTCAACAAGTAGAGGTAATAAAAAAAAATATTAAGATAGATAAAGATTATAAAAAGACAAAGATTATAAAAAAATTGTATATTACTTTTTATTGGTTTTTTTAAATAAGAATCTGTGAAAAAAGTTATTTCGTTTAAAAAATCATAATTTTTGTAATTTTTAAAGAAAGGATTTGGAGTTTTATACTTAAGTGACGATTAATAATAAAATAGTTCATTATTGTATCTTGAAAATAAGTCGGATTATTTCTGCATATAAAAATTATGTTCTGTGTGAGAATTTAAAACTAGATAACATAAAAAAAGCATTCTTGCGCATCATGCAAAAATAAAAAAAGTAAGAAACAAAAAATTCAAGAAATAGAAAAAAACATACAGATGTAAGAAATAGAAAAATAACTTTGTTAACCATTCCCGTGTTTGTTCAATTTAACGACTTCGTTAAAATTCACAAAGCATCACAATAATTAAATACATCTAAATAACTTGAAAGATTATTAAAATATACAATATATAAAGAGAAAAACAAATTTTTACTTACTTACGTAAAAAATACACATTAGATGAGTAGGAAAATTCATTCATGTCCAGAATCGATTTGCTCCGACTGCTATTTAGATAATAACTGACGAATTTTGTCACTACTGAGCCTCAAAATCGATGAATTTCAAGTGTTAAGTTGTTATACTATCTTCTTTTTGGAATACATATGAAATTTTGGAAATTTCGGAGTAAGAAAAAATGTACAAGGAAATAATAATATGATTAATCCGATTCAATATTGTAAATCTGGTTGGCATAGTCGGATTTATGTGTAGGGCCAACCACACTATTTTTTCCGTACAAAGTTATTAAAGATGTCCGTACACGAATGACCTCCCAATTTACTTTAATATTAAATCAGTCTCCCTAAATTCTATTGTTCTATTGTTTTTCTCTTCTACAGCGGTCGAGAGTACGAAAACTTAATTATGGATTGCTGTCAGTTGGAAGACGGTGTCACCGGTGTGAAGAGAGAAGACACTGCTGGGAATGATCCCGAAAACGGGTCGCCAGACGCTGACAGAGGAGGTACAAAACAGCCTTTGATTTAGCGATTAACGAATCGCGGAGAGACACGCCGAAGAATACGAGACCGCGGGTGCATTGTATTCCGCAGAACCGCCGTTCGTCCGCCTTCCCTTCGCGCTCTCGACGTGATATTCGTTGCAACTTCTGATTTCAGAGGGTCGTAGTCGAGGCGGCCCTACGAATCAGCACCAGGAGCAGTCTCACCGGTCGCCCGCCGAGGAGCGAGAAGAGAGCCACGGCTCGGAGAGTGAGAAGCGGGGTAGCAGGCATCATGACAATATAGCTCAACTGCAGCAAGAGTCACAGGCGGCGGTCGGGAACATCAGCACGCTCGTGGTGAGACTACGCGGCCACAAGCGAAAGGTCCCTGACGACGACAGCAGTTCCAACGACGAGGACGACGAGGAGGACGCGAGCACGGCGAAGGAGTCGAACAACGAGAGGACCCGCACGCTCAGTCCCGCGGCGTCCACGCATTCGATCTCGACGACTGAACAGACCCTCTGCTCGACAAGCCCCAAGTCCCGTCGCACCGTCGAGGCTGGCGGCAGGCTCGACAACAATTCCGAGAGCACGGGCACCTCGGTAAAGGATCTGGAGCAGGCGATGTCGAAGCACCTGCCGGTGAGCTCGCTCAACAAGTCAAACTCGCCGGCGGCACTCCACCAGCCGACCGACTTCAGCACGGACGCGTTGTTGAAGCAACAGCAGCAGAGGAGCACGATACAATGGATAGGCGCTCATCATCACCTGGGCCACTTGAGTCCACAACAATCTACCGCCGCCCCATTACCCGCCTCCGCGCTCCTCAGGCAACTATACGCCAACCGGGAGAGTGTAATACGCGCAAACGTTCATGGGATCACGTCTGGTAGCGGTGCACGCGCACCTTCGTCAGCCGGCATCTATTACCCTGGCGAGACCGCCCCTAACGGACCGCTGCCAACGCCGCCGGGCTCCGAGGGTTCCAGCACGTACGGCGAGCACCAATTCGTACTGGCGGCACACAATCAGAAAGGCGCCAGCGGCGGCAGTTGTGCCGACGCTTTCACCAGTTTAGTCTCCTCGTACACGACCGCTACCGCGGGTGGTTACTCCGTCGACTATCATTCCGCGATGACGCCGCCGTCGTCGGTTTCGCCCCGAGACAAGCAGCAGCAGCAGCAGCAACAACAGCAGCAGCAGCAGCAACAGCAACAACAGCTACATCCCGTTAACGTGATAAGCAGCTATGAGAGCTCGTCGGCGTACGCGGAACCGGTGCTTCGTCATCAGTATGAACCGGCTCAGCCGTTACCGTTGAAACCCCAGGTGTACTCGGCCACTGTTCATCCGAGTGCCTTAGACGCCGCAGCGGCGTACGCCTCGGCGGGTCTGACCGAGCAGTCGCAGTTCTATCATCATCCGGCCGGCAGCGCCGGTTTCCACATCTACCACCCGACTAACAAGTCGACGGCGAATGGCTGGTACACTTCGGCGTCCTAGTGGCACCACCAGTAGGATCCACGATCGGTCGTGGAACGCGTAACGGAATGTAACGTGTACTTAAGCAACTGTAATTAAAAGACCCAAAGCCCTCTCTCTCTCTCTCTCTTTTTCCTCAGCCCCTTTTTCCCTCCTTCCTTTCCTCTGATTACCCATTCATCCATTCGCCCTTTCTCTCCCCCTCGTGCATATCAGTGATACGCTAAATTCGTCGGTCGCGACTCGCCTCGCGAACGAACCTCGTGTCGTTGTCGAAACCGGCCGGCGGGAGGCTCTTAGCCGCCCTCTATCCTCTCGTCATCGAACTCGCGGCCGCCGCGCATCCAATGCGATCAACGGCGCGCCTGTAACAACAATCGCTCTCTTCTCCATTATGTAGAACGATTTATTGTAATATAATGAATAAATTATTATGTATGTTGACTTTTCGGAGATGTGTCGATGCGCATTAAAAGCGCACGGAGCCAAGAGAACTCATGCCGTGTTCACCGTGCGTGTTCGAAGTGATTTTGAGACGCGACGCTCAAGAGATCGTAATAAAATGTCTAGGATTTTATCCCGCGACTTTATTATATACATGTGATACGTCGGCAGACGCGAAGGAACGTACGAGACTATCTTCGCACCACGTTTAGATATCACCAGGGTTGTGCCGTAGATGCCAAGATTACGTCTGCGCGGATTGTTTACGTGTTGCTACGCGGATGTATACACGGTCTTTTTACATGTATAGACAATGTAAACTACGTAGAATATTGTAAATTATATTAAAACGTGCAAGAAAGAGAGTAATTGAGTTATGAGATAGTTGTGCAGCATCTGTTTTGGATATTAATTACAAATGCGTAATGTTTAAAAAGGATAACAAATTGCATGAAATTTTCATTTCATTATGTGAGTGCAATTCATTAGATTCTACAAATACTTTGAAGCGCCATATAGACCAATGATGGTTTTTCTTTAAGTACTTTAAAGTGTTTACAGCGTCTAATGGATTGCACTCTATGTGACAAATTGAACTCTAAAAGTAAGAATATGTCACCAGAAAATTCTATAGACTCTAACTTGTTTAAGAAACAAGTTCATTCAAATTTACATCGGGATTCGAACATGAAATAAAAATATAAATTTTTCTTAAGTTTCCTGACGGAACATTTCTGGTGTTATCAATTGATGACGTCAGAAGCGAGAAAATGCGCGACAAAAATTCTTGCAAAATACGTTTAAATAAAACGATATACATATAATAGCACTTGCAATCGATCGAACTTGCAACACATCTGTAAAATAATTCAAACGCTTTCTATTTCCTCTAATCAATAAATTACCATAAAATTAATATGACATGTAACTTACTCTTTTAACCTACTTTTTTTTCCTGATTTCATCACGTTAAATATATTATTTATTGATTGTTACTTATTGATTGTTAGAACAAAAGGAAAGTGTTCGGACTATTTGATGGATCTACTCGATTGATTGCAAATGTCATTTTATGGATATATTCTTCTTATTCCTACGTTTTTACAAGAATTCTTTGTTTATTTCTCGCCTTTGACATCACCTAAACAGCATAAGATCTTTAAAAGATATCTTGGGAACATTTTCAGGACGTTCCCAGAACGTCTTTAGCATGTCCTGCAGATATTTGTACTATTTGAGCATAAATCAATATGGCTACGGCGTGGAGTGGGATTTTTTTTTAAGCCTTAATTAATTTTTAGGCAAGCTATATGTTTTTTAAGCGATATCCATAGATTACACGTTGTCTATATAAATTACATTTAACACAGTTTGTTATATACGGCGATTGGAATATCGAAATTCCATCCATATACCACTCAAACGTAACCAAGTCTTATTAGTTAAAAAATGTATATTATGTTAATTTGGTAAATCCTCCGATTAATAGACTATATTTTGAAGTTGCTTGGAAATAATTCCAAAGTATATTCTAAAAAACACTGATCACGTCCTTACGCCACGGCAGTTAGACCGGAATTACATTTCACGCATAGTTTACGTTGTCTACACATTGACGTAGAATACCGTAATTTACGCGTAAACGCCCAACCCTGAATATTACTGATCAAGCGCTGATGCGCCAGCAGCGGCGTTTGGAATATTTTGTATCGTACTGTGTTTTGTTGCGCGCGGATGATTTTCGCGAGACGAACGGTATACAATCTTCACACGCTCTGTGAACGTTCATCGTTTTGATTTAGCGCAGGAAGAAGCGCCGATTCGAATTAATCTCGATATCACGCGGAAGCAATACGAACGCGTGTTTGGAAAGACGGTAGTATACTTAAGAGAAATCGCTATCTCTCTCTCTCTCTCTATCGGATTCGCGCAAAAGTCTTCAATTGGATTTGTGAACAAAGTTGAATTTGTGAGTTGCGACTCGAGACTCGTTCTGCGTACGATCGATTTGTCCTAAAAACGATTTGTTGTCGCGAAGTCCTTCCTATTTTTTAAATTTCGATCTGCGCTCGGGAAAGTGGTAAGAGTGGCTCGTGACTTCTTGGCTCAACCTGTTCACATTTCGTTCGCGTGTAAAACGGGCAATGCAATATCTGCTGCATTTCGACTCCATCGCGCACGTTCAGGTGCGACGAGCGTGAGCCGCAAGATGTTAAGCGAGTCATGACGAGACTAACACATACGTAAAAAGAAAGGAAAGAGGAAAAGTTGGAAAGAAGAAAAGATTAAATGACGATATTTATACACAGTCGCGTGACGCCACTGCGTGGGAAGACACGACCGAGCAATTTGGAACACGAGTGATATTAAAAATAGACACTTTTATTAAATACGCACTGAGATTGTTTACTTATTAAGGATACAAGAGACATTTGTATGTATATTTATAGACTGCTCTAGCGATATATTATCTTTTAAGTATCGGATAGATGAAAGTGTAGATATCGAGGGGACACGTATCGCGACACGCGGAAACAGTCAACACTTTTGGAGGTAGCGAATTCTTTTAGGAAGGTTATTGTATTTTAATGTTTAACATTTCAACTAGTTGTTTTTTGACAAGTACACGTGTAAATACAGCTTACGTGCCTAAAAAAAAAAAAGATTCACTCGCTGAGCATTATTTGACTCGATTTCTTTCTGTTCTTTCGTCGATTTCACAAATTTCGAATGAATAAATATTTATTTATTTATTCGCAATCTTCGAAACGAAGGCTTCATCGTCGAAATCGGTGAGGCCGAGATTCGCATTCTACTGCATACTCAATTGCTCCCGACGAGATAAACCTGCCAAATGTAAAGCGTAAGTAATAATTTCATGTCAAATATTCTGGATATCGGTAAGTAATCGGAGCCGGAATATTTACAGTTGAACAAGCGCTCAAGTTCTAAATCGTTGATCGTATACATACAGCTCTTTCGAGAATTCGATACTTCCCCTTTGAAACTGAAAAGATGCACAAATTATTTACATAAAAAAAAAAAGACAGAGATAGATCCTTGTGATTTTGTGGCATTTGACTTTTGAAAAATTAATAAGAAGCAGAACATCGTAAGGTGAATTGTTTTATTCAACTCCGTCCTCTTTTATATATCTCCATATAAAATGACATATCATTCGTTATGTTCTCGCTCATCATCATTCTGTCTAAATTTTTATGTCGTTTCAGCGATCTCAGTTATACAGAAACATGAAGCACATTTCTGTTGTTTCCCTGTTTGCTTGACGATTATTGTACAACATATCGATTCAGTAACAAGAAATAACGAATGTATTATTCGTATAAAAATGATTTATGTACACTTTCATTGTGTGTGTTACATGCTTAGTATACAATTATTATTGTTACAATTATGATTATTATTATCATTTTTGTTGTTATTGTTATCATTACAATTATTATTCTTAGTACTATATATATATTTATATATATATATATATATATATATATATTTCAGTATTAAATTACTATGGTGATGTTGCAGATCTATGTAAAAAAGTAAACATCTGTAAAATATAATTATATATAAACAAAAGTGAAATATATATATAAAATAAATCTAAAAAAAGTTAAAATATAAAACGCACTTTGGACGGTAGGCATTACAACTAATACTGTGCAAATTATCATAAAAAAAGAAAGGACGAAACGCGTAAACGTAAGCGATTTTCATCTGAATTAATGACAGCTTTGTACATGGAAAACATATTTATATTACATAAAGCTCTTTTTTATGCCCGATTATAAAAATGTAGATTGGAACGTGTATAACGCATACACTCCACAATAAGAGATAGCACTGTATCATGACTGATCTGTTTTTATTTCTTTTTTTCGATTGGCACAATGAACGTAACCGTACCACAAGACACAAGAAAATCATTCATTTATTATGATAATCACAAGTTTTAAAAATTCTTATTAGATTCCGGCAGTCACATTGTTATCGCGAGAGAAATGCGTTAAGAAACTATATGCGGAATGGCAGTTCCGGATAAAGTGTCCGTTTGTCTTCGATTAAAAAAATTATGACATACACGAAAAAACAATATTCAGACGGAACAAAAGAAACAGCATCCTTATCAAGACGTTTACGTAGTATTCTAGATTAAGTTAATGTTTACTCATTACTCCTCTCCAGCATAGCTTATCTCGATACACACGTTTAGATCCAAACGTTTAGATGAACCATTCTTTCTTTTTCTGTACTTGATGACCGGTGGCGGAATGAACAACCGCCGAATCCGGGTCCAAGGCTATCTCTGCACCCTTGTCCTCCTGAGTCAGGTATTCGCCCTTATGCCTAGACATGTATCTACCTATAAGGATCGCCATGATAACAAGTGCAATAAGAATAACCGCTAATACGCTCCCTAAAATGGCCGTGTCAGTCTCGTTGTATGCAGCCCGCACTTTTTCCTCGTCTAAGTCCGGTGGCGGTCGCGTCTCCAAGATATCCGGCGGATGTGTGATCGGTTCGACCCCGCAGAAATCTTCGGTCAAAGGAGTACCAAGTGAACGTACGTTTAAGGGTCCATCCTCTTGGAAGAGTAACTTCAGCGGATAAATGTCATCAAACTCTACTCGCGATATACAACCCTTGAATCCCTCCAACATTGATTCGTTTCTGCCGATGTACATGTATTGAATGTTATTGAATTGCGCGTCCGCGGAAGCCTTTATATCAAAGTTGAACTCCTTTGCCTCGTAATTGTCGACCTGCATAATTAAAGTCGCGCCCGAATTTTTCCTGCCGATCCTGATGTCGTGATACTGTCCTAAACCGAAGTGCTTGTGCGGGAATATGACCTCCTGCCGTTCGAAGCCGAAGTCAAATACCACGCGTAAGTGTCCGCTATTGGAGATCATTATGGTCATGTACTCTCCGGTTATATTAGAGAAGAGACCTAACAAGAATCCTTTCGGTTCCGTCGTCACGAAACCAACGCGTATTTTCTCGGCAATGGTGGAACGCCAGCTGCCCATGAAATCGTATTTTATCATCGAACTGGTTCGCAAGTTTACTCCAATCTCTGAAAGTGACAAATGCTATCGATTAGCAGCTGCAGCCAATACGATTATCGTGATTCACGTTAGAGAATCCTATACTCACCGTCCGCACAGATCGGTCCTTTGAACGAAGTCCATCGACAATCGCACGAGTAACCATCATATTTTTCGTAACACGTGCCGTTGTTAAGGCAAGGATTACTCTCGCATCTACCGACGCAATCTTCCGTGACGCCGTACACTCCGCGCCGAGCGTAACTTCTCAGGTCTTGCAGTTGGCCGTTCAGAAGCAGGGATCTTATGCAACCGACAAATCCGTCCCTGTAATCAGTCGTGGCGCCCACCACGAAGTCCGAGGTGAGATGAATCGCTCGCACGGGACCCGGAGGTTCTCGCACTTGGTTCTTCAGCGCTCCGTCGATGACGATTCGGGCCTCCTTGCGATTTCTCTCCACTGACACAGAGTGCCATCTGTCATCAGCCAAGTTGTTGGATGTTTGCACGCTCACCGTGAGCGGTCCTTCGCCAGCCACGTATTGGAAATGTATTTGTCTTCCGCTATTTATGGAAATCTTGATGTAATCGGTTGGCCCTTTGCTATGAATCATCACGGCGTTTTCCATAGTAGTTTTGAATTCGAAGTAAATATCGCCACTGTGACCGATATCAAACGTCGGTAGATTGATGGTGGCGTCTGCTATACGGAATGTCACGACGTTCTTAAACAAATCTGCAACAGATATTACGATATTATGTACTTCTGCTCATCTTGAACGCTGTTTCGAGGATAAAACTTAACTCACTTGCACTGCATATTGAAAACGAGAAGAGCTTGGTGAACTTACCGTCGCCTTCGCAAATAAGCGGGCCCAGCCTATAACGACCCTCTTTCTCGTCGACCGGTGTACCCGTGTCGCCGAAACGCAATTGTTTCACAGGAAGATATTCCTTCTCCATAATATAACCAGAGTCTTCCTGCCATGATTCCAAATTAGCATCGCAATTGCACCACTTGGTAGGATCCACACAATTTCCAATTATACCACACTCGCATTTTCGCGATCCGGGCAGCGCGTCGCCCCAATAATCCATCTTTTGATTTTGCCGACTGACCCACCACGAATTCGGTCGGAAATATTCGCCTTGAGGAACTGGAAACAATTCGACATTTCGACATAGAAATAAGACGAGAATCGTGACGCTTTTGTGAAGATATATTACCTGGCGAATTAAATAACTTGGAGCGTTTGCACTTATAAATTATATACTGCATGCAGTTGGTAGACCGGTTCAACAGAGCTTCTATCTGATCAAGATCAGCGTCGTAAACAATATCTTGGATGAAACTGCCAGGCTCATCGAATCCATCAATGGGCGTTTCTTGCTTATTACTGTGACGCAAAACTGTCCTTACGCGGCCATCAGCAAAGAATTCACAAACAACCGGGAATGGTTTCAGTGGCCCGCTTCCATCGACGTCAATTTTGATATCCGCTCGTTGATTGACCGCGTTCATATTCTTATACGCATCGCATGAGAGAGGATTTAATGCTGCACAGAGAATTGATACGTTATTCAGGACAGAATCGATTTTAACGAAGGTATCATTACACTTTGCGATAAAATGCGGTGAATACTTACAGGTGTGACAAACGGCACCTGTGTATCCAGTATTGGCACAATCGCAGAAGAATTCATCAGAATTTTGTCGGCAAACGCCAAAATGTTTGCAAGGATTCGGGTTGCAACGATCTACCATTTGGCAAGTATCAAATATAACATCTTTCTCGCAGCAGTATTCGTCTTTTTTCCAATCGGTCGGCAACTTGTAATTACCGTCGATACTTATCATTCTCATACAACCAACAAAACCATATTTGCTTCCTTCTCCGATCACACCACCGATCATATAATGCCTTCCAGTTATTATCTCCAGAAGGCGATCTGTTCTCATCGGTCTTCCATCTACATTTAAAACGAGGGAATTCTTGGCAACCGTCAAAATTACCTGATGCCATTTACCGTCGTTAAATTTCTCGTAAAAATTGTCTAAACTCGACGATGGATTCTCCCCCGTTTTTATTTCGACTTTCAATTTGCCGTTCTCCAGGAATAGCTGCGCATTAAAAATAAAAGTAAATAATCGCAATGTTTTTCGTAGCAACGTGTGTAAAAATATAAGAAAGAACTTTGAAGTCTCGAATAGATATAAGAGTTAAGCAAATGTTTAGATAACCAAGAAATAGGAAGTTTTCATGAATTTGTTTTAAAGAAATGAATAAAAATATCAATTGAAAGCTTTAATCATACTATTTATCATTGTTTTTAATACAAAATAACTATACTTTTGTTTAAAAACATTGAAATTTCATCGTCTTGTATTGAGATATCCTTTATTCATTTGTTTGGAAAAGAATTCGTAAAGTCTCCTATTTTTCGGTCATCTAAACCAAAACCTTCCTTTAAACAATTGTTATCTTTTGCATGCGACATTTTAATTAAAAGCTTGAAGTGTATAATTAAAGTGTGCACAACCTTGACGAAGCCTGAAGACTCTAACTTGTGGTAAAGAATTATCCCTTGCTCTTCGTAAGTTCGAAATGCGAGGGACACGTTCATAGACGTCGCACCAGGATATCCTTTTAATTTGGCATAAGATCCAGGAGTCTTGAATGTCACGGGTATTATTGGTGGCTCCGGACAAGTGTATATCGTATGGATTTTATAATATTTCAGATTCTCATCTAAGATTGATTCTTTCAACTCACTGATTATATTTGTACTGTTTAAGTAAAAATTTTCTATACAGCCAGTGAAATTTTGGTTCACCACCAGACCCTCCTGCATATTGGATACACCACCGATATAGAGCTAAAAAGAAAAAAAAAATTATTGGAATAAATCTACGGAAGTAGTACGCTTAAAATCCTTTATCTTACTTGTGATATCTATACATTTTTAGCAAAAAAAAAGATTTTCGTTTCAAGAACATTACTCACCTCTCGATTCAAATCCAATCGATGAAATTCTCCCCTTATTCTACCCTTAATCAATACCCTATCGACGGAAAACGAAATATTTTTCCTATTGCGGGAGATTAAAACATCATGCCACATGTTATCGTCTAGAAGACTGCCAACAGACATGCTGCTCATAATACCAGATCCGAGATCGATATTGAGCAACATTCTGTTGTCGCGCAGCTGCAAGGCTATATAGTCACCTTGCGTACCCCGAGAATACATTAATACGCCGTCGGCATTATTCGTCTTAAAGCGGAAACGTATAAAGTGCCTATCAGTCTCGATAGGCTCCCTGAGTAAATCCATGCGTATAAGAGATGATCCGTTGAAGGAAACAACGTCGGATACTGCAATTAAGCAAATTAGATTTATCGTTTTGTAAATCACGCATAATTTTGTACATCTTACAAAGGAACCTCGCGAACATGAAAATTCAGATCTTAGCGAAACTTGGCATAAATGTAGGTTGGAAATAAACGAATTTAGAAATTTTGTATTGGAAAAACGATTTGAAGGGGTAAAACCACTCTTCAAAAAATATAAAGATTTTTCGCTCTTTTCAATATCTCGTTCGCTCTTATTCAATATTTCGTAAATTAAATGAAATATCAAAAGATGTTTTATACAAAAGGTTTATAAAAAAAAATTATAGTATTATAAATTTTTATATACTCTTTCATGCAAGGAGTATATAAAGGATGAAGTTTTGAAAATTATTCTTTTTCGAATAAAGAATGGAGTAGTAAAATTAGAAATATTTTTTTTCTTATTTAAGATGTGAATTTTCTTGGGTTCGCGAGGTTCTCTTATTAGAAAGTAACAAAGTATAATTATTTCAGTTTTACCATAATTGCATCCATAAAGTTCAACCCTCAGGGATATCCCGTCTCTCCATCGCGTTGGATTTATTCTAACCCACTGTGCGATTATTGGTACCTCAAACCTATTAAGCTTTACCCTGTCTCCATCTACATTACCTTTAAACATCTGTGGAAAAATGGGTAATGTTTTAAACACTGTTCTGTCGTTACCAAATCAATAATTCTCATTTGCTACCTCAGTGATTAACAGTTAATGGCGCAACAATCGTGCAGAATGTAGTAGTTAAATTGCATGCATGCTGTAAGTTAGAACTAATTGTTTTAATAAGAAAATTATCAAAGATAGGATACTGTTAGTCAAGTGATTAACGGTTTTGTATGTTATATAAAAACACCAGTCTCCAGATCGGTTTAAAAATTCTGAATATGTAAAAGGGACAACTGATTTAATAATTACACACAATTTTTCTATGTGTATTTCATCACATAGACCAATTAATTGCTTTCATTTAGAGATTTTCAATAAGCATAGAAAATATCGCCCAATTGCACTCAATATTATTACCAATTGCGCAAATGTGTACACTAATGTTTAACTAGATTATTAGTAGTAAAGGAAATGCCAATGTTAAGAGCAGTTGCATGAATTTCAAGAGCTGTAGATAGATGCCACTGTAATATACAAAAATTCTCAAAAAACAAACTATTGCTCTCCTTTTTTGTATATAACAGAGAAATAATATTATATATTAATAAATTTATATACATAAAAAATTTTGTATATTGATATATTAAATGTATAAATATATATATTATAATTTTATAACTATAATTTTATAATATTATAAATTACTGGTTAAAGTTGCACGAAATCAGTTAAATGATACCCCAACTATTCGTGTTAACAATAAAGTAAACGTTAAAGACATTCGACCGATGCGTAATATTCGCGCTCGTTTATGATTCGTCGCCACAGGCCGCCCATTTTATCAGTGCGTTTCTCTCCGTTGTATTGACGCCGCGCAGGATCTCCGTCATATCGTATATACGCCACTAACGCCACTTGGCCGCAGTTGCGCAGGTTAGATCAGTCGGCGAAGGTTAGGTGCGCGATTCGTATCAGTCTTCATCGACGTGTCAAACGCGAGCGAAGGCAAATGGCGGCCACTAGGGAGGACGACATTCCCGCGCTCGAGGAACAAGTTGAGAAGCTCAACCTCTCCACCGTGTCGGACGACGCGGTGACGGACAAGGGCGACGATGATGACGCCGCCGACTACGGAAATGCCGATGAGCCGCAGCTCTGGGGCTTCGAGACGCGAGAGCTTTACAAGCTCGCGCTCAACTTCTACAAAGAGAAAAAGGGTAAGGCCGTGCACATCTCTTATGAAGACAAGCTAAAACTGGTGGCGTTCATCCAGCAAGTGACGCATGGCAAGTGCACAGCCGAGAATGCACCGCCACTGGGCGTCCTGGACGTGATTGGGAAAGACAGGCGTTTGGCGTGGCAGAACCTAGGTGACATAACCAAGGAGCAGGCGATGGAGGGTTTCATAGTACTATTGGACAAGCTATGTCCCTTGTTCAGGACTGTGGTGGAAGCGCAGAAAAGGGATTTCGAGGAGAAGGAACGACTCAAGAAGGAGGAAGAAGTCAGGAAGGAGGAGGAAGAGAGGAAACTCAAGGAGTTGGAGGAGCAGCGTAAGAAACAGGAGGAGGAAAGACTGAAGGAGGAGACTCAGCGAAGGCAAATTCAAGATGCTCTGAATCAGCAGACGTACCATCAATTCAAGATGTATGCAGAGCAACAGTATCCTGGCAACCCAGAGCAACAGGGTGTCCTGATCAGGCAGTTGCAGGAACAACACTATCATCAATACATGCAACAACTGCATCAGAATAAGTTGGACCAGAGCGAAGAAGATAAGAAAATCGAGCCAGAGAGCTCGTCGAAGGAGGACGACAACAAGGATGCGTCAAACACGAATGATGAAGATGACTCTGACGAGATGGAAGACTGGCCTCCCATCACGCCCGCGGAGATGTGGACGCGAAAAGGCGTGGAAGAGTTCAAGCGAACTATCTGGAGAGAAGCGCCCGACGCGGTCATCAGGGTAGGCCACGGCGAGACCGTGACCGTTCGCGTGCCGACGCACGAGGGCGGCACGTGCCTGTTCTGGGAGTTCGTCACGGACTCCTACGACATCGGCTTCGGCGTGTACTTCGAGTGGTCCAAGCCCGACACGAACCAAGTGTCCGTGCACATCAGCGAGTCCGAGGACGAGGACGACGAGGACGAGGAATACGAGCAGAGGAGCGACCTGGAGAGCGGCCCGACGAACAACAACCCACGGCCGGAGCGGCGGATGACCACGCCGCCCATCAGCGTCATAGTACCCGTCTACAGAAGGGACTCTCAGGACGAAATTTACGGCGGTAGTCACCAGTACCCGGGTGAGGGAGTGTACCTACTGAAATTCGACAACTCTTATTCGCTTTGGCGCAGCAAAAGACTGTACTACCGAGTGTACTACACGCGCCAGGGTGAGGGCTTCACGAACAATAACAACAATTAATCCGCGAACGGGACGCGTATCGAGCGTATGCCTGTTGAGCACTAGCCTTCACGTAAATGTACTAATAATTGTACTACACTGAGGGAAAGAATATCTAAGAAATTGGCGATTATTCACTCGGAGTGGGCACTGATAGCAAATTTATCTTGTACCAGTATAAAATATTTTCCAAGTAAGAAATTGTACAATTTTACGAAGCCCTAAGAGAATCCTAGCTTCTCACGAGAAAGCAACTAGTTTATCTGCTTGAATAAAATGATTTTGATTCAAATAAACATGCCTCATTCCCCACCAAATGAATATTCACTATTTACAAGATATTTTTTCTCTCAATGTAACAATGCTAGTCCCAACTGAATTCAGAGTCTGATGTGTCGATTCGGTTCGTGTATAGAACAACACACTGTTCGCACACACATACACACATACAAAAAGAGATATATTTATTGTTTAGTTAAGTAAGGACACGTTCTCTATTCTTTCAAGTGGCAAAACCGCGTACACGCGTCAAAGAATAAAAAAAGGAGGACTGGCTCCTCTCTTGAGACATCCGGCTACTCGGGAAAAGATCTCTTATGTACATGGCGCACATTATTTATGTAACTCGGATTTGTTTCCTCTGTCTGCATGATATTGCGTACCCGCGGCTCGTGCAAACCACACGCGTATGTTTATTATTCTGTTGTATAGACGGTGCATTCTCTTCGCGATTTCGAGAGCCATTTTAAAGCATTCATGTCGGCGTGATGTGAATCTTTATATGTGTATGTGCGAAAAGATGTTCCGTATTGAAAGACGTATTAAATGTATATGTATATACATACACACACACACATATATATGTGTGTGTGTGTGTGTGTGTGTGTATACATACACACGCACACATATATGTATGTATGTGAGAGCAACACGCTGTCTGTATAATCCGTATTTGTTTAATCTGTATACTCGTTCAGTCTGTATCATCTATATATTCGTTTGGTCTTTTTTTTCGTGCGACTCGATGTTATGTGTTGTACAACTCTTATTAATAGTATTATTTTTTTGCTTTGGAGAAATATAGCGACAGAAAAAGAATAAAAAAAACACGTGAATCCGGCAGAAAAAGATATCGTGTCTTTCAGCAAATTCCGTACACGCGAGCGTTATTATTTCCTCGATGAAACAAATATTGCAGTCTTTAACGTTTACTTTGTTGACCCACAATCGCGCTCTTAATCATGTCTGTGTCAAATTGCCGAATTTCAGCAGCAGCATTGTTAGAACAGAAGATTCAAAACGTACATTTCTGCACGTCTCTCTCGAGAGGTGTAGAGATTTTTTATAGCAGGACATTCTCTCGTTTCATGGAATTTCTACGGAAAAAGAATTTTATAATATATATAAGCTTGTTATCAATGTAGAATACGAAGAAACGGAAGAAAAAAGCTATTCAAGTTAAATTTATCGTGCATTCGCCTATAAATTGCACAATACACCTGTCTCGAGCAATTTTCAAATGTACGAACAAAAATGTGTTTCAAGCCAATATTGATGTAATAACAATAATAATGAGATTTATGTTTCAAATATGTCTATAAGCATTAATACCCGTCTGTAATTTCTCTTTTTATAAATGATAAAAGCTAAAATGTGTATACATATGTTTCTTCACTCTACTCTCTTGAGGTTATATGGCTCACGATAAACTGATAATTTGAAGACAATCTCAATAAAAAACGTAATTCATATCTTATCCATATCCTCATCGTTCATGTATTATCGTGTGTACCTTAGCATCTAATAAGGAAGAAAGCTTCAGTTGTTCTACGTAACTTCAAGAATAGAAGAACAAAAATGTTATCCAACACAAAGGACCTTTCTCGAGTAACCACAATTTGCAAATCTTTAGACTATACTCTTAGATACGTGAGTAGAACAATTTTAGACTCCATCCTTGAAATTTAATACCTCATCTACGCCATCCTGGCCTTCATAACTGGCCCAAGCTTGACCATCATCGGAATATTGGATAATATATTCTGTCACGTATTCATTAGTATGCACCCGCCCTCGCGTAGCAATGCTGCGTATCTCATATCTGTCTCCCAGCTCCATAGTAAGATGCTGATCGTAACTGCTAGCGACTGGTGACCACGTGGAATCTCCTGTAAAGCCCAGCTCCATGTCCATGTGTAAGAGGAGAAAAGTAGAAGCGAAGCAAGCAAATGGATATGTAGGAAATGAAATCGGAGTAGTTAATGAAATCGCGAAGTCTTTATTTTTTATGTAACTCACTAGAGAATCCAGGTTTGCTTCGCAATTAATTCTAAATGACTTTTACACCCGATTATCACGCAAATTCGATATAATTTGTTTAGCATTCGTACGCGCACACGAGTATATGTTTGTGTGACGTTAGAAAACGAAAATAATGAAACACACAAAACAAAATGAGTGTTGGAACAAATGTAGGAAAATGACGTGAAGCGCTATTCAGATGTAAGTTAAGTGAAGCACATCAAAGTACTTACCAGTGTCAAAACCTCCAGACAATATTCCCCTCATAACATTGTATCATGAAACATTTTACAACTGTTTTCTGTACATTTATATAAATTACACCATATTCCACATGCATAAGCAAGCCTCGTGTTAACGGGAAATTAATGTGTGTTAATTAAGCGCGTCATATCTCATCATTGTATCGAAAGCCAAGTGAGGACTAGACAGTGGGTTCCAACGAGCTTACCTTCGCATGGCCATCTTCTTCCTTATAATCCACGTAATCAAGACCGTTGGTACCATAGCTAATACGATATTCCATAACATATGTCTTCTGTGACGACTGTCCCTGAGTGGCCACGGCTGTGATGTTCATTACTTCGCCCAAGTCGATTATTAAATACTGACCAAAATCAGAGCTGCTAGCTGCCCATGCGCTTCCGCCTACACCGCAACATTTATGCATGCACGCAACTCAAAATAAATTTAGGAAAACGCTTACACATAATTTGAAACGGAACGTAATGACACAATCAGAGAATAATTTCTAGCAACGCCTTGCTTTTATACTCAGAGATTAACTTATAAGGGTGTACCAAAACTATATTATACCACAAGCTCAAATTATTTCAAGTGGTACTTTAGAAATTTCTGCGAAATTATACAACGATTCTCGAGAAGAAAATGGTTATTTCTTTAAATGGTATATCCATTAAGATAATATCATCACCATCAAATATAAAATGAATATAATATAAAATTCATTTAAGATAATATCATCACCACTGTCTGAATTGATGCTATTTACGTTATCTGCAGATAACGCATAGATTAAATCGTCATTAGTGTTATTTTTAATTTGAGATATTTGTCTCTTTGACTGTACTGTGACTTTTGCACGCGGAAAGTTACCCAGCTTATAAAAAGGTAAGTAAAGAAATTATTGTAAAGTAGTGCTTAGTGCTCTTTATTAGTTTATTAGCAGTCAAACTCATATACAATGTGCAGTATCCATTTTAAACTATGGATATAGCAAGGAACACTTGTTATGCGTGTTGCGATCTTATTTTATAAATAATCAAAGAAGCTACGGTCTTTCTGACTTGGCGAAATATTGGGTCGTGTATTGTGAATCTATCGGAAAGAGTGGAACTGAGTGCGTAATCAGTTTATCGTAATCTATTATCTCAAACGTGGTGTTGTGCAATAGCGATTTCTCGTCTTCTTGCAATGCCACAGCGACACAGTGTCGTGAATCGAGTAAAGTTTCTTCAAATAACCAATTTTGCTTAATATCATCGACATACAGAACTGTATCGGTTGTGACCGAGTCTTTGCTCAACTCCGAATTTGTCCGGAAATCTATGTTCCTTAAGTCAACGACAATTCCCACACCGAGCGCTTTAACGTAGCTCTCTTTCAACGCCCAGTGTCTACAGAACATAGATATCTGTTCCATTTCAGACTTTCCTGGAGCAGAACCCTTGATTTCTCCCCATTCGGCCGCCGAGAAGTTTCTGTTCATTATACGAAAAAATTCGGAGATGCTTTTACCGCCGGTATATTCTAACGCCATTACATCCACGCCTAATTTTACATCTCTAATTTCACCCGCTAGAACTGCATAAGAACCTTGATGAGAAACGTTAAAACTTATAGCGCCGGCATTATCTTTCAGTAGGGGCTTGTTATGTTCATCTCTGATGAAAGTAATTTCGTCATATGGAAGACCCGCATACTCATTAACGAATTTCCTCATTAATAATCTGCCTGCGAGGGAAGCCCTTACATCTTTACGAAATACAAATTTCCCTAGTCTGGCTTTCTCTTCGCTTTGTACGCATGAAATCGCATGCTCAAACTCCTCCCGACTCGGATTCCACTCTTTCCAATTAAATGCCCAACGAACGGCCGACGACATTTTAAAAATATTTGCGTTAAGTCTAAACATTCAACTTATTCAATCACAGTTCGTATATTCCTGTATTCTTTGGCTGGTCTGAGATTGCAGTTGGTACACCCTTAAATTATCTCTGATTATAAAAATAATGTTTTTCAAGATATCTCGTTTAAGATACTCTCCAGGCTACTTGCTAGGATCCACCTGAAGCAAATATATCAACTTATTACACTTATTACATATATTCTTTTAAATTCAAAAAGATCTTTATTTCTAAGATGGATAATTCTGCTTTATGTGCTACACATGATACAGACAGAGACAGACAAATATAAAATGATTGGGTGATGTGTCATAGGAGTATATGCGGGTTCACCTAATTCTCATAATTGAGCATAACTGTATATATCATGGCGGATATAATATCCCCTAACACTAATTCAATTTTCTTAATTTTCATTGAAATTTTTTTATATGTTAGAAAAATATAATGGAAAAATAGTATCTCAATAGAATTATTTATAACTATTATTTAACGCAAACAGAAGCAAATATAGCACGCAATATAGACAACGACAGATTCTGTAAGAATAGAGAGCAAGCAGCAAACTACTATCAATATAACAACTATAAATTACATGTAAAGTAAACAATTGTACAATAACTTTTATCTAACAAATGAGAGACATCTGTAGATATTAAAATGTTCAAACATTTTTTCTTACCGTTCAGCCTGGCATTCTTTGGACCTCTATCAGCCTTGGAACTAGTAGCTGTTAGATGAGCTCTGTCCAAAAGAGGAATGTTGCATTCGTCGTCATCTAAGAGACACAATTGTAACATTTTCAATATATACTTTATTATGTTTCTTTTTTATATAAAAAATGATCATAGAATATGTTTAATCAAACACAAACTGGTAGAAAGAAAAGAGAGTTATCAAATTATTCTGCTAATACAATAAAAATATTGCACAGAATCGTTGGATTCTATCGTTGAACTTAAATGAGTGTAATAAAGTGAAATATATCACATATGAGGAGCATATGTAACTTTCAGAATTGCATTCTGCAAAGTAAATAAACACGTTCTACAGTGTCAACATACATTCTATACAAAAGTTGTTGATTCCATGCGCAAAATCACGTTAAAATATTAAACATAAATATTTCTTTACCCGTGTGCAACTTACATGAAAGAATAAATGTATCGATAACAAATTAAAGACGCGTGGACAAATGTGATGACTCATATGATCACAAAATATCGTACTGAAATGTTACACGATAAAGTATGGATAACAGGATAATGTCGTGGCTACAAAAATACGGCCAGATCACAAAATTATCATTACATGTATACTATCGCAGAGTGGAGCGTGCGTAAAGTGCGCGTAGCGTCACGCATGCATTCAATAGCGTGACGCGAACGCTCGCGCGCGCCATGTTATTTCGAGATGGGCTGGGTCGCCGTCATTCATCGGAGTCAGTTGGTAAGAGCGTTGGTTATACTTACAGGCGTACACGAGCGAGCTCGTCGCTACAACGAGCGCATACACGAGACACTTGAGAGCGGTCATCGTACCATCGCCTTGAACTAGAAAATGTCACTATTTTCGACTATCGCGGACAATACGACGAAAAGCACTCGCGCCAACGACAATTCGCTGCTGTCTCTCGCTCGGCCGATACGAGCCTATCACTTATATATATATATATATATATATATATATATATCTCTCTTTATCCGGGCACCAGCGATCGTCAATCCGACGCACCGTCGTGCACGCGTCGAGTAACGCAGGAATCCGACACGTTTCTGTATCCCTGCGATGAATCCCACTCTGAACCGCTCGGGTTTCCTTCACACGGCCGTGCGCGCCGATGCACGCGCTGATGCACACACGCCGACGACGACGACGCGAGTCAACTCAAGTGACGTGATCGGATAAATGCCGCCCCTCGTGTTTCAATCTTTCCAATGTATCGAATTAGTCATTCGATGACACCGCGGTCAGACAACTGTAAAATGGCCGTGAGCGCGTCACCTAGGATGCTTCTGAGTTGCCTTCAGACCCGTGAGCGGGAACTGCGGTTGCCTACTGTCGGTAAGGTAGAACTCGTCCGAAGCGGGGAGCGATCGGTATTGCAGTGAACTACTAGGATATTTTTAAGGTACGGTTACGTTCATACGTAAATTGTGATATTTTATAGTCTAATTTTGAACTCTCTTTTATCGCTAAAAGTGACTAACGCCCGGTTGCACCAACATTATTTTGGTTTTAAGCGAGACTTAGATATACGTCTGTCTTTATTCATTTAGAAAGAAAGATAAAGATAGATATATGTTTAAGTTTTGCTTAAAGCTAAAATAATGTTCAACCAGGTGCAACCAGGCCTAAAAGCGTCTCTAAAAATGATTTACTTTTAGAAACGCTTTTAATGATAAAAGAGAATTCAGAATATAAACCTATGTCTACTTGTAACCCAGTGAAAAATGATTGGTTTATGACAAAATGATATCAAATTGACGTCGATTTGACGACAGTTTCAACGTCAATTTGATATCATTTTGACGTTAATCAACGAATAATTTTTCGCTGGGTAAATAACGTAAACTATGTATGTGAGGAATATCATTTATCTAGACAATAATTCATTTATGGAAGCTGTTTAAGGAATGTATGGCTTGCTTAAAAATTTATTAATAAAAGTTTACAGTTTTATTAAACCTTTATAATTCTGATATGTAAATTTCTAAATGCCCAGATAGTCAAATCTGCGCGAACAGATTTCGAGTAGAGCTTGCTATCAACTTTTGATGGCAAATAGATAACAAATTTGATGCAGGATCTGTTATATCAAATCTTGCTGCCAAATTGCCGTCAGATATGCGGTAGAGCTTGTTATCGGATAATTGCTGCAGATTTGCAGCAAAAACCGCGCAGAGCTTGTAGCGATTTGACGGCAGATTGGCGGCAGAAACCGCGCAGATCTTGCTGCGCTGCAAGTTTTGTGCGGTTTTTGCTGCAAATTTGGCACTACTAAAATTTCCCGACAGCAAGATCTGTCACCACAACCGTAATCTAATGTAGACACAAATGGCTATGGTTTTGCTGTGAGTTTTTGATCAAATTTGCTGTCAATCTGCGCGCAGTCTGCGTTCAATTTGCTTACTGGGTATTGTTTCTTACGAGTTAGAGACCACAGAATATTCTCTGATTATATTCTTATTTTCAAAGTTAAATCTACTAATCTGTTATGAAATGCAAATTTTATTTTATAATAAAAAATTTAATTTGTTATCTTTTTGGGTAAAACTCCTTTAAACAGGAGTGTTACCCTTTTTTGAACATTACACTTATAATTAATATCTAAAACAGATATTATAAAATAGAACTATCTTATAATTTAGTTATTCATTTTTGTATATTTTAATGTAATTTACAATATTCTGCATAGTTCATATAGTCTACATGAAAATGCCATATAGATATGTTAATCGAGGCTTCTTTCATTATCTTAAAACTCAAGTAGTTCTTCTCATCATTTGAAGATTTAAAAGGTCTCAACTAAAAATCATTAGGTAATATAGGACAACACTCCTATTTAAGATTAGACTAAGTTTCATTCATATAAATTTGTTGAGCAAACATTAAAATGAACTATACAAACATAAGCAACAAACATTATAGTTTTAAAGCGAAATTGTTAGACTGTAAATTAAATAATTTTAAATTGAAAAGAAATAATTGAAAAGAAATAATTGAAAAGAAATAATTAGAAAGGTTTATGCGTAAATGCTGACCCAATTATGGATCAGCAAATTTCATGTTTCAATAACGAATTATACAATACAATTTTATATTAATAATGATCATATTCACATTGCTTCAGCCTATGTAGAATAATGATATATGTAGCACAATCTACCTTGTAAAAAAAAAAGATTAGATCAATATTTTCAAACATTAATTTTACATATATCTCTTAAACGCGTGTTTTTATTTAATATCTTAAAAATATTTCGAAGATATTGTCGGATAATATGATTTCTCTTTAAATATCGCAAAATGTTTTGGAAATATTGAAGTGCCAGAGTTATTCGTGTTTAATGTGGTTAATACAACGTTAAAAAAATACATATTGGAAAACATTATACGCGCGCTACTGAATATTGTTGAAACAACGTTCTATCAATGATTTTTTGCTTACTGACAGTCTTATAAACCCATTTGTTTATGAATATATAACTTTAGAATATAATTATAAAAGAAAGAATACTAAAAAATATTTTTCCATTTTTTCATTATAAAATGTACTTTTTTAATATATTAATAAACCAAGTTTCATTAACTTGGCCTATAATTGAGACAGTTGCGTTATTGTACTATGAGTTACAGTTGTATATTCGTTATATACTTATAATATATTTCTAATACAGTAGAAAGAAAACCGAGTGAAAATCTCTCGCAGAACGTATAAAACTACACTTATGTCTACGTACTTTTTGCTCAACTTGTCATTCTTTGATACTGTTTTTAATAGAATTTAGTTTTACAAGGATTACGCTTTAATAATTAATCATCAGTCATGCGCGTATCTTGCGTCCGAGACATGTCTATGGTGCTATTGTTCTTCGTCGCGGTTGCGGAAGATATGGTGTTTGGTTCATTTGCAGCTTCCGCATTTCGATCACGCGTGTCTGTGGAGCAAATTACGCTCGAATATGGCGGTGGATCTTCGCATTTTGAATCATTGGGTAAGTTGCCGATGGTTAATGACGGACGTGAAGATTCCGAAGTCGATTGCACGGTAGGTATCACAGACGAATATGATGGTGGTGGGTCCACAATCCGTTGAGATTCCCTCTGTATAAGAATACAAATAATATCGAGGATATACGATGTAATAAACTCAATTAAAGAACTATAAAATAAATGTGAATGTTAATCGAATCGAACGCAGATTAAACATTGGTAATAAGTTGCAAAAGATAACGTCCCAGATAGCACAAAGAATTAAAAAAGAATTCAGTCGTATGTCACCAATTCTAAGTTCATTTTTAGATGCAAAAAAATTCTTTTGACTAAACTTTGAAGAATTTTTTTTGCATCTGAAAATGAACTCAGAATTGGCGACATACGACTGATTTTTCAATTCTTTTTGAATTGCTTTTAAATTTTCTATGCTTCTGAAATAATGATAGTCCTAGAATATTCTCCAAAATATTCTTGACACATTCTGAATGATTCTATGATGTTTTGCGCTGTCTGGCTAAGAGAACATAAGCGAGAGGAAAAACTGCAAAGTGTACATCATGTACAAAATATTGCATCACATTCCACATAAAATAAAAATGCAGTAAACATTTTTGTTTTACATAACATTCTTGATTCTTAAAACAATTTGTTCTTAAAATAGTCAAGTTTTACAAAAGTTTGATTTTCGACTATTACTTCATTTAATTGTTTTACATAACAATCTTGATTCATTTCATTGATCGTGCCCTTTCATTCGCGTTTAACTCGATCGATCTTTGCAACATTTATTTTATAGACGGATTGAACGAGAAAACGATGCGAGATATATTTTGGAAAATAGCGATTTGTTTCAATGCAAACTGTTGATACCTCTCCACAATTGTCAACTGTTATTCCAGAGATAGTCCAAATATTTCTTTCTCGTCTTTCATTTTCATAATCCGTTCTTCTTTGGTACTCCTCGAACCACGTTCTTTGTTGAGCTCTTTTTATGTGGTAGGCCATCCAGACGCAAATTAGGAGGAACAGCAAGGTCAATATCGTCACGACAATCCACGTATATTCCCATTTCAATAATATCGAAGTCACTATTAACACCGCAATCCATGCAACCATTACAGTAGCCAGCGTACGGCCAGAGCAATCTGTATCCTGAATACATCCGAGTAGGTATACGCACATCGTGCAGTATATTTCGCCTGCGTTTAAGGTAAAATGTATTATTTGAAATAAAGTGAATGTCCCAATTAGTGACAGTTGCATCCGTTTTTTCTCAACGAATCATTTAACACGGGCCCATGTTTATCCTGAATATGTATTCTTACTTTAAATTTTATATATCATCAGTTAGAACAAATTTCGAATGAAATTAGAAATCATAGTAAATGCTGAGTTATTCACTTTACAAACGTATTGCTGACTTCATTAGCTCGAACAGTTGCTCGCCTACATTTTAGAAGTTGACAGTTAATATCACATGTTTATTTGTTAGATCTGTGCAGTTATTCTTTAACTTCAAGTAATTGGAATAGTTACAGAAAAGCTGAGAGAAAATTAAAGAATATTTTGTAAGAAGAGAAAGTAACAGAATATGTGATTTTTTCATAGTTAATTCATATATATCACTAATCAATAGGATGTTTATTTGTTTTAGTAACAATCTGAATAAATATAACAAAATGTTCCTATTTTTCAAAAATATGTAGTTTGTGAATCTTATTTATACACAATTAAAAAATACCATTAATACCATAACTTGTTCCTTCGGAATTTATTATAAATATAATAGAAATATGAATCATAAATATATATATATATATATATATATATATATTTATTTATTTATAAATTGATTCGTGATTGATTACTAATCTATCACTGACTATCACTGATATAGCAATTTATAACTAATAACTCATATATATACACACACATAATAATACACATTCGTGATCCTGCACTGATTTGTGATATTCGAATAATGTGAATTCGAATAATTACCTATTGTTTTTTATTAATAAATTTATATTTATTAATTATTATTAAAATAAATAAAAATTAAATCATCATGTCGTTAAGTGGTATATCACTTACTTTTGAGAAAATATTATAAATTAAATAAAATCTTCCCATAAATTAGAAAAATATAACACAATTGAAATCCCAAATATTCAAGCCTTCCAAAAAAAATCAATTTTGTGACTTGGCTTAACACGTTATTATTATTACGTACATTCGTCCATTTTCACAAATTGCTAGTCACTAATTGGAACATTCACTTTATTTTATTTCTTCTCACACTGCGTTCTCTAGCATCTTATCTTTACAACTGACAAATAAACGCGTTTCAACGGTGCTGCTCGATCGCTATTATTCATTCGACAATGGATAAAAAAATGCTGATAATTGTCACCGCGATTGCAATTGATATTGTATCAATTCTATAAAATGAGTAGAAATTACGGCGAATTTTTAATTTTATTATCAAGTCACCATACATACCAACAGAAGGAAGAGCAACATCCTTTGGTATTACGGTCGATTCGGACCAAACTTTATTTTCCCAGCGGACTAGCGATTATTAGTTTTATCTACTTATCGGCAACGATATACTTATCTGTGATCACGAACATACGATACACTTATTTATCATTACAAATAATCAAGCCAATATACATAATCAAAATTTACTTTCCATGTTTCGTCTGTCTCTTCGTTATTGCGGCGATTTTTCAGGAATGTTCGAATTATCAGAGCGATACGCTAACTAACATTAGATCGAACTGTTCTGATTCGAATTTATCGATTGTTATTGCATTGCGATCGTTCTCTAAAAGTTATTCATGTTGCCATCATAAAAAAATGCTCAAGTTTTCAAGTCGGAAGCACTTAAATTTACCCTGCAATTCGTTACTTACCCAGCTACTTTTTTGCTGGCCTTAAAAGATAAGCGATTCGCTTCATCAAGCGTCACGGGCGAAGTGCAAGTGCGCATGTATACTGATACGAAAGTCGCGTAATCAGTTTATTATACATCGAATTTGTACACAGGTTGCACGGCTATTTTTAACAATTCACGTGGAACTTGAAAATTGCCCGATTGAGACGAGGCTCCAATGCATAACGCGAATGCTAAAAAAAAACGTCATAGTCCATTGAAACACGAGCAGATATCGCGTTAAATTGAAATCAACATAAGATTAAGGAGGCCTTCGCATGCGTCAGCCGATAAAAATGGATTGATTAAAAAATTTTTACCAAACGGCTATTATTACAATTCAACTTCTCTTACACAAATTTTTCTTCTAACTAATTCTGACGAATTCTAACTACCTGGAAAACATCTTTTCAAGGAATCACAGAAAAAAAGAATTATTACAGGGACCTTTCTAAAAGTTCTATTGTTATGGCAAACATCTTAGAACGACTTACAGCGATAAAGAACCAATAAGAAAAGATTTTTTGTTCCTTCTACAGTCGTTCTAGAACAAAGTCGTTCTAGAATAAAGTTAGAAAGCAACTGAATCAAAGCAACTTCTCGTTCTATTTTAAACTTCCAGCTTCACTCTGTAGACAGAATGCTTGGTCTATGCATGTCGTTGGTTACAGCGAATTCGACCACGTGCATTAACCCAAGTAGCAAAATGACGTCAGAAGACGTCATATTAACGTCAGAGGACGCCAAATTAACGTCAATTTAACGTCTTCTGATGTCACTGTGCTACTTGGGAAGTGTCCATTAACGTTTCATAATCCGTTCTTACATTTAAAATCATCTTAAATACAAAATCTTCAACTACATATATCTTCAAATACTTCGTAACCAGTAAAATGATACGCACAGCACTCGTCGCACGCGGATCGTTGGTTAAGAAGTTTTTGAAGATGTATTTAAGACAACTTTGAATATAAGAATAGGCTATGAAACCTTAATACATTTAGTACGAACGGCCGAATTTGCTATTAGAGTAAAAGAAAATATATTTGTTTCACTCTAACTTGTCACACTAATGTAGAAATTTTTCGAAAACGAATAAACCTGTTCTTGATAATCTATTCCTGCTTCTAGAAACATATATAGCAAAATTGAAGAGAATTATTAATTTATGTGAAAAAAAGAGAGAATTAATATTCTTTCCGTTTCGAGTAAAAATACGTAGAAAAAATGAAAAGAGAAATAAATCTTTCACAATTTTTTCTGATTTTTGAGATCCTCCTTAATAAGATAAGATCTGAGTAACATTGAGATTAAAAAAAAAGCATTTTCCCATACAATACATGTCCAAAATAGATCCTAGGAACACACGTTCCAGAAATATCTTAATAACTCTAGAACATTTCTCAGATGTATTTCAACATTTGTACTCTACGGGTTATTATTTATAAATATTTATAATTATTATTATAACAATAATAGTAATGTTTTTTGAAACATCTTTTTTAAACTGTGTCGTCTGGGTCGCTCTTACTTACCTTACACTATCTTACGTAAATCAATGTATTTCACACGTGCCACTGCCGATGCGATTCGATCACCACGTGCTTCGGCCATACGTGGCACCGGTAGAACGTTCGCGTTTGTTTCTGCCAAAACTATACACGAGAGAAATATCCCAAGTAAGGTCAAGGTTTCACTAGTCGCACCGTCACTGTCGAAATCTAAGAAGCGATACAGCTTTCGCTTTAACGACGACTTTACGACGACTACGCGTGAACTCACAGAGAATCCCCACTACCGATCCAGGTACACTTATCGTCTGCCAATGGCATACAACGTTTTTGAAACAGATAACGACAATTGTGTGATTAGTCTAAGATAGAAAAGTCTCTCTTCCAAGTGAGATATGCGAAGCCGCTGTAATTCTCGTGTCGCAGATTGTACATGCGTGTATTTGCGAAGAAAACACCGCCAAATATGATATTATTGAGTGAAGCGTGCACAGCGAGCAACAAATAGCGAATTGTAGCGACAGTAGGATGACACTAAGTTTGAAGTCTATTAATTACCTCGCTTAAGTCAATTAATTCACCATATTTCATTGGCAAAAATTATTGAAAATTTGTTTAAATAATACAGTGTATACGTATGTGTATATAATTCTCGTAACCACTATGATAATTCTGCGATATCGATACGATATAATAGGAGTATTAATAATTTTATAGCTTATCAAATTTGAAAATTTGAATTTTCGTAAACTATTGTTTATAATAATAGACAGAATATGCGCATGCACGTATATATGTTACACAATATCTTAGCACAATAGCGGATACAAAAATTGACACAATAATTTAATTCGATACGTTTCGAAACCAATTCGACATCCAATAAAAAAATTAAACAATCTTCCGAAAGTTTCTTAGAAAAAAGTTTTTTTATTAGACGTCTGTTGCGTTCCGAGGTACATCGAAGAAAAAATATGTCAACTTTTAGTTTAGACAGTTTCAATACTTTTCTCGATGCAGTTTGAAGCGCAGCCAATAATCTAACTGGAAAATTTAAGCAGGTTGTAAAAAAAAATTAGTTTGTTATGGATTCATTGAAATTTGCACTATATATAATTCGAAATATTTTCCCAGATAGCACAAAATCTTCAGAGAATGTTCTGGAATGTTCTTAGAATGTATGAATGCCTTTAGAACGTCTTTTGAAAATTTGTGCTGTATGGCATCTAACTGGCCGTGCAAATAGAAAAAATTGACCATTCAAGAGTTGAGATTTGAAACTGAAATTGATACTTTTTATAAGTGTTTTTTACATTTTGTATGTTATTCTTAATTTCCATTTGTAATTTCTTGTAAATTAAATTATAATTTTAATGAGAGAACTTTACTATGATATATTAAAGACTAAAATATCTATAATATAAAGACTAATATACCGACATTATACACCAATTTCAGAATCATTGACCGTTTTGTTTAGAAAATACAGCGGTGAAAAGTTTATAATTTCTAGTAATATTTGAAGTACATATACCTCTATACACATATTTAAATATTTATATATTTTTTTCTATTATCGCATCTCTATTAAATCAACTGATACACAAGTGAAGCATTAGTAAAAAATACAAAAATAATATTTTTTGTATTTGTAATATTGTGCGTATATATCCATTTCAATTTTTCCTCAAATTATTACTTACACAATAAAATTAATTAAATAAGATAATTTCATTATCTAAGTAAGATAACGTATTATCGTACTTAGATAATTATAATAAGTAACATAATGAATTATTTTCATCATTTAAGTAATGAAATAAATGCACAGAAACATAATTTTGATTGATAAATAGTAAGTTTATTCCTTTGATGCGTCATTGAAAATATGATACTGAATTTTACAACTTCTTGAAGTAAAATAAATGTACCAATGCTTGAACACATCTAGTTCTGGACATTTTTATTGTTTTGGTCTTTAAATAGGAATATTTAAATTTTTAACATAAAATATATATATACACATTCCACGTTGAAGATATAAATGTTCGTATTTAAAGGCCAAAACAATACGAATGTTCAGAACTAGCTATGGGATTTGGTACTTTTACTTAAACTTGTTAGAATTAATAAAAAATAGGTTCTCTCGGACTATCGACTGCGTTTTAAATTCTATCGAGAGGAAAATATTAAAACCATACTAAGACCCCCAAGTGTACAATGCAATTCTTTCTTATCTTACGCATATACAGTCATTAATCAAAAGCTTGCAACATCTTTACCTCAATGAGTTTCACAATTCATTCCGTATCGAATAGGGGAATTTGCTCTTTAGTAATTCTTAAAAGATGCATTTTTTCATTGTATATGCGAGTGTTGAGGAACCCATCTAGAGATAAAAGTGTGGCAATCTTGTTCGTATTGTAATGCAGACTGTACGTATTGTAATGCCCAAACGCATGCTCAAAGTTGTCTTGAAAAACGAGAGATGGAACGAGAATGTCATTTTTATTCAACGCCATCAGTTCGACACTTGACTGAAATACATAGCCAACAATATTCAATTTCACGCGATATGCGGACTCAGGGGCGCATATCCGGGCGAATTACATAATTCTACGAAATGTACAAAAATTCCACGCTCATTCATATCACAACTGTCAATCATATTGGAAGGATACGTAATGTCAATCAGGGTCCAAATAGATTATCGGTACTCGTTACAGATTCGTGTTTACGCTCTTGTCGGCGATTGCATCAATCGTCGTGATATTTTGCTGATACGTGAAAGAAATAATGATCATTTGGACCGCGATTAAGATCTTTTTCTCTCCTTCCCTCTCCCTCTCTCTTCCTCTCTCCCCCTCTTTCACATTACTTTTTCTCTCTTTTTCTCCCCGTTCTCAGTCTGTTATTTATTTAACCATTCCCTAAATATATCATAAAATAATACGACGATGTCGATGTCATGGATTCGTTTGCGTATAATTAGCGATGTACGGGAAGTGCGGAATTGCGTAAGATACCGCGCTGGTCCCTTATCTCTAAGCGATGATGTCGTGGCAGCTAATACATAATAAGTAATTCTAAGCGAGATTGTTTACAAATTTTCTAAAACTCGACGCGAGTACATTCTACCTTTCGCTATTCAAACGCAGCGGGCCGCGACAGTGCGTTATGTAGCGCTATGTTGGTCTTCTAGAGGAACAGACCAGTTTGAGCAGAGTTACCTAGTCGATTATTATCGGAGAGACGAAATTTCATGGATACATGTAGAGCATCAGACAGAAGGAACAGGATTGTATCGATGGCATTCAGTGACAAAGTTTACCCGCGGGTGAACTTTCGTTTAGGGCAGTAATCGAGGATTGAAGCGTCCCATGTGCAGAATTATACCGGAAGGATTGTGTCGGACAAAGTACAAGAAAGGCCTATCGAGTTTCAACCTAGGTCTCTCCGACGTAGTTGAGAGCTGTCTCTTCTCTCTGCGGAATCGACCTGTGTGCGATCGGTCCGCATGGAGCGAACCTGTGTGATCCTTCTGCGATGATACCCCGCTGTGTCTCAACACGTCGTCTTCGGTGACGTCATCGGAATCTCCGTCGATGTCCTCGACTCGTCGTCTGATACTTCTCAAAGGGCTCGCAGGATATGTTTCCACGTGATGTCGACCGCTGAGGATATTCTCGTCACCGCAAGTGCTGAACAAATTCATCTGCGACCGAGAATCAATCGTAAATAGCGTTATCATCGGCGATTAGAACTGTGCGAATGAGTGCGCAACTCTTATCAGCAATTGAGGCACCTAGTTCCTCTCCGTGGAACTCTTAATTGATGACATCAAAAGCGAGAAAACATATGTCCAAAATTCTTGCATGCCACCTTAAATTAAAAAGGCATTTGAATGAAAGAACGCTTTCGGTCGTTTGAATGTACTTGTAAAAGGCTTCGAAAACTATTCTTTTCCCTTGGTAGTCAATAAATAGCCGTGAAAGTAACGTAGCATGCAACTTTCCTCTTCAATCTTTCCTTTCTCATAATTTACGTTGATTTTACCTTGATTTATTGACTGGCAAGGAAAAAATAGTTTTCGAAGGTATATTCTATCTAAAGTATCCTTTCAATCAGATACCTTTTTTATTTGAAAATAGCACGCAAGAATTTTTTGCAGGTTATTTCTTGTCTCTAACGTCACGATCCAACATAGCCGCGACGAGTACCCCAAAAAAAAAGAATTGTGCAAATATTCTTACAGAGTAAAAGTATAAATGTCAATGCATGGAAAGACACTAAATATTGTGTATCAGAATCAAAATAATTCGTTTTATTTACAAATTTTTTATTTTTGACACAATATTTAGAGTCTTTTTTTCTACATTGACTTTTATATTTTTACTCTGTAAAAGCATTCGCAATTCTATGCAACTACGCAATTCTATCAAATAGAAAAATAGCACAAATTACGAAATTGCATTATGTTAATATTCAGAATCCCCTTAACTATATCTACCTGTAATACATCAGCCAAGTGGAGACGGTGGCCTACGCCGTTGATGCCCTTGAAGTCGGCATTACCTGAGAACAATTCGTCGAGGCCCATTCTTTTCAAAGCTGCGGTGGCGTTCACGACAGATCGATGACTGAATTTAGGTACTTGAAGTTCCAAGCCACTTCTGGATGTTAGAACCTTCAGCAACTTGTTCCAAGTCCCGTCACGGAACGCACTTTTGACGAGACGCTGCTCGAGGCGATCCAACGTATCACCGGGTGCAGTGTGACCTTGTTGACCTGGTAACAGGAAAATCGTCGAGACAAGCTTGTCGCTTCCCCCGAGAGCGACCGCAGTAGCGTCGATACTAGGTTCGTAACCGGCCAAAACGCCCGATCGCCAAGTGGTAGCCGGTACCGGCACAAGTCTTCTCTGTCTCACGGCTGGCGAGACCGCGAAGTACAGTTCACCATCTCTGCCGACGGAACTGGTCAGAGTGGTGTTGCAGTCAGTCTGGAACACGTTGGCGGAGAGCGCCGCCAAAGGCGATCTGAGTGGCACCGTATTTGTCTTGACGAAGTCTTTGATTCTGCCGCCGGTCTGTTTCCTGATCAACAGATTCGTCCGCCTACGCACGAGGTCGCTGATGGTGGCGAAGTTCACTTCAGCCACGAGACCCTCGTAGAACTGCTGTGCCTGTTCTTTGTAGAAGGGCATAAGCTTCCTGACTTTCATCTTATCAGCAAACAGCTCACGAACGAAGGCAGCATTAGCGATACCTTGACCTCTGGCCAAGCCCACCGTGTCCGTAATATTCTGGAAGACCAAGTGCGGGTTGAACGTGGTCACATCGTCCAACCCGAGCACCTCGTTCATCTGATCGGACGTTGGGCCGCGAGCGCCCAAGAAGATCATCGCCAACAGACTAGTCATACCGAAAGGCGACAGAGCTAATGACCTAGCGGTGCTTAGACCTTTATTGGTGGCCACCCAGTAGTTGAAAGCCAACTCGTTGCACAGCTTAGCGAAGTTCACAATATCGGTGCTTGTGTGCTTTACAGTGACGTCCAAGCCGCTTGCACTCTGAGACACGTCCAGCGGCAGCACGGGTTGAGGTATCGTCTGAGGAGGATCGTCCTGCTGATACGCCGTCGTATCAGGTCCTGGAATACGAACGTTGCCGTTCTCGTCCGGGTTGGATGACCCTGAAACGTGGCTGGATGGCGGCTTCCTCAGCGGCTTCGGCGGTTTTGATGGCGGTTTCGGCAACTTCGTCATAGCTGGCGGTGTCTGTTGCGATATAAGCGTCCATTTTTCCTCCGTATCAGTGTCCGCTTCGGGTTTCGAGACGTTGGACTTTTCCAACGGCTTGTAACTCACTGTGGGCTTCAATGCGGACGGACGAGTTGGAACGTTCGGCATCGGTGACTGCGGACGCACCACGTCAGGTTTCGGAGAATTCTCTGAATGTTTCAAGGACGCAGGTTTGCTCTCCGTACTGTTGAACTCCCCGTTAGTTTGCGTCGATCCAGAAGTGCCTGTGCTCTCTATCGGCATGATCTGCGTCGTGTGTTGCGGTGACACAATTTTGTCACGTTGATTTGACGTTTTGTTGATAGGATTCGAAGGTTTCGTACCATTGGCTAGACTCGGTCGGGAAGGTTTCTCGTGGTTCCCACTTACATTGCCCGATGGGGCCTGCGTGACAACTTTGATAATCGGGCGATCGGTATGCGCACTTACTTGGCCCGATGACGAAGAAGGAGACGAAGAAGGAGACGAGGTACTAATGTTATAAATAAGTGTATCAGTCTTGTTGCTTTGCATGGGCCGAGATGTAACGGTTGTACGATTATTAGTCGTAGTGTGCGACGATGTGGTCATACTCATCGGTGAGGTCGTACCCTTGTTCTTGTCGAGAGTAGTCGCATTGCTGACACGATTCGTATTCTGCGCGAACACTGGTCGACTACTGGTGGAATATTCAGTCGACAGATTCGCGGTGTTAAACGTAATATTCGAAATACCTGTGCCTGTTGTGACATTACTGTGATGCTTATGTGAACCGTGCAGCTCGGATTTAGAGCCGTTGACAGAGCTAGTGACGTGGCTGGAGAAATTATGATGCTGTTGATGAACGGCGACACTCTGCGTTGCCAAGGTATTCGCGGAAAACTGATTCTTTTCACTTGACATTTCTGTCTTTGAGCTACTTTCCGTGTGTACTGAAGAGTTCATGTTTCTGGTATTGTTCCCACCAGCTGAATCCATCGATGTGACTTTCACAGGAGACGATAATTCGGAACCTACGTCTGTTCTTATGATTGGCGCCTCCGTCGTCTTTATTTTCTCTCTGTTGTCCTTTTTGTTTTGATTAGAAGTCACGTGGAGTTGGGTTTTATTAGTGTATAACGGTCGAACGTCGGAATTCGTCGTTGATAGCCGCTCAGGACTCGCGGTAATGGCTCCCATGGCAGTAGTGCTTCGTTCAGTGTTACCTTTTGAGACATAATTACCGTTCGCAGAATTACCTAATAAGGACGATGACGATACTTTTGTAGAGTCGTTGATTTTCTCGCTGCTATTCGGTAGTTTTGTTGGCTTCGTCGTTAAGACGTTCTTGTTACCTGAAGTCACAGTTGACGCTTTCGTGTGCGTACTTGAACCCACCGTGCTGCTTTTAATCGGGCTCGTCACAAGCGTTCGTTGCGTCGATGTTTGCGTATATTTAATACTTTCTTTCGGACGGTCAGCGGATACATTGAGAGTCACGGTTCCTTTGTGTATCTGAGTGACGTTTTCGATGAATTCTGTGGGCTTAGTCGCGCCCACAGTCGAAACAGTTGGTCGTGCGCTCGATGTGATCTTCGTGACTTGATTGCCGTTGATTTCTTCAAAGGGTGACTTTTGAGACGTGCTTAGGAATCCAGCGATCAGCCCGCTGGCCAAGTCACTAGTCACGATATCCGACGTATCGTTGGGCAAACTGATCGGTTCTACTGTGGGAGTGCTGGACGGCAATGGCACGATGTTCAATATCTGGTCGATCGCGGACACCGGGTCGCTCAAGTTCAAGTTCATGAGAGTATCGTCGAAATATTCGCTAGTCGGCATGGGTCTCTTTAGGGATACGTTTAGGTCCATCGACGCGCTTGTAGATGGTGTTTTGGTCGTGTCGAGAATCGACGAAGTAACAGATAAGATTTCTTCAGGAGATGTAGCCCCACCAGGAGTGTGTTTCTGCAACATCGTATTGGTTGCAGTGGCGGTTCCGAAAGTTGCAGAACTTTCGGTCAGACTTTCCACCGATACGTTCTGGATCTTCTCCAGCTGAACCCACATGGGCGAGGAAGTCGTAGTATCGGTCGATTTAACATTTGATGTAGAAGACGCCATGGCTATGTTATTAATCACCATTCCGTTACTCATTATTTCGGTCGTGCTTGAAACTGAGGGCTTCAAGGAGATTTTATTCATTCCGGCTTTCACTATCGATACTTTATCCATTCCCATTGATGTGGGCCGATGAGTAGTGGTAGATTTAATGGTGGAGTAGCTAGTAGTTCGGGTAGCAACGTCCAACGGTGGAAGCTTCACAGCCACGGTCGGGTAGGTCTGTGAACCGACGGCGACGCGTTCAATGTTCTCTTCATTCGCGCCATGAGCTGTGAGCGTGTCGTAACGATTATTCACGCTCGTGAGCGTGTTCTTAGCTGAGTCGTCGGACATATTGTACCTTTGATCGTGATTGATGTTCATCATCGTCATCTCCGGCAGGCCACCTGATGTAGACGATAAAGATAGTACCGGTGGTTTCGCCTCCGAGATTTGACTCATTACACTCGAGAAGGAGTCGATCAATTGTGTGGGTAACGGCTCCATCGAAACTGACGATTGGATCTCGGTCGGTCGAAGGTGATCCTTCGTGTACGTCGGTGTAACCGAGTTGACTGATAGTTTCTCAGTGACCTTCGAAGTAGCCTCATTGAGACGATTAGTGTGCGACAAAATCGGAACGGTCGAGGTCTCGATTTTCGAGACAGAGGAGAACGTAGACAGTAAATGCGAAAGCAACACGGGCTCATTAGACATTTCCTCAGGTTTCGGAGCCGTGGGTGCGTGAGAAAGCGGCTTCGAGGTAGCGGTATTAGTTTGCGAGATTAATTTTTCGTCACTTTGTATCCCGTTCACCTGAGACTCTTTCGTAACGCCAAGCGCGAATGAGGGATCCTCGGATGGCTTCATATTGTTCTTATTCTCCGCGACAGCGTAATTCGCGTTCGAAGGAGAAGAAGAAGAGATCTTGCTAGTCGTTGCTTCATCGACCCCCTTGTGCGCTACAGTCTGCTTTATGTCGACAGCTGAGGAAACCGTTGATATGCTCGATGTGGTCGAATACGTGGCCGTCGGAAGTCCCATGCCTCCTTTGTCATCGAGATTCGCCGTTGTCTGCTTCGGGAAGTTTGCAAAATATGCATCTGAATTCATGGAGTGCAAGGATGTCAAGGTTTCAGGTACTTCCGACAGAGCCAACTCTATGAACTGCTCGGTCTGACTCGCCTCCTCGGTCTGGGTCGGCTGTGACTGATCTTGCTGATGATGGTTAGAATCGGTGGCCTCGACCGGGATCACACTGAGCATTTGGAAAACCGGGCTCTCGGTGATGACGGACTGCAATGTGGTCAGCTTCTGTTCCGTTAAAGTGATGACTGGAACCGGAATCATCGGTTTCTCCGAGAACGCGCCGGCTGCAGGAACTTGCTGCGGATGATGGATGTATTGAGGCCTCTCGCCGTGCTCCATGTTATTGGTGAAACCGCCATACGCGTTTGTCTGCATCGCCGGCTTTTTGGCGTCGTTCGACGTTGCGTTTGTTCCGATATTAGACGCGCTTCCAGTTGCTGTCTCTTCTGTCGTGAACTTATGTGACGACTCGCTGCTGCTCGGAGAGATCGCGTCAGCCTCGCCGGACAATATAGAAGGCAAAATGTTGCTCCATTCGACGTTCGCGTGCTCTGGTATCTTCGGCACCGTGCCCGTTAAGATCAGCGGCTTGTCGAGCGCGCTCTTTAGCACATTCTGCACTTTCTGTACTACATCCATGACCTAAAATGCGATATGGGATGTACCAAATCCGTAAACAAAACTGTAATAGCTCTGTTAGCTCTTACTACTTGTTTGTATTTATCTTGCTTTTGTATTTAGGCAATTTAATTTTACATGAAGCTTAATATAAACCTATCGAAATTAATATATTGTACTTTTTCGTTTCAGCAATTAATTTTTTGATGCAAGATTTTTGTTTTTACAAATCAAATTTAATTTGATATGATTTTAATCAATTATCATTTTAGTTTAGTAGATTTAGCGCTCGCTTGTCAAATTTGTTTTACATTACACTTCATGCAGATGCCATCATCATTCGATTTCATCTACATCTTTTATAATGAAATATATAACTTTCAGACTCTTGAGTAACACCCGTCGCGGCCATGTTGAATCGTAATGTCAGAGGCGAGAAATGACACGTTAAAGATTTTTGTATATCATTTTCAAATGAACAGAGATTTAAATAAAAGTACACTTTAAACTGTTTGAGTATATTTGTGAAATGTTCCGAAAATTATTCTTTTCCTGATGCCAATGAAATAGTCATAAAAGTGACGCATAAATCATAAGAAAAGTTCGATTAGAGAGGAAAATTGCCAAATTAGTTTAATGGCTTAATGGCCAATTAGTTAAATGGTTTAATGGCCAAATTAGTTTATTGACTCAAGGAAAAAGAATAGTTTTCAGGCTATTACAAGCTACTATTTTACAAGTATACTGAAGTAAGCTGAAATGCTTTTTCATATAAATATCTTTCTGTTTGAAAATGGCATACAAGAATTTTAAGTATGTATTTTTTTGCTTCTGATGTTATTAATCAAGTTCCGCGACGAGAGATTAAGACCCTTAAAGGGATTCAGGATATCGATGTAATGCAGTTTTGTAATTTGCACTGTTTTTCTATTTGATTACATAGAATTGCAAATGTGTTTGAGTAAAAGTACAAATGTCAATGCATGGGTCTAAATATTGTGTAAATAAACCAAAAAGTTTTTAATCTTATCTTAGTTTTTAAAATTATTTTGATTTTAATTATAATTTTAAATATAATTAATTTTAAATATAATAGAGTCTTTCTCCGCATTGACATTTATACTTTTTCTTGAAAAACGGTGTAAACCACGAAACTGAATATTGTCGGTATCCACTTAGCATCATCCTTTTAGATTGTATCCTCTTAGATTGTGTGAGAGAGAAATATCGTTATTTACTAAATTACTTAAATTGAAATCGTTATGTACTTTTTTAATCTACATTTACACAAACATCAATAGTTATATACGACAAGGGACAAGAAACAAGGGACAACCAACCTTTTTGCCACCTGTGAGAACGTCGTCGGCTTTTTGAGGTTCTTGCCTGTCCATCGCGATATGATCCGCGCCACCTGCGGCGATGAGGCCTTGAATTTCCTGAACGGTCATCTGCCGCGTAATCATATCACCTTTGTCGTTGTAAGTATAAAACTGAAACTTGTCGGGCCGCAAAAGTCCAGCCGGGGAAGCGACCAGTTTCTGGCTGGACTGCGTGTCGTTTTTGCCGTCCGGAGGATGCCCGCGTTTGTTGTAGTCTTGGCGTATCATTGTTGAAGTGATCGCACTGTAAATACATAGAGAGATCCGCCCAGAATATTACTACGGCGTAGCTTTTATTAGTTCAGTTACTCGAGAGTACGTAAATTATGTCTGAACGTATATACAAGTAAATATATACAAGAAGGTCACGAAGTAGAACAGTGCCTATGAATTATAAAGTCGAAACATTTTCTCAAGCAAACACACGATATATAAGTATTGTTTATCTTTACACTTTCAATATACAAGAAAAATTATATTTTTAATAGCATTATGTGTGTGATGCCTGTGCTTGACTCTTGAAGGCCCTATTAATTTAATTATTGATTGTTATCACAGCTTTATTTACTTTACTTTATTGTTAGAGCGCGGACGGAAGAACGCGTAACTCTCAGACTCTGTCAGATTCTTTCTTTAACTTTATAAAAGTCTACTTTGCTGATAGAACGAGTAATGATCTTAAGTCGCTTGTACATTCTGATGAAATTATATTCGTTATAATAATGTAACCTGTTTCTATAATGAATTCTATAGCCATTGTGAAAAGAATTCAATTAAGGAGTGAAATGTTTGGACATGCTACTTCTATATTTATTGATGAAACACTTCGTTATATTTTTTAATAAAACTATGATGTATTTGGCTTTTAAAGATCTTATCAATATAATTATTGTTTATCCATTTTTTTTTTATAAACGCGTATTGATAGAGAATGATGCAACGGCAATTCGCACATCAGCAAGGATCTGCTCCGATTCGATAAGAATCGGACGTCTAATGCGTGCCTATATAATTCCCTTAATTAGACTCCTCATTAAGGCCCCGAAATTATCCGACAGCTCGGGAACTAAACCGCGACGTGCGCTCTTTAATAAGAGCTCCTTGTCCTTTCTTTCTTTCCGTATTCTCTGCTTTGTCTGTCTCAAGAAACGTGATGTCTATCTAAATACTGTTTGTTCGTATACTGTTACATATTTTTCCTCCGTCTCACGTTGACTTCTCCGCCAACCGTCTCCGTTAATTCGCCGGGAAAAGGCCTCGACGACCGATTCCAGCTTCGTTATTACTCTCTACCCCGAATTCGTTTCATCATTCGTACACGTACACGCAATTCGCGTGTTCGTGCGAAAGTCGGCAGTTTCGTTTGACAAAAATCCCACGCGTGATACTGACCTAGGATCAAACGTATTCACAGACACGTGCGAGCTCCGTTCATCGTGAGCCGGTAGAGCCGCACCTAACTGCAGGTGCATCCAAGATACGATTAGTGCCGGCAATAGCCAGCGTAATCGTTGCGGCAACATGATAATTTTCGATCTTCTGAAAACGAAAAAAGTTGTTGTAATTGAAAGAGAACTGATGTACCACGAATTGCTTTTGTCTATTTATTCTCCAGTATGTGCGTTTAGAGATGCGTACGAGAGCGTTAGGTTAACACTATGCCCGGTAGAGCCATTTTGAATACTTTAAGGCTTTCTTATTGTCGTCATTTCCGTTTCTCGTGGTTTAGGAAAAAGATCTCTCGTGACTTTTAGTTATTTTTAAAGTAGAACACGCTAAGAGAGATTGACGGAAGAATTAGATAATATTGTGATGAATTATTGAATGATTTACCTTGAATGTTCAAGTGAGTCATTTTGACTCTTTATTTAATTATCAACGCTACAAGGATAATACATAAATTATTATTTGAGATCTTAGTTGTTTAATTGCGATTAACCTTTTCAGGCACATATTTTTCTATCAATCAGTTTTTCATGAAAATTGATATACAAGGATTTTTTGGGTCACGGATTATGAATCTCTCGGTAGTTTTTTATAATTCTTTGTCAAAATGGCAGATCCAATATGGTGGCTTACAATTTTGGAAGTTTTTTATCTGTTTTTTATGAATATTGGTATATGGGATTTCTTCGGATCTCTGATTACGAATCTGTCATTCAATTTTTATAGTTCACTTTCAAAATGGCGGCTCACAATTTTGGGGGTTTTTCATCGGTTTATTATGAATATTGGTATGCGGAGGTTTTTCAGATCTCTGATTACGAATCCGTCATTAGATTTTTATAGTTCACTTTCAAAATGGCGGATCCAATATGGCGGCTCGGAATTTTGAGGAATTTTGAGGTTTTCTATCAATTGTAAAAAATTTACCGAAAACCCAAAATTTTCTCAAAACATCGATCCGCCATATTAAATCCGCCATTTTGAAAGTGAACTATAAAAATCTAATGACGGATTCGTAATCGGAGACCCGAAAACACCCCTAAAATACTAATATTATACTATACTAATATTCATAAAAAATCGATGAAAAACCCCCAAAATTGTGAGCCGCCATATTGAGCTCGCCATTTTGAAAAAGAATTATAAGATTCTACCAAGAGATTCGTAATTAGCAACCAAAAAAACCTCTGTATACCAATTTTCATAAAAAACTGATGGATAGAAAAATGTATACCTGAAAGTGTTAACTTTGTTTATTTATGTATACTTTGTTTATTTATATAAATAAATTGACAAATAATGAAGGAAAGGAGGAATACGTATAATGAGGAATACGTACTTCTAAGAAATTTTTTCAATATTCAATGCTCGATTTCTCTACTTTTTTTGTAATTTTATTTTGGTAATATGTTCAGGATTGAACATTATTGGGTAAGGTGGGATTTTTCTTCATTATTTGTTAATTTGTTTATATAAATAAACAAAGTTAACCCTTTTAGGTACAAATTTTTCTTGGTTTTTTTGGTTGCTGATTACGAATCCCTTGGTAGATTCTTATAATTCTTTTGCTGCATTGGTGGTATTCTCAGAGTACTACCTACTTCTAAGAAATTTTTTCAGAAGGAGGAGGGCAACACTAGGTGGCGGCGGGACCCCGTGCGTTCGAGATCTGCGTATCTTTTCTCTTTCCAGAGAGAGAAAAATATCGATAGGGCGGTTCTGCTAAAGCCGGGAACTTGAACCCGGGTCTTTCGCTTGCCGGGCGACTGCTCTAAACCACCGAGCTATCTGACGCTCCACACTCACGACACTCTCCTCTTCCTAGATAACGTTCAGAGATGCCGTTCTGAATTCTATAATTCTTTTTTAAAATGGCGGGCTCAATATGGCAGCTCAAAATTTTGGGGGTTTTCCACCGGTTTTTTATGAATATTAGTATAGTATAATATTAGTATTTTGGGGGTTTTTTCGGGTCTCTGATTACGAATCCATCATTAGATTTTTTATAGTTCACTTTCAAAATAGCGGATTCAATATGGCAGATCAATGTTTTGAGAAAATTTTGGGTTTTCGGTTGATTTTTTACAAAAATTTATATACAAGGGTTTTGTAGATCGCTGATAATGTATATGTCATCAGATTTCTGCAGCAAAGGGTTAAGTATATATTTTATTCCGTGACCATTCACGAGTCTTTTTGTATACGAAGAAAATATTGTAGCAAAAATTGTACAACAAAATTTTTATAATCCTGGACCATACAGTATTTTGATCAGCATTATTATATATTTAAAATTTTTATATACGTTTAACTTTTTAGTATAAAATTATTGTAATCATTTAAATGTTTTTTATATCGTACATCAAAGTAGATCGTCAAATTTATTATTTCTATAGTGATTTATATATATTACGATTTCGCAATACATAATCCAGAGAGCTTTACAAAAACATAATAAAAGGAAATATAATTTTTATTTAGCATTTAATAAACGTTATTTCCTGCATATATTAATTATAAAGGGTACATCAATAATAATTATGGTGCATCTTACTGAAGGAAATTATAAGTTTAGAAAAATTATAAAAATTATTTTTTAATTTGCTTATAATATATACTAATTTGCTTACAATGCTTATATTTTGCAAATTATATTTTCAGCATGTTCAGAAATCATCACTGACACGAGTAATGAGAAACAGAAAAAGAGAGAAAGAGAGAATTTTAAATTATTAGAGTCGTAAAGAATAAAAGTGGCTCTTTCGTGCATACAAAGGAGGTTGTTCCCAGATATTCTGGTGTTAAATCGCAATTAAATGTTTTTTTAATAAATTGTAGAGAAAAATTGAAAGATGAATATTCAAGCGTGATTCAAGGGATCCGCACCCGTAAAACGAACTGACTGTGTAATGCGGAAAAAAAACGTAAAAGAGGAAAGAGATACGGTTCTAGGTAGGTCACCGAACTTCCAATTTCTTGTTGCCTGCTACATATCGATCTTAACGACCGGTTTTTCGGTTGTACAGTTGCACTCCCGTGTAAATTCGGAAGGCAGTAACCGTTAGGAGTGATTAACGTGCGTGTAAGTGGCGGACACGACTTAACGACTTGCGCGTATTTAGTCTCTTCAGTTATTCCTCCCTCTTTTTCCTCTCTCTCTCCCTCTCTCTCTCTCTCTCTCTCTCTCTCTCTCTCTCTCTCTCTTTCTCTTTCTCTCTCTTCTTTCTGTCTTTCTTTCTTCCTCTCACTTTATATATTTATAAAATTATATATCGTCCACATGAAACAAACGTCGAAACTCAGTTCGTCTTTTCTATCTGATCGCAAATAGCAACGCAGTTTCCGGTAAATGACAGTATGATTTATAGGATCCCCGATAAATATGACTTATATTTCGTAAATCATAGAAGCGCGTGTACATGACAAGACGTGATTCCGCGCTCGAAGTATTAACTTCACTGCACGCAACCATGAGAAGATAAAATGTCTGGATACATCTGTATACACTTGGTTTTAATACGTTTTAAATAGATTCTTCTTTTACATTTCAAAACGTAATCAATAAATAATCAATGAGAGAACTGGTTTTCTAGGAATTAATAAAAAATAAGATTTCTCATTGGACCATCAACTATATTCTGAAAATCGAAAAAGAAGTGTCCAAATCGTATTAAAACAAAATGTCCTCTGGATATTTTTGTTGTTTTGACTTTTAATTACGAGTATTTAAGCTTTCAATACAGAAAAAAATATATATTCAACATATGTATATGTTTATCTTATTTAAACACCAAAACAATAAGAATGTCCAAAGTTAGGTACGTGTCCAGGCATTGGTGCTTTTATTTGCCTTGATATATAAATATCTAATCTCATAAGACTCACACTTTGCGAACGTAGATGAACTCCTTGAAAATGTCATTTAATCCCGCCGGGGAGCAATCCTCGCCGATACACGGCGCAGTTACCGCGTCCGCGACCACGTTCGGAAACTTCACACCACCGATCGCGATTCGACGCCACGATCAATGTAGTAAGTGCGCGATCGGTCGATTCGGCAAAAAAGGACACGCTAATAACAAACGTTCGGCGAATCTCGCTCTCGACGATCCCTCGGTGCTCGCGATTCCGCAGCGCGAGACGCGCTTAGTGTCTATCCCTCTTCCCCTTTTGCTTTTTCTTCCTTCGCGTCGGTCCGCACTCTCTGCTCTTTCTCTCTCTCTTTCTCTCTCCTTCTTCCCTTCTTCGTTAAGGGATCAAGGACGTGTAGCAGTTGGAACTATTTTGCGGTCGACCTTGCTGTCAGACTCGCCTCGGAGTAGCGACCTCAGCCTCGGAGCTCGAAGATTATACGGAGCGTGTTTCGCCGACTTCTCCCTTTTCTTCTGTGCCGCCGCTCTTTTCTCGTGTACTCCCTCTTGTCCGCGCTAGCTGCTATCGCCGCGCTTGACACTCGCGCTTCTCTTCCTGCGCCACTTGTCCGCTTCTGCCGTCTTATACCCTGGATAAACACGTACTGCAAGGTAGGATCCTTCGCTGGGACGAGCGCAGCGGAACAAGAGGCAAGAAGAGATAAGGAGGGAGGGGAGACGCGCTCCTGAAGGGTAAGACAGAGAAAGGACTCGCCTCTCTCACCTCGCGAGACGTCGGATGGAGTGGATTACGCGGAAACAGGTGACCGTGCGTGCGCGTGCACCTTACTTACCTGCGTACATACGCGCGCATTCTTTCGTATGTCGAGCAAATTGCCGTCCGCACGATTCGCGAATACAATCGGGGCGAATTACGAAGACGTTTAATGCTCTTGGTTCCTCACCATGAAACTTTTGACCCATGATGTCACACGGGAAAAAAGTTTGGCTGGATTAACCAAATTTCTGATGAAAAATATCAACGAACCAGACATTCCGGATGAAGTTACCAGAATTCTGTTGAAGAAAACTTTGACAGTCAATAAATAGTCGTAAAGTGAGAAAAGCTAGGTTAGAGGAGCAAGTTACATGTCATATTAATTACAGCTATTTATTGACTATCAAGGAAAAATGACAGAGTTTTTGGAGAATTTTGCGAGTATGTTCAAGCCACCTAAAGTATTTTTTCATTAAAATATCTTTTTACTTGAAAATAGTATATACAAGAATTTTTAGCGTGTCATTCCTCGCATCTAAGGTCACGATCCAATATGGCCGCGGCGAGTACTCAAAAGCAACGATGACATTCGACTTTCGCGGAAGAGATCTTTGTACATTTTTACTTTCTTTTTTGTTTATATTTATTATCGATTATATATATATATATATTTAATCGGAAGAATCGTGATTTATATGCCGATTTGTTTTATTTCTTTATTTAATAGTGTACGGTGAACGATGGAGCACAGCGATAGAGCTCCTTGATGACGAGCTGGAGAAACGTTAGAAACGCCGGCCGGCGCGGCACTACAAATCGTACACTTTGCAGGTCGGCGGGGAGAGGCACCGAGAAAAAGTGAGAAAGAGAGAGCGAGGTAGCTATAAATATTTTTCGAAACGTGGCGCAAGCCAAGCCGCCGTTTCACAGCGATTAACGGTACATCGACCGAACGAGACGCGTATATAACGCATTAAATTGTGAAAGAATAAACGATCGGTCGTGCGCGTGTCAGAAGAACGCGACGCTTGGAATACTAAAAAAAGAAGGATCTAATTACACTTCTCTAACGTGGAGTTATGAATCAAGCGCGCGCGTGTGCGCTCACGTGCGTTTCGTGCACGCCAAGCGCACGCGTGTCCACGCTTCACGTGATTCATTCATGAGCGAATATCAATCGCTCTAATAGAGATTTCGTCGTCTGGATTACCCTTCACCTTCGTGCGACTTCCTTGAGGAGTCCTTGATGGTTTCTCTCGTCGAATGAGAAACTTGTCGCGACGTAACGCGACGATACGTTATATGTTAGATACATTATATGTTAGTCTGTAACGTTGCGAGCTATCTTATTGCAACTTCCGTTCAGTGAATCAAATCGGACCAAAGCGAAGATAAAGACTAACACCTGTTCCTACCAACGTTGATTAAACCATAAGCCTGAGTTTAAGTCTTTGTATGAACAGAGAGTTTAAACTAGGATCAAAGTTTAATCGATGTTAGTGGAAACGAACATAAAGCTCTCATTCTGAACTATCTGTTATCGATAAAAATGTTTCTAAATTTGCTTAACCGATCAGAGGGTTTGCAAGTGACATTTAGAGATATTTCTATCGATAAATGAGAATTCAGAGAGAGAAAGAGAGAGGAGAATAAGGGTCTTAATATTTATTACTTCAGTTTTCAGAGGTAAGAAGCGACTTGGTTTACATTTTTTATCCCTTATGCACAGTTCCACCAGCGTCAATTTAAATCTTAACCTAAATTTAAGTATTTGTCTGAATAGAATACACAATAACCCAAACTCTGTCCTTCTCCAAACCTTCTATACATCTATCTTTCCTCTTCCTATCAATTTTCTTCGCTGTCTTCCTTATTTCCTCTTTATTCATCCTATCATCATCTTGTCCCTCAATTTTCTTCCATACCTTGTCAGTTTCATTGTTCAACTATATATCCCTTAATAATTCTATATAAGGGCCTTAATAGATTTAGGTTTGACAGTGATTGGCTCGGGAGGGCACTGCGAGACGAAACATGGCGAGACGAGATGAGATGAGATGAGACGAGACGAGACGAGACGAGAGACGGTTTCGCGCTTGGCGAAACCCGTTTCTTGATTCCCGCGCGACAACGTCTGGTTAAGTTTTCTGTGAACGTCGAACATGCACGGGTTAATAAACAGCCGTCCCACTTGCACGACTGTCCATCCGTAACCCACTGTTTACCAAGACAACGGTACCGGCCGCGCGCCGGATTAAGGTTTATCCAACGGTTACCTATCGACAAATTTGATGCCAGGGCCCCGGGAGTAGCACGGGAAAGGGGAACGCGAGAACGAGCGCCGCTAAACTCCACAAATCCGACCTATTTTCCTCGCCACCGATTTCACATCACGTGCGATGCATTCACGATCGATTCGCCGATCGATACGGCGTGCCATAGAAGCCTCGTCTTTCCTCTCTATCGGGAACCGCGCCAATTTAGATCTTCCAGTGCGACTCGAGGGCCCAGACTAGGAATTTATTCCATGGCTCCGATCAGGTTGATTCCGATCAATTATCTCTCAGATAGACAGAAATGCTGAACATAGCATGGAAATATTTAATATATACCTTATAGTGCTATTATAACAGCATAATATATTTAAAATATGCTTCTTTTAAGAAATACCCTTTGATGACATCTTTTATGCATTGAAACATTCTTGTTGAATGAGGACGCGCGCATTTCTTTGCGTGTTTGTGCTAATCGCTAAGCAAATAATATGTCGAAATATATCTATCTGGGCTCGTTTATATACGATATTATCTGATTTTATCTGATTTTGATAAGTTATGTAACGCAACGTGACAATCAGGACCTTATTAATAACAACCCAGACAAACTACCCTAAAAGATGTCTTAAAGACATCTAAAAGAAATAGGATATCTTTTGGGTGTTTCTAAATCATTTTTTAATAGATTTCTGTCTGGCTAATCATTAACCCTCTATTGACAACATTGGAATCGGATCCGACTCCAGACACACGTTGCTGGATATGTTCCGATAACTTCACGTTGTCAGCAGAGGGTTAATAATAATCAGGATCCGATAACATCGCCTTGCACGAACCAGTTAGGGTCAACATGGGGTGCTATTATAGACTTGTTTGGAATGGTTCAGAATAATTGAGTTATTCCTAGATTTTCTAGATTTTTATTGTGTTTCCGAGAGAAAACGGAATTATTCCGATCGAGGAGCAAGTCCACAATAGCACCCTTGATCAGGACCATAGGATAAATTTCTGCATAAGATCGGCACTACCTTTCTCTCATCGATATGAGATATCTTTGATAGCGGTGCGTTTTCCTGCGAAAACACGATAACGATCTATCATTGGAGAAGGGAAAAAAGGAAGGAAGGTACGAGTTCACCGGTATACTACCTACGAAGAGAAATTCTCAGGTGCGTGAGAGATTCTCCAGTAGTGGTATGGCAGAAATGTCACGCTCGGCTGAGCTAACACGACATTCCAGATTACGTAGCTGGAATCATTGCTCCGAAGGGAGCATCGGCCTGAGGCAACTAGCGTAATCGCTGCCTCTTCAAAGCGTACTAACGCGACGAATCTGCATTATAATAGGAAATGTGTATTCGTTAAACTGATACATACCGCGACGTGCGGTCATCGCAGCCGTTACGCTCGAGATGTGGCTGCACAAACACGAAATAGCGAGACACGACTGATGTTCCGCGGCGCGTTTCATCGTGCCGCTCACACGCGCGTTTGAATTGACTGCAATCTAGCGTCACGTTGTAATTGCGATTTGTCCCGCAATTACAACGATTTGCGTCGCAATTGTCGTCCCAGCCATTCTGCAAGTCGCACGGTAGCTTTCAGTAGGCTTGTATCAAATGATCTCGATCTTGAACTCGGTTTAAATAAGGTGAATATTCCAATTTTTGAGAATGTAGGTCCATATTTATCCTAAATGTGCTCTTATTCTAAATTTTATATATTATCAGATAAGATATATTATCAGATATTAATAAGTTTCGAGTAAAATTAAAAGTCAAAGTAAATGCTGGAAGATTATTTTGCATACTACTGACGGTGACAGTTGCTCGCCGACATCTTAGAAGTTGACAGTTAATATTACATGTTTATTTATTAGATCTGTGCAATTATTCTTTAACTTCGAAATAAATAATCAGCTTATAAATTGTCATGTCTAAATATAGTCAAATGTCTAAATATCAGTAATAAAGTTAGTAATACATGATTCAGTATTGATTTGTGATGATAGCATAATGTATGTGTATAATTTTATATTATTATTTATTTATTTTCGCAGTAAGATGTTATTTGATCATTAATTGAGACTTGTCGCAATTAATGATCAAATTATGTCACAAATTCGGACAAAACTGATTCATATCAGTTCAAAATTCATATCACTAAAATAGTATATCAATCATTTTCGAAGAATATTATAAATCTTTCCTCATATAAATTAAAGAAAAATGTAATACAATTAAAACCTCAAATGTTCAAGCTTGCCAAAAATCCATTTTGCGTATTTGACACATACATCATTAATTTGATTAATTTATTTTTATGGTAAAATTACTTGGTCACTAATTGAGATATCTTTATATAACATATGTAACACAGAATATAACACAACTATAACAAATGAACAAAGTACCATTTCGCACGACTCGGGCGTTGAGTCGACGATTCGCACATCGATTCCGAAGTTCTTTCAATATGACGATTACTTATTAAACAGACTTCAAAATAGAGTACCATTTTACACAGTCCCAGTTTCCAGTTGCCGTGAAGCCGGGGAAAGAAGCGAATCGCATGTGACCATCTCGATAGGAAACGAGTCGATTATCACTGCGCGTTTATCATTCATCGCGTACGTCATTCGCGCGGAACTGCCCGAAGAAGACAAATCTGGCGATATCTTAATAAGGTATCCACGCGTCTATACTGTTTAAAGCGATACTTTCAAGCGGACGCCGCCGTTAGTATCGAGAGCGCGAAACTTGGCGAATATTCCTCGGCACATATATACCGGAATGTACCACTTTTCGACACATAACAGTAGTATATGCGGCACGAGTATAGGATGGCCTCTCTCATTCTCTCTCTTTCTCTCATAGAAATACGAGAGACATAACGGTCTCCTCGCTGTGTTGTCCGTGTTACGAATACGTGTTCGCAGCGCGCTCGTCGTCCAAAATCTCATTGAATTACGTGTCGGCGGATATAAGAATGCGCGATGCACGAACGGCCGTGCTATTTTACATTCGCGTGTTCTCGAATTCGAGAGACGCGCCTGTCTCTGTATGTGTGCGCCTCTCTTCCCTGGTTCACGCGTCGTTCGTGTGTCCCACAGGCGAGAGACTACTATGAATCGACCGAGATCACCCGGAATACCAGGCAACGAGGTCATCCTGTAAGGATAAACGAAGTCCCGGTTGGTGGCTCAGTTCGCGCGTTTGCGTTTCTTCTGTACACTCGCAGCCGACTATTCGAGCGGTGCTAAACGATAAAGCGGCGATAAACCACGTTGTATAGTCGCCTTAAGCAAGCGATGCTTAAAAGTGCTATTTGCACATCCTCTTCGAGATCAATTCGCACACAAAAGAAAAACATATTTTGAAAGAGATGCGTGTTCATTTATGCTGATACTTAGAGCTAAAGCTCACTGCGACAATGATTTTCTTTTTTATGTAACATTGTTTGGAGCAGAAACTGTGCAAATGCTTTTAGCAAATCTAATAAATTTTCGATCTTTTGTCAATCCATTTCTCAACAAACGTCACAAAAATTATCCAATATCAAAATTAGAGAAATAGTAATTAGAGAAATACATGATTTTTGTGATTTTTAGATAAGTAAATAATAAAAACCGAATATATAAAAACATGATGTAAATTTTAAGAAATTATGTATTTGTTTTACAGTTGTAATGACTACGTATTGACTTTAAAAATCGAGGAACGATTAAATCATCTTGAAAATATCCTATTAAGAAGGCAAAGTAGCGACATGTCGTTGAACGAAATGACTCAAGATGATAATGGAAAGAAAAATGAAATCGAGATGTTACAGGAGATCCGATTTATCAGCGGAGGAAAATACGAGGGAACATGGAACGCGATTGACAAGGAAAGCATTGGGAGATACGTGACGTCTAACAGTTAGTCGCAAAATACAAATTATTTTGATAATTAAGCTTTCTTAAATGGAATGTATTATCGAAATTATAAGATGTATTAACAAATATCTACACGGTAAAAAACATCTTGTATTTGTGCTGAAACCGATCCGTTTAGAAATTTGTATAAAAGTGTTTAATATATCTATGTATTAATTTAACACATTGTCATTATTATTTTGACTATTCTGTGTTGAATTCATATTCACCATTTTTAAGCATTAAAATAGCGTCCAAATGTAACATTTTTGCATTAATTTTCGTCATATTGTTTGCGCGCTATTTGTTTATATATTTATCTTGTGTCAAATTAACACAAAAATTAAAAAGATAAATTGGGACGTATAAAATGTATTAAATTTAAAACAAAATTTTGTGTAGCGCAAGTCGATTTTATTCTATGTATCTTTCAGAAGTTATATTGGAGGGAAAATTTCAAGATGGTATGCTTCATGGCCGTGGAAGTATCTATTGGCCACGTGGGCAAGTAATGGACGGTACTTGGAACCGCGGGAAAATGGAAAAGAAACGTTATACATTCGCGGACGGTTTAACATATCAGGAAGATAATTGGACTTATTGTACATTTCCTGATAGACGGTTCGTCCTCAGTGATCAATCGTTAATTTGAAACCACGATCTATGACACAATGGCAAATATATATAAATCTCTATTATATTTTTGTACAATTTATATTTATTCTTCACGTAAAAGAAGTGATAATCATAGAATGTTAATTACGTGCTCTAATACTTTGAAACATGGGGAGTATAAGAAAAATGAAGAACTCGACGTGTATAATTAAATTTACAACCAAGTTGTTAAATTGTTAGATTATTGATTGTAAGAATATTTCAGGTTTTATAAGTGCATAGTAAATGGGTTGAGACCAGCCAGAAAAGTACTACGAACCAATGAGCAACCAACTAAAATTATTCCTCCGTTTTGCTATGATACCGGTATCGGGATCTTCGATCCTGGCAAAGAATGCGTATTATCGTATCGCAATTGCAAAAAAGTAAAAATCAGCATTAATAAAGATGTAAATGATATATATATATATATATATATATATATATATATATATATATATTCTTGAAAAATAAATAACAATGCATAAAAATTATAGGTACTCCATATTCCAACAATGGCAGAAAGCGTGTGGATAAAAGAACATTGTCGGAAAGGTTGGTCAGCGCCAATTGGTCACAAAGCGTGGTTATACGAATACTTTCAATCGGGAGCAGCGGATTTTGCATCGTTACCGCAAGTCCCGCCGGAGGATAACACGAAAAATTGGTGGCGAAGGTCTGATCGCGATATAATACGATTTAAGTTAACAATCTATTGGATCATTCTCTTTTGTGCTACAGTTGTGTATTTGATGGCAAAAGTGCTTAATGGAAATAATCATATTGTTTAAGGTTGACAAGATTCACTAGGCATTCGCCCGCTAACGCGATAAATACAATAAGACTGTGTTATTGAGGAATTCGATCAAAAAGTCATAAGAAGGAAATTTATATATTAAGATTTAAAATAACAGAAAATATAAAACTTCTCGCACTTTATAAAAGATTATATAAATGGTATAAAATTGTTATTTGCTATAAACATGTGTATACATTACATGTATACGTATATTCCAAGGCAATAACAAATAATTTATAACATACTGTTGCATTTTTTTTCTCCCATGTATACCAAAATTTACAAATCTTATCGGACAACGAGCTCTTTCTCTTCAGTCACGACTGTTGGCGCGTCTGCGCTTCGATGCACGTTAAACACCACGGACAATTTCATTGGTAAACACGTATCCGTTGTACAAGCTATTATGTTTAACGCGACGCTAAATTTATTATGTGCTTTACCCTCGGGAAACTTTATCGAGACAGGAGTCGTTAGTCTACCTGTCAAAACGTCCGCCGTCCCCATATTCGCAGGTAAGGTCAGTTTCCATCCTTGAGGTGCGTCCATATTTAATTTCATCTCACTTAAAAATACAATATTAAATGAGATATTTAGTTCGCCACCGCGCGTACTAATCGCCGTGTCGAATGTAAATGTATTGTCGATGTTTTTATTGGAATCGCGTCTGGATGAGATAGCCATCTAAAAAATAAAATAATCGACATATTCAATATATTAAAGTAATTCGTAAAATGTAAATATTAATTTAAAACGTTAATATTTTACGTATACATTTAAATATATAATAGCAAATATATAAGATAGTAATCTTGAAAGTAATTCCTTAAGATCAAAGTATACTCACGATTGAAATGTTTTTGTTCTTCAAATCAATAACTTTAAGAGCATGATTATTGGTATCGGCTACGTAAAGAATGTTACCGTCTGGACTGACAGCGAGACCACTCGGTTCGTTGAACTAAAACAACGTTTTACATTGAACGTACAAATGACTAAAGTGCCTACGAATTCTCACGATACCATCGTCTAAAAAAAAAAAAAAAAAACAGCGACACTTACAGAGAACATGCTATCAGGCTTCCCATCACCAAACAATGTTTTGCAATAACCCGTCGTAACATCCACGCTTTTAATTTTATGATTGTAAGTGTCGGCTACGTAAATCTGTTTCTCCAAATGATTCCATGCTATTCCTAGTGGATGTTGGAGTTTAGCCGAATATTCTTTCCCATCCACATCTCCAAAGGCATGTAGATTCTACGACATACACTGAATTTGATGCTTCTGATAGAATATCTCACGAATATGTGACGTAAGTAAATGTAAATTAATAGATGAAGTGGGTGAAGGTATTTGTTACTGAACGAACCGCTGGATCTTTGTCGCCTCCGCAGACAGCGGACACACGACCACTATCCAAATGCAACCGTCTGATAGAGCTGCTTTCACTGTCCGCCAGAAATGCGATTTTAGATTCTTGAACAACCACAATACCCGAAGGTTGCGCTAGCCCAGCAGTATGAGGATAACTGTTGTTACGATTCTCCTCTCGACCGCTTCCTACGATAGCAACGCATGTGCCTGCCATATATCTCCTAAAAAGGAAAAGTTTCGATTCAGAACATCGATTTTCTCTAAATTAAGTATCACTTAATTTATGTTCGAAATGGAAAATTCCATTAATTCAAATTTTTTCTTTTTTGTACAAAATACAAGGGAATATTGAAGTTGTATGTGATTATCGTATAAAAAATGAGCACGGAAAATTGTTAAATCTCACATTATAAAAACATAAAAAATTAAACTTCAACAATTATGTTTACAATTATATATATATATTCTCAGCTTTTTAAATGTATCTAGCTAACTATAGTGAATTTGACCCATGTTTATAGGAAGTTTTCTGGTTAAATTAACCCCAGGAATATACTTTCTTAATACATACAGTTCGTCATGGGGCGCCCTGTGTGTATGTATGTGTATGTGTATATATACACACTTATGATTGATGGACGTTAATAAATGTTAAATCTTACTTTTCCTTCCACCAAATAGTATCTTCCAAAAACAGTGCCCAAATTTGATGAGTGCCCGCTATCGCGATTAACAAGATTGGAACAACGGTGTTGTTATATTCATGGTAATAGATCGCCACATCCCAAGGAGACGATAAATCTTGATCGGTTCCGTTTTTTCCGCCACAATAATCGTGACTTTGTGAACCAGTGCCAGCTATAGTGGATACACTTTTATCACTCAAATTGATCTAAAAATAAATTAATACCAAAAATAAAAGGTGAAAGAATCAATGCATTAAAGTATGATAAAGAATAATGTTTCTCCTTACTTTCCTGATAGCATGATTGTTGTTATCTGCAACGTAAATTACATCATCCAACACACAGACACCTTGAGGTGAATTAAATTTAGCACTTTTGAAATCACCATCTTTAAAACCCTGATTGGAGCCACCTATAATATGCTCTACTTTCCCGTGTTCATTTGTAATCATGATTCTACTGTTACCACTGTCAGATATAACAAGCTTTGTCCCTTGCTTAGAGGAGAGAATAGCTAATTTTCCAGGAAATAACAGACTATCTTTAAAAGTAGATAAAAGATGATGTGCTGGTTTCAATGGGAGACTGTGATTCGATATCTGATTTAAAGATTTGAAATATGCTATCATTACTTTTGCATACAATAAAATTTCATCTTTATGATCTTCACCAACAAGAACTACCAATGGCTGACCATTAGGTCCTGAAATAAATGTATAAACAGTCAAATATAAGTTCAGACAAATATAATTATATAAATCACCACAAATATAAATCATTGAGACTTCATAAACAAAATAAAGAAAATTTACTGTTTTGTACCTAACATAACGAGACTAGGCCAACATGTTATACCCATGTTATTCCACATTCTTAATGTGACATCATTTACTACAGGATGCATAATATTATATCTTTGTACAGCAGATAAGACATTCTTTGAGTCACGTTCATTTGTAAATTTTGCACTGTGAACTCCAATCTGAAAGAAAAGTAATTAATATGTGTGTGTATATGACTATGAGTATATATGAACTGCAAGTAAATATATAACTTCTGAAATATTTTATACTTACTACAACAAGACCATCCTCTATAGAAAATTGTTTTTCAATTTCTTCTAATTCAGCCAAAACATGCATACAGTTAATACAACAATATGTGAAAAAGTCCAGAAGCACAATTTTTCCTTTCAGATGCTGAGCCAATGACAATCCTTCTGATACATTGAACCATTCCAATCCTATAATGTAACAAAACTATCATATGTACACTGGCAAAAACTATTTTATTATGACTTTTTAGTTTGTTCCCTACTAGTTATCAAATTAAAAAAATGATATCATTTTATAATTGATGAATATTAACAAGATGAGTATAAATACATATAAAAAATTTTTTTATATGCATGATTATTTGAATAACATAATTACCTTTCTGAAATTCAGGAATATTTGCTGCGTTGTCTTCGAATCGTTTAATATGTTTTATAACTACCGCCTCCTTATCCTTCTGTTCGGAAAACTTTTTTAGATGACTGCGCATTTTTACGCAAATTTGTGTCAGTTCTTCTACCGTCTCCTGCATATCTATTTTTGTATTCCAGAGTCCACACATAAGAAAAATAGCATATAGCTTAAAAAATACAATCTAAAATTGGATACAATTTTTGGAGTGGTTGAAAACACTTCTCGTACACGAATGTATAGGATCAACTCAGGGGCCCGATTCTTGACGATGTGCGAATGAGATACGCATGTGAAAATCTACAGTATACGTAACGTGAACTATACATTTTCGCATGCGTATCTCATTCGCATACCGTCAAGAATCGAGCCCCTCGGTACCAATGACGTATATATATAGACCGTTCTGAAATTTTATAGTATACGTGACATGAAATATAGAATTTCAGTACTGGCAGTGAATTTCGGAACGCAGCCCAAACATTCCTATACTTCTGCTGTAGCAGCGAGTAAAGCCGGAAGTTGGCAGTTTAAAACAGAGTGAGAAAGTTTATTTGCCCCTAGTGTTTTATCATTCTATCGTATAGAAAGAATATAGCCGCTGTTAAGCTGTCAAATGCTATATGTAATTTAAAACGGTATAGTGATAAATAAATATTTGTATACATTTAAAAAAATTATATTTACTTCATTTATTGCAATTTTTATTAATACGCTTCTTTTTTCAACTTATCCGTTTGATAAAAACATTTTAATCAATAAATATCGTTTATAATTAATGTTTTATAATTTCTCGTTCTGCTTTTCCGTATAAAATATGCTCCATGTAATATTTAGGAGAAATAAAGCTACGGAACAAAAGCGCGGAAATGTATAAATCTAGTTAAGTCCTAATAACTTTGTCTTCCGTATTTCCACATTTCCGTATTTCCGTACGCTTATGTAATCGCACCCTAAGCGTCTGTCAACATCTGTAATGCCGCCAGGACCAAACTACGACAAAAGAAGGAACTCAGTAGAGCAAAACAGAGTTAGTAACGTAAACACTTCTAATATCCGCGTATCACATGGTGATACATATTGGAAAAACCTAATAGAAGTAATAAAAAGAATTAGACTTTCTTGAAAACCACAAATACTTTATAACAAAATTAATTATAGAAAATTATGTTAAAATTGTTATGAATTATATATTGTATGAATTATGAAGGAACATTAATGAGCCAAAAATATCAATATATCAGACATAAATTGACAAAAATTATTTTATTGCAAGTACAATAATATATCATTATTTGGGATAACTTTTATATCGCTGATATGAAAATTCTACCTTTCGTTTAATGATGCCACATGTTTTTGTAAGCCGTTGCAAATTGTTCAAAGTTACTCCGGCGTTACCTCAAAGGACAGTATTTTAAATAATGTTTTAAAAAATGTTGAACATTCTTTTTATAATATTATATATATATATTATAAACATTCTTAATATATATATATTTTTTTTTATTCATATATTATATATCTCTTATTATATAAATATATTATATAAATATTACATATTCTTATTTAAATATTCTTATTTAAATATTCTTATTTAATATTACACATTCTTATTTAACTTTTGATGGCAAATAGATAACAAATTTTATGCAGGATCTGTTATATCAAATCTTGCTGCCAAATTGCCGCCAGATATGCGGCAGAGCTTGTTGTCGGATAATTGCTGCAGATTTGCAGCAAAAACCGCGCAGAGCTTGTAGCGATTTGACGGCAGATTGGCGGCAGAAACCGCGCAGCAGACCTTGCTGCGCTGCAAGCTTTGCGCGGTTTTTGCTGCAAATTTGGCACCAATTGCCCGACAGCAAGATCTATCACCAAAACCGTAGCCTAATGTAGACACAGATGGCTATGGTTTTGCTGTGGGTTTTTGATGAAATTTGCTGCCAATCTGCGCGCAGTCTGCGCTCAATTTGCTTACTAGGTATGTAATATTACGAATTTGGTATGAAGTTATATAAATATCTTATTTTGTGTTTTTATATTTTCCTTGCAAATCAGATTTTTTTTCTTGTTACTTTAAAAATTATTGATTTTTATATTATAGCAAAGTTGTATAACTTTTTTTTAATGTAATAATTTATTTGAAGAAAAAATGAAAAAGTCTGTTATTGATGATTAAAGAAATATCATAATAATTTTTCATGTATTTTAATGATAACTGCTTATGATCACGGACACACACAAAATATCTTTCACATGGTAAAATAGAAATCACAAGTATGTGATAGTTTACGTAATAGCCGTTGTTTGGTCCTGGCGGCGTTGCAGATGTTAACAGACGTTTTGCTGCAGACATAAGATAGCGGCTAGCGGTTCATGGTTATATAGGCTGCGTTCCGAAATGCACTGCCAGTACTGAAAATCTATAGTTTATGTTACGTATATTATAGAATTTTAGTACTGGCAGTGAATTTCGAAACGCAGCCATAGTCAAAGCTGCGGATGGGGAATCTGAACGCAGCCCTGCGCCAATGGTAGCCGCAGGATGTAGCTGATACATGCGTATAAACTTAAGTCTGCGAGATTTTGGCTGCGTTCCGAAATTCACTGCCAGTACTGAAATCTATAGTTTATGACACGTATATTATAGATTTCAGCACTAGCAGTGAATTTCGGAACGCAGCCTTTGTCCCGCACAGCCCATCACTGGCTGGATTGCCGGATTTGGCCGGATTGCGGCATTTAAAGAAAGTTTGAGTTACGTTAGTCGTCAAATATCGAAGTTAAATATAAAAGATGGCAGATGATATTAAGGCAAAAGAATTAGATTGGGTGAAAGTACGAGAAGAGTTGGATAGTATTTATGTTACAGAAACGATATATGACAAAGCGTTACGGAAAATGCGAGAAAATCCGCTTGTACCAATAGGTAAATTAACCTCTAAAATATACGAGTAAATGCATGAATCTCTGTAATCTTCGTAGTTTATAATAAAAATACAAAAATTTATTTGAGAAAAAATAGTGTTATAAAATGAAATTAAATGTTTGCGAGTTTAATAATTATCTCTGCGATATATCTCTATCAGAATTTATTACAACTAAAATAAGATGACCAGACGTCTCGATTTTTTACCCGTTGTCCCTAATTTTTTCGAGTACTATTCGGGATATCGATTTGTCATCATTTTCAATGATTGTCAAGTAATTTTCGGATCTTTTTACCCCCCCCCCCACTCCGCACATTTTGAAGTGTCCCGAATTCAGGGCTGGGAAATCTTACTATAAGGAAAGAAAATGTTTAATTTATTGTGACTTACTCTTGTATATGTTTATGTAACATGAGAGATTTGTTTTTTTACCATGAATTTTAAATCTATTCTCTTACTAAATTTTAACAAGAATTTTTATATCCTAGGAGCCTTTGCAACTACAGTTGCTTTGTCTGTTGGACTATTTAGCTTTTATCAAGGAAAAACAAGAATGCAACAATTAATGATGCGTACTCGTGTTGGTGCTCAAGGATTTACTATTATATGCATGGTTGCTGGATTATTTTTTTTACCTACAAGAGAAAGGAAATAAAATAATAAGTAATGTTAATTCAGAGGTATAACGTTAATATCTGTTTTAATATAGACAGCATTAGTATAAATCAAATTATATGTATTATATCTAATGCAAATCAATGTACAATATTATTTTCTAATTACACCAGGTCATACACACTGTGAGAAGTGCTAGGAAAGTAGCATTACTTATTAGTTAATGTTTTAGATTGTACAGATTGTACATACTCATCTCTACTAATATAAATTATAAAAATATTTTTCCTATAAATATTTTCGATAATCATATATATTGATATATTTAGTTACATGACAATATATCAAGATATCCTGCCAAGCTTGTCTTTTTAAGTTATACAGATGCAGGAAGTTGTGCGATAGGATTTTTAAAAATAATGACTAGCTCGGTTATGTATCAATATAATCATATATTATTATAGTTGTTACATTGGATTTTATATATCGCATATAAACACGTGTACCCTTAACTATCCTAAATATTGCAATATTCCTACCACAATGCAATAAACTTATAAATGCGTTATGACAAGGCTGCCCTTGCATCTTTTCTAGTGCAATAATTTTGCGTTATAAAAGTAGAAAAGAGAGAGAGAAATCACTTAAGCGAAATATTTTGTACTATATATCGCTATCCAACAAGCTTCTCTTATGTCCCAAGTTATCAATCGCCATTATTATCAGCACTATCTTTAACCGAATTACAAATATTTCTATACCATTATATTAATACTAAAGAACAGTACCTAAATAAATCACAATTTATATATTTTTACAATTTGTATGTTTTTATTATACTATTTGCATGTTTCTTCCATACGATTTGTATGTTCTTACTATACAATTTAAATATTTTTCTATTTTAATATCGTATTAAAACATGTATATCGTGTAATATTCAAGCACGTGAAAAGGAAGTAAAAACTTCTAGCGTATTTGTTTTGGCAATGGGATAGCTCGGACATATCAGACAGGTGGATTTTCCTTGGGAAGAAACGTAAAGTGATTACATTTCGTTTTTATTAGAGGGAGCTAAATGTGACTTTAAGGCAATGGCACTTTGTTTAAACGCACCGCCGATACTTAGCGAACGTGAACGCAGACTTGTTAGACTATTCGTAGAACTAGAACTGCTTAGACTAGTACTAGGTGTGAGATCAAAAATTGTTTGTACAGTAGATCTCGCGGACGTATAATCCGATGGGATTGATTCTGCAAAAAAAGAAGTGCTAATTAACAAATAGTTGTTTTCGTTTGTAAGATTTATTTATCTTGGTTCGTAATTTGAAAAATATATTGATAATAATGTTTGTAATATATACATATATATATATATATATATATATATATATATATATATATATATATACACATATATATATATATATATATATATATATATATATAAAATTTACAGACTTACCAATTAAAGGAGTTTCATCATATAAAGATCCTTGTCTTTTATTGCTGATAAAAGAGTTCCTTGTACTTTCGATATTAGATACTCTTTGTATAACTTCGGCGGCACGTTTCCACCTCGAGTGATCATTGATGTGGGCAGATAATAGTTTGCACCACTTTTGAGCTTCCTCCTTAGATTCAAATTTAATGGACAATAATTTGCTCATATTATTGCCAAGATTATTGATCGAGAGTTCTTTAGCGGAAGTCTTGGCTATTTGAACGGATGTTTCCTACAAGTAGATATAAAATTTAAATAAAGTTTATTATATAAGACTCTTAAGACTCGTCTGCAATACGTATGTATTTATATGTATGTACGTAAAGACATCAACTCACCTTATTAATTAGTAACACACGTTCCGGATTCTGAGCTTCTTCCGCGTGCTTTTTCGACTCCCATGTTTTTATGGTGAATCCCTGCAAGCGTGCCCAACAATCTTGACCGTCTACGGTTACGTTGCCAATGCACATCTCCTTACTGACGCATTCCGGCTGTGCCGCCAATCGGCAACAAAAGTGACCGAAAAGCGGTAAAGAGTGATATTTATTTTCTGAAAAAAAAAGATAAACCATGATATTTTTTCCATATAAAAAATTTAAATATTTCAGGCTGTAAGCTAACAGTTAAGTCATATATCTATTTTTGTTTTTCGCAGAAGATAAACAAGGACATGTTTTAACTGTTAGTTTATCGGTCGTTTAAGCCTCAGATGTATATTTCGTAACTTACCAACGTTGTTAATAACGAGATCGTGTGTGTGAATATTATCGTCCGTGTCGTCTAAGGTCAACCTTGCACGAGCAACCAAATCAAAGTGTGGCCCACTGAAGAAAATCAATAGATATGAATGATTCTTGTAGTATTAATAGATATTCAATTAATTTATAAATTTATGTGAAAGAAAGTAGCGACTTACGACTTCCCGGAACTGAATTCGTCACGAAGCGATGCGGCGAGCTTTTTGCCGACAGTTTTCGAGATTGACGAGTGAATCGTCTTTTTGATTCTTCTCGGTGTGCTGGCGATACTTAAATCCTCTTGCAAAACGTGGCTGTAAATTTCTAAGACCAGTTCGAACTCTGCCGGTACATTATTACTGAAAACCAAAAGATCAGAATTTGTTACAAAGTCGCAGGATCGTCGCATTCTTTATGAATAATATAACCAATATACTATATATCTCGTATTTGCAATTAATTGTATTATAATACGCAATAACGTTGGTTATTGAAACAAAGTGGACTCACAATATCAAAACATCGGGAAAACTGATATCTGTGTGGGCTCTGTCGATAGGACACAACAAGGAAGTATCGTGGATCTCTGTGCCCAATCGCGCCAAACAGAATACAGCGAATCGACGATGATCACCCCGATTTTTGAAGTGATCAGAATCTCTCCACATCAGCGGTATCCTAAGATCTGAAATCGATAACTTGCCCATACTTCCAGGAATGCTGGAAATATACACGTTATCCAATTAGTTTCTCGACTCATTTTCTCTATCTGTATATTTATTATTGTCATTATTTTGTAATTCTTATTTTCCTTGTTTATTCTATTTAAGATGCGCTTGAGAGGAAGTTTTCCCGGAGTACAGAATAAATTTACCGAGGTATAAAAATTATTAGAATAACTTTGATTTCTAATTTTTTTCTAATTGTTCTTTTTAATAGATGTTTAATATTTTAGAAAATATTACAATTTGTTATCAATATTTCTTATAGGTTTAAAATAATTACAGATTTATATTAGATATTGTACGACTAAATTATATAAATAATATAACGGGTATTCTTTCACAGAAATAAATTATATCCCAAAAATAAATTTCTAAGTATTTTTTCTCAGTGTATAAGTAACCCGCTATTTCTTGTACAAAAACTTTTACATGCAAAATATTTTATAACAGAATCTAATATATAATATATCCGTAATTATAATTTAGTCGTACGATGTGTTATAAAAATCTGTTATTATTTTAAATTTGTAAGAAATATTGATAATAAATTGTAATATTTCTTGAAATTAGGCATTTATTGAAAAGAACAAATTAGAGAAAATAAATAAAGAAATCAAAATTATTCTAACAATTTCACATCTCTCTATATCTATCTATTCTACCTATCTATTTAACACTATTACAGTAAAACAATAACTAAATTATTTCCGTTTTTTCTCTGTCCGATCCATCAGTTCGGCAAATAGATGCATGAACAAACCACGGCTTTTTAATGGGATCTCGACGACGACTTTGCAACTCCGCCATGTAAACCGACATTCTCTCGTTGGACGTGAGCAATGCTCTAGCAGCCTCCAAGCTCTGAGCGCGATGTTTCGCAGCCGCCAAAAGTCTAGCCGAACCTTCTCTCATTTTGATCTCCACCTCGATTTTTTGCTCCAGATCGTATTCCTGAAACACATCATACGTAGCTTTTCAAATAGCTGCAACTCGAATGTCGCTAATAGCTTTCAAATGAGAGATCTCATCAGAATATTCGAGACTAATACGAAAGAGAACCGCTCGAAAACCTCCGCATACTCGTGTGTAAAGTCTTAGAAAGCGTAATCTCAATCCACAGGTGTTCCGCAGGTGTTGAATATGGTGTAAAAAAAGACGACCGATAGTTATGATCGGGGAAAAATCGAAGTATCAGCGATAAAAGCGTCTGGCTGGCTAGCAGCACGTGGGTCACGCGTTCGTGGCATCCGGTTACACGCTGAACAAAACGTCTTACACCGTCACATTTTACGAAGGTACCGTGCCCGTTTTATGAGCCGGCTGCTTGAGGTCGGCTCATTCATATCGATCCGAAATGTCGCGCATTTGAAAACGCGAATTTATATAACTAAATAGTACTTGGTCGACTCTTAATACTCTAAGAACAGCAATGACAACCTGAAGGAACGTGACTTTCTCGCTCATCTCTCGATTCGATGTAAAATTACGATTTTATCACTTATGCGCGTGATCCACCGCGGGCAAGACACGGTGGTCGTCCGGACGAACGAACAATTCAGCCTGATCGCAAGAAAAAGCAAACTTCGCAAAAGCGTAAATAAATTTGCACGGATCTCGCGGCGTTGCTGCTAGCAGCACGCAGAATCGGACTGAAATACCGACTATTCGAGGAAGTGGTGAATGCACTTGAAGGGGTGACGCTCCCTCCTTCCACCCTCGGGAAACCATGCTATCGCGTCGCAGAATATCGATCCGAGTGGCTTTCCTCGGTTTAATAGTCGACATGCACGAGATCACGATTTCTCCCGCCGCGGTCAGAAAAATCGCACGTTCACTACAGATGAAGATTTGTAAACCTTCCCCACTTTTACAAGATATTAATTGCTTCGCTGATATTAGTAAAATAGCTAAAATTTCTGTGATTTTCGCCAAATCTGTCTTTGTTTCTCGGCAAAAATACAAAGAAGCTTCAATTTATTAAAACTTATTTTCATGTAACTCTATAAGTATATTCAGTATAGGAAACAAATAAAAATTAAACATACAAACATGTTTGCACGATAAAAATAAAAAAAACAATTATATATATAAAAAAAATTATATATATAAATAAATAATTATACAAAATATATATTTTCAAGTTGGAAACGTTGATCGGTGAGAAAGATCAAGGAGGTTGTAAGGCCAGTGTCGTATTTTCAGTGAGTCGTTAAGGGCACCACTCATAAACTTGCTATTCACCGAACAAAATTACGTTTCTATACATTAATTTCACTATTTTAATAAAAAATGTTGATTTAGGGCAGAATTGAGATAGATAGATAGATACGTACAGAATTTTATAAATACGAAATATGATTTTTTAATTTTTCTTATTAATGCTTTATTGGTGCATCATTTGATCCAAAAGATGCATAGATAATAGAGACAGATATATAAGTATCTAAATATGCATATATGTATATGTATTACGAATATTATAAACTATGAAGTTTCCACCGTTGTTTCTTCCAAATAAACAATCATTTTGAGCGGTAATTCCCAAATTTGTATATAATATTGATACATTAGCGTTTAATATTATAGCAGAGTTTCTCAATAAGACCTTAACGTTAGTTTGCACGAGAAATAAAAAATAATTAAAAATAACACGTTAACCCCAAAGAACATTTTAGTTTCAAATATCTCAACTCTCGAATGGTGAGTCTTTTTCTAATTGCACGAGCAGTTAGGTAATATCTCTATTAGTACATGTAGTGCGAGAAAATTTCCAATAAATTCCTGACTAACTCATGTAGCCTTACAATCTCCTCAGAGAGGAACGCAAGAGTTCCTGAAGTCGCGCAAAGGCCGTCGACTAGTATCGGTAATGTTCGAGTGACGCGTACAATCCGGAAATAACGGACGCATCAGTGAAATCAATAATGAAGAGATGAATCATTGGACGCATTGAGCAATTTCGTATTCCGTTAATGCGCGCGACACATCCTCACACGGCGTGACTCGGCGCGGCGCGGCGCAGTCTATCAGGAATACATCATAGGCATCACGTGTGTATGAGTACTCTGACTCGAATAGGAATTTTGCAACGACGCAAGGGTAAGCGCGTCCACATTTAATCCCTGACCTCGATGGCCAGTGCCGTAAACGAGTCTTGATGAAACTCGTTGATGCGCGCTGTATGACAAACGAGTTCACGTGAGCGAGTACACACGATGTAGCAACAATACACGCGCGACTATCCGTGCCGGCGATCTCAACCTTTCCCTTTACCCCATCCAATATTATCACGCCACACGCGTACGACACGCGTTACGTTAATATTAACTAGATGCGCTCTCTTCTCCGTCTTCTCGTCCGCGCGTTCGTGTTTCATTTTATTCCTTTGATCTCGTCGCTTCGCTGTCCTTCGTTTCTACATGTGTTCCCCCTCAATATCACTTTCTCTCGCGCGTTGCCCACCACTTTCCCGACACACGGCTTGTCTTTGCCGAAAATAGTCGCCAGAAATCCAATACCCCGGTGCAGTTGTGCCGGTAATGGTCACCGCAAGCAGGACGCGCGACGCGCGCTCGCGCATCTTCCATTCTCGCGTAAATCTTCCTCCAAGAGCCGGCAACAACACACACACACATACACACACTCTCTCTCTCTCTCTTTCTTTCTCTCTCTCTCTCTCTCTCTCTCTCTTTACGTCTAATGCCTAACATTTCACGACGTGCGTCGTCGAGGTGAGATCGACCGACCATAAAATGCCACATTTCAATAAAGTGACACAAACGCGTGGGATGATGTCGACGGGACTGAAAGTATCGTAATTATGAAACTTAACAGCAAAATTGTCTCGTTCTGTTTTCTTCCCAGAGGTTTCTTTTTCTTACAATTAAAGTGTATGTACCGATGCCCGGACACGCACCTAATCCTTGTTATTATTATTGTTGTTCGCTTGACGCCTGACATTACTATTGTTTTGGTCTTTAAATACGAATATTTAAACTTTCACATAAAACGCATGTACACGTATTCTATGTTGAAAATTTAATGAAATATATTCGTGTTTAAACAACAAAAAAAGAAAATAAGGTGTTTCTCTTCTTCTCTCTCTTCTCTCTTATTTATGTAGGATTGATACTTTTACCTTATACACTGCACAGGAGTAAATATGAAAGAAATATCAAACTCAGATGGATTAGTATGTTATCGATAATCTTTCGAAGTACTTATTAAAAAACATTGGAAAAGCGCATACAGAAAAATACATTGTATAGATATATCGCAAGTTCATTATAAGCACGAGATTTTTTCAAAACAAATTCTGAGTCCTAGTGAGTTTAGCATATCGATCAAAAATATTAAATTAAAACCAAAACTCGGTTTGTTTACTACAAGGAGTCGAATCAATTTTTTCTACGATAAAGTTTCACAATATTTTTGTGAAGAGAATAAATTCTTCCTTTGGCTACATGATAATCAGCTTTTCCAAAATCTGTGATAAATAAATTTTAAGACTATTATTAAGGAAATATTCGCTGAAGAGAACTATTATAAGAAAGAAAGTAAATTGATTAATCGCTTTTCTTATTAGTAGAATAATATTTTTCTGTGTGCGTGTGTAATTACAAAAAACTCTAAAGATGTAATTATGTTACTTTTCGTCAGTGTCATTGATGTGAGCGACATATTCGCCCGATTATCGTGATTATCACGTCGTGAGGTTTTCGCTAGGACTCGATTGAGACGACCAGTGTCCAACCGTACACGAATTGCTGGGACCTGTGCTGCTCGGCCGAAATTTCCAATCCGTTTGACACTGCCATTCGTTCGTGCGCCCGTGCCGAGCGACGCGATATCACATGCACGAGGGCGTCTAAAAATACGAACGACTCGCGCGAGGAAACGTGAACACGGCTTCCGTGAAACGCGCTGCGTAACGTTGTGGCCTCACGCACGATTCAACAACACAGCGCACGGGAAATTCGCGCGAATGTCCTACCTGAGAGTTTCGCGCGATCTGTCGTACGTAATACAAATCCAGATCCTGAAAGATATCGTTTTTGCCCGCGAGCGTCGGGCTCCTTGATCGCGTGCGGACGTCCTCGGCGTTCACGACGTTACATCCGTCGTTGAGCCGAGCTTTCGGTTTGCTCGCGTTTCGCGGATTCAGTATCGCCAGATGCGGGAAGCAAGAGTCCATTTTTCTCGTCTCTTCTCTTGTTGCTTTACTGATCCTTTTCTCGAACTCACGTCGTTGGCTCGCCGGCCGATTCACATCGTCCCGTTGCCGATCGAGCAAGTCACTTTGATTCTTCCGATACCTCGAAACTGTGCTCAGGTTTATGCATCGTTACAGTTCACACGTTGCTCGAGCCGTTGCTCCAGCGGCAGCTTCCCCAAACACCAAGTTCCGACGCGAAGAATATCATGGCGTGGTTAGCGAACGGTTTGGCACGAGTCGCTTTTTCCTCCGGAAACCTTGACCTAAGATCTTAAAGAGCCAACGGGGGTAGACAGAGGTCGTCCTTTGGTTCTCACTCCGTCGCGAGGAATTCGAGTCAAGGTGGATAGAAGAGAGCTCCTCTTTCTTCGAATGTTGCTCTACAACAGCAACAAGCTACTCAAGCTCTCAAACGTTAATTCTCGGCAAACCGAACGAAGAGATGTTGTTACATTATATGAGAGAACCTACTCGTTCTCTTTTTGTTTTCCTCTTGTTAACGCGGGAAAAGTGTCGCGACACCGAGAATAGTTCTAATCGTGTATACAGACACAACAGCGAACGGGCTCGACGGTCGTCCTACGTATTTTCGTTAGCTGTACAAAATAAGCAGTGACGCGATACCGCGCCTCCGCGCGACACGACTGACAACAAATAACAGGCGCGAGCTGTCGCTCGCCTCTCGATTCTCCAAATACTTCACTCGCTCGCCTTGTCCGCCTTGCGCCACCAAATTCGCTTCTTTTCCGTTTTCACAGCGGCAGTCGACGCCCAATCGTGTGTCATGATTCATCATCACCGAAAGAAAACGTTCTTCGCTGCGGATGGTCGTTGGTACTCGCGAATCGTCGGTGTCTTCATCTTCTGCTCCACGTGCGGTTCGGTGCCCTCACAGGATCGTAGAAGGCGCGGAGAGAGGATATTGTAAGCGCAATTGCGTTGAGATCTAAGCTAACGACTAGATCGGACTAGATGTGACGAGTCTAAAAGAGTGCAAAGGACGAGGCACGAGGACGCCGGTGGTGCTCTTGGCCGCGAGAAGGGGAAAAAAGCGAAAGACACGCAACCGTTCGCAACCGGGCAGCACTCGACTAATACTGAATGACGCTCGATCATTCGACTGTGTAAGCATCAACAGGACGCACCACATGCATAGTGCCCGGAGAGGGGAGGACCACCGGCGTTCTAACCGACAATAGATTGAATATAACACGGATAAGAAGGAAATCGCCCACACTGTGGGCTTCCGCTGGACTCTTTTACATTTAGTTGTGTGCATTAGATTAATTATCGCCGAATTATCTAGGAAACGAACGCGCGTGCATGTTGCACGCTCGAGCATGCACCTACCTATCAGTGCCAGTGCACTCGTTTCGTGTCGTTGTATGCTAGTGCTCGCATTGCATCTTAAATTTTCTAAACTTATATTTTAAGTAAATATAAATATATTAGATAAATATAAGTATAAATATATTAGATAAATATATATAAATAGATTTCAAATAATTATATATTTTTGTCATTATCTCCCTGTGTTTCTATTAATAAACATAGATAATTGCTTTCCAAGTACTATGATCAATTATAGATAATTGTTTTCAAAGGACTATTATAATAGCAGACTCATGCCAAAGAATGAGTAACTAAATGCTTGAAATTAAAATGTTGAGTTCTTGCAGTATATCACAATGTGTGATTGATATTTGAAATCTGCATAATTGATTACAAATGAAACAATATGTAATTTCATATAAAAATATTAATTCTGTGTCACCTTCAAATCACGATATTCAAAATCATATTTCTGACAAGTAATACACAACATGTACACACAGAAAAATGTATATTGCGTTCAAGCAAATATTACTTGTTTCAAATATTTCATAAGTTCACAAGCAACAAATGTATTCAAACTTCTGAACTCTAATAAGTTTAGCATTTCAGTCAAGAATATAAAATTAAAACAAAAGTTTACTTTGCTTACTGCATACACTACTTGAAAGTTTTATGATATTCTTGTAAAGAGAATAAATTCTTCTTTTGAACACATAATAATGAGCTTCTCTAAAATTTGTAATAAGTATATTTTGAAACTATCACAAAATATTATTTTTTGAAGATAACCATTCCTTAAAAGAAGGAGAGTAAACTGAATAATCATCTTTCTTAACAGTAAAATATTTTCCTGGGAATAACTTGCAAATAACTCCAGTACAATTAATAATTTGCAATCACTTATATATATATGGTACCTTCACTCAATGATTCAAAAGAATATACATTAGTATATAAAAAAAACTTTTTTACTGAGATATATCTTTATATGAAATCACTACACATAAGAAACAAATAGTACCATATGCAACGACTACATTTCTTTTTTAAATCTACACAATCTATAAATCTACACAAATCATAGATCTTAAATTTACACGAATGTGATCCTCACGTTATATAATTTGACGTGATAATTTTTCAAGATTGCAGGTACTTATAAATTGTAGTTCATAAATTTATCATAGCTGTCCAGCATAACCTATCTTTCTCAAATTCTATATATTATACATTAATAAGTAACCGAATTCTGCGAAACAGGCCTGTGTATCAATCATTGTTAAGTAACATAAGCCAAGGGAATTTTAACGAGACAAAACACAAATTAATGTTAAAAGCGTGTCAACGGACAATGATTAACGGAGGATAGAACTCGCTAAATCGACTTACCACATGATTCCTTGAGTTTCTGATGCTTTCTCGTCGACGAACTTTCGTTTGGTAATCATTCAGACAACACAAATAATTATTCTCCTTGTAACAAACGTTATTTAACGAACGGTGTAACGTTTGAAAGTTTTTCCTTCGCGGCGCCATTTTGTCAATTTAAATTGTGCGGTGGCACGCACAGTTATTGTGGTGGAGCGTTGAATCGAAAGCCAATGGACTACGATCCAAATAAAGAGACCTATGTGTCGAAGTAATGTTGAATTTACAATTATGTAATTACACAATCTGTCTATTTCTTTTGTATAACATACTTTCAAAATAGAAATTACGAACGATCATCCACACAATTGCGTTGTCGGAAGTCATTGGATAAGTGTGCAACCGTCTCGACTATAATCAGGTATGCAACATTAGTAATTCAACATGAGAATTTTGTCGCTAGAGACAAAACTGTTAAGCTGAAGTTCCATGGTATGTATTTTCCGCGTAAACACGTAATCAATAAATTGCGACGTTTAGTATTTCTTTATTTGGAATTTCTAAAAGAATAGAAAGATATTGGTAACGTGGTTACGCGTTACACGAAAATACGTGCCATGGGACTCCACTCTTAGTTACTAGAGTTCCTAGGAAGCGAACTTCGCTATTGGATGTTGGAACGTCGTACATTGGATATCAACCTCAAAGAATCTTTATAAAAATATGTATATGCATATTTCAATCGTTTAAAAAATTGATTATAGCTCAAGAGAAGGTCCTGATTTAGATAATCAAAAAATAGATTTTTGCGAATTTCTTCAAACAAGTGAATGAAGATATCAATATAGAGTTTTGATCATATTATTTATCACAATTGCCTCTTTACAAAATTATTAAAAAAATAATGAAATTCTATTGAAATTTCTCATGCTGAGCACACTGACTTCTAACTGATAGACATTAATTTTTTCAGATATCTAAATCAGAACCTCCTCTTCTGTCAAATCTACTTAAACAATATAATATATACAACATATATATTATATTGTATATATAATAACAATATATTTTGAATTATTAAACTATCAATATGTACGCCTCAATATTTCAACACAACGGTTTAAAGTTTCCGAGAAATTGATAATATATTTCATTAGCTGGACAAATTAGCTAAAATATACATAATGGAGAATATCAAATGACATTATAGTAAATATGAAAGAACTAAAAAAAGCAGTTTATTTTTTCTCTTTGTCTTTTTCTTTCTCCTTCTCCTTTTCTTTATCTTTATTTTGCTGTAACGATCCAACAGCTTGGCGCACTGCTTCGGAGTGCGGATCTACGCCTGGCAAGTTCTCCAGAACCGATTGCAGAAAAGCAGGATCAGACATAACGGCTGCATAATCTTCCTCCACATCCATTGCTTCTTCTTTTTGCGATTCCAGTTCCTCTGCAAAAGATAACGATAATAATAATTAGAAACTACAAGCGCGATCGCGAGTATGATGAGAATATCAGCAAACTGATCGATTGGGAACTCACGCTGGTCTTGCATAGACATTTGCATAGCGAAAGCAATTTGTTCTTCCTCGGTCATATTAGTGAAATCCGGCACGTTCGCCCTGCAGGGAGCGGTGGTATCAGTGGTGGCGGCTGAATCATCGGCTCCTTCAAGGGACATGGCGAGGGCACGCTTCAGCATGGCCTCCTCGTTGGGAGCTTCCTTTATAGTCTCCGGCTGCTTATTCGCGGTAGTATCATTCGCCTGCGCACGACGCGCTTCGTCCTCTTGCCGTTGCCGTTGTTCTTCCATGGAAACACGCAATGCCTGCAAGTCGTATGTGCAATCATGACTATTAGAAACAAAAAGTAATAAAAAAAAGTAATAGAAAAGTGAAGAAAAAATAGGAGAAAAGTAAAGAGAAAGAAATAATAACAATGTACGTTAGACTACCGACCAATGCAAGTTCAGGATCTTCATTCGGATCGACACCGAATTCGAATGCAGCACTGCCCATACCAGCCGCACCCATCCCATCTTCACCTTGGATAATCGGAGAAGAGATCAGAGCATCTGATAAATGCGGCCCTGGTGGAACGGTAACAAGATGACTTCCAGTACCATCTTTGCCATTCAATGCATTCACAAAAGCAGTCAATACTTCATTATTGACGCTTTCTTCCCCAAAGCTTATGACATCAACATTCACTTTTTCCTTCTTCAAGCGCTTTGCTAATTTCACTAGTTCCTTCTCATCAATGTCTATTGGACTTCCAATAAATGCAACGATACGCATTTTATGATTCTTGCCTTGCCGGTGTTTCAAAGCTAACTGTAAATTTCACAAACCTCGATATAAGTTTATTTAGGGCTAATATCTCTTGATAGTAGCTAAAACTTAAATTTATGTTTAAACTCTGTTTGATCACATCAATTTTACTGTTAAAACAGAATTTAAACTTAAGTTAAAATAATGAAAAATAATATATTGAAAAATCAGCCTTTAAATATTTTCAGAAAATCAAGCTGAAAGAAAAATGTTTTTACATTTATATATACTTACATGAGCAATCCTGATGCCAGTAACAAGGGCCAACTTTCCATTTGGTTGAACCTGATGAAGCTTTGACAATATTCTGCCAACATCACTCGTGAGCGTTGCTAATACCTCAACGCTACAAGGATCAGGAAGCTATTTAGATTTAACTTATCACAAGTTATTTCATATGCAACAGTCAAAAGTACCGGAATTATTAATAATTATGTATTTCCGCATATTTATGAACGTACTTAGCAAGTGTAATAAGACCGACGTTATTCTCCGGATTTGAACGGGTTTTAGAGTGACACACCAAGTTGACAGCATCTTGCTGTGCTTGCAAGCGCGTAGGCACAAAATCTCCATTTCTCATATAATCGCTGTTATCGACACTGCAGAGTTAAAATTACACGTTATTAGCTCAAATATGTAATATTAAAATAATTTTTCTCCGAGATCGCTTAGAGACGAATTTATAGTTTCCATATAAGATTGTCATGTCATTGTCATTACGTTAACCTCAAAACTGCAATCTGACCGGTTACGTGCGTATAGAATGAAACTAAAGTGGAAATTTTCACTGGGATTTCTTATTTATGACAAGCAGATTCTATAGGACTAATAAAAACATCACAAAAAGTGATGTAAAGTTAGAAATTCTTATAAAATGTGAGACTCACCATATCATAGTACTTTCGAGCACCATCTTGGATAAATCGACTGCATTATATTGTTCGATGCGAGACGGCGCGGTACCATTCAATTTTTATCCACTCATGTTTCACATTGCGCGTGCGTGTGTAAAATATATACAATAATTTAAATAACAGTTGGTAAACATGAGTGTTATCACGATTATTAGGTTATAAATGAAGAATAATTATATAATTATGAAAGAGAGAGAAATCAACATTTTTATATATATTTTGTTAATATTAAAACTTTATTTTAATATCTGTGGTTACAAGAAGAATTATGTCGATAAGATCTATTTAAGAAATGTGAATGGTATATATAGACACGTTCATAAACAATGGTATATCTCGCATTTCTTATTTTAACGTAAACTATAGTTGCTGATATTTGGTAATATTTTTATACTATCTTCCTTACACTATTGTTAAATAATATTAACTTTTTAAGGAATATTCTTAATTCTACAACACTAAATATTGATCTACACAACACTACCCGAAGAAAAGTTTTTCATACATAATTATATATAATTATATATAAAATTTATCTATACATAATTAAATATAATTATATATAATTATATAAAATTATATATAATTATATATAATCATACACAATTATGTATAATTATATATATATATATATATATAATTGTATATAATTATATGCATAATTATGTAAAATTATTTTATAATTTTATATAAATTTACATAATTATGTATGAAAAATTTTTTATTGGGTAATTATATATTTTTTAAACATCTACTCTTATTTTTCATGCTCTTATATATTAATACATATTATTCTTATTGGTGCAAACTCTAAAAGAAAAGTCTGAAAGCTATATTTTTGTAATTCTTCTCAATTGTATTTTTGTTCTATAACTCAAATAGATAGAAATTCTGAACTTATAGCTTGCAAACATTTCCCTGGTAAAAATTTTTCTCCCTGGTAAAAATACCGCACAGAAACAAACAAAAACAGATAAGATTTCTATCCGTTCCTAACTATAAGCTATCTGTTATATCTGTAAATACAACATAAAAAATCCGCATTTGCAGCAGTAGATTCTATCCGTTTCTGTCCGCTATTTTTACTAAGGTTAATATATATTTTCTGCAACAGCACAATATGCTGAAAATATCGTTGCTTCAAGAAATATCTATTGATTGCGCGGTAATTTTATTAAAAATATTGTCTTGTTACACTACAATAATTTTAGATTAATTGCGTTCTCTTCCTAAAATAAACAGCAACTTTTTTATGACATGAGAAATATAAATGTTCTTAGAAATTAAACACAAATATTCTTAATTGCAGAATATTCAAATTAGATATTCTATTAATATATGTACAATATTATATGTAAAAGTTTGTATATTTTTAATAGAAAAGGATATTCTTAGAACATTTGTAAAGTTTACTTATTGTGCATGTGCAATGCATTCATATAACTGTAGTATAAGTTTTCGTAATGTTCCAAATAGTAGCATATATTTATTATAACTTATTATATAATGATATGTCGAGATGTGTATAATAATTATACACATCTCTACGAAAAAAAATACTTAAATTGCTTCTCTATAATTTTAAGAGTAAAATCATATGATTAAACTGCATTCTGCGAATATCCTGTGTATATTCATAGCACATTTATAATTGTATCATTCGATTATACTATAATAGTGTTTTCAATACTATCATACAGGTATCCATACAGAACAAATATCCGAAATTCATCTCATGGATATCCTATAAATATCGCGATATCTATAGAATATCCATGAGATATATTTTGGATATTTGTTCTGTATGGGATAGAGTATATAAATATATGTTAAAAGTATTCATAGCACATCTATAAAATATCTATATGCTATCTGCAGCCAAGATGATTTATTTTGTATCGTATGAAAGGCGGCAGAGGGATGTCTTCTTCTGCAACATCATCATGCAACAAATCAGAGAAACATCATCTATAAGAATGTGATTTTATTGTGGGAAGGTTCAAGGAAGAGCCATAAGTAGGTGAGAAAGGTGTTGAAAGTAAAGGTGAGGGTGAAGGTGAAGGTGAAGGTGAAGGTGAAGGTGAAGGCGAGCGCGAAGGGGAAAGCGTCAGCGAACACGGTGACAAATGTACGTCATTTTCAACCCGACTGCTCAACACCAGCGTCGAATACCTCGGCGCTTCCTCGTTCATCAAGACGACTTGTTCATATGTTGGTGGCAAGTCTTCTCGCCATGCGATATCGTCTGACAATTCGTTCTGCGATTTTCTTGCCCGCCTTCTTTCGTCCAACAAACGTAAGACAATTACGGCTGGCCCCAGCAACAACATGATAGTCCCAATGACTACCATAGCGATTGCCATCGTGGCTCCGCTGGCGCTTACGCGGCGCAAAAATCGCGCCTCGTCTTTCCTCCTCCAAAGAGGATCCGACATTGAGACTTGATCGTCAGGCTTTCCTCGAACAGACGTTGAAGTAGATTGCAACGTATTTTTTGTAGAATCAGTATTCTTTCCTGTCGCATGGTGATTTTCTTCCTTTGAAACCGGTTGCGAAACAGATTCTAATGAACTAGCGAGATCCTTTGCGTAAATATTCGCTAAGGCTCCATGGCTGGCAATCTTATCATGAATTACTCCTAGAATTCTGTTGGAAGTGCTTTTACCGTCGGGATCATGCTTGTCTACCTCCAATACGCGATTTCCCATTCGCAAGGAGCTTGACGTTTCCTGCTCAGTCGTTGAGATCTCGAAAGAATTCGGCAAGGACAACGTAGATCGTCGTTCATCCGAGACGATATCGAACTCTTCTCCCAAGTCATTTTTAATTTCGTTTAATCCAGAATGGTTCCAGTTTTGCTGAGCTGAATTTGGATTGAATCGTATGATTACATTTGCGATTTTATCGACAGATTGTCTAATTTCGCTTTCAGTGCCCTTCGCGGACGACACGGTGTTCGATTCGCTCCACTCACTGATCGATGGATCCGCCTGCAAAAAAATAATTCCAATTGATCTAATTGATTTGCTTTTGGGAAGCCGTTCGTGGGAAGTACAAGTAAGTAGGAGGATTCAATGATTTTAGATGGATATGTTTTGGCATATTGTCTTATTAATGACTAGCACAGAATGTAATTTTCAGATACGTCTTCATGAAACAAGAATTTATATCAGCATATAAAAGAAGCTATTTAATGCCATGAAAATTACGGCAATATTGCAATAATATCCTTTTTAATCTACATTTCTTCGTGATTCTGTCATATTAATTTTAGAGTTATTTATTGATTATGTTAGAGTAAAAGAGAAAAGTGTTCGACATATTTTAGAAGTATGCTTAATCGATTGCAAGTGTCGTTTTTTGGATATATCTTTTTATTTCGTATTTATTTTAGTGCTTTGCAGCAATTTTGCATGCATCTCCTCGCTTCTGACGTTATCAATCAAGATGGCCACAGCGAGTTGCCAGGGGCCTTAATGATCAGCACAAATACGTAAAGATGCGTCTTTATGCAACTAGAATTTTATCAGCACATAAAAGAAGTCATTTAGTGCCATGAAAATTGCGGCTTATTTCACCTGGAAGAGAACGCAATTAGCCTGGACTTACTGCAGTAATAAGGAATAAATGCTTCAAGTTAATATTAAAATAGCAGGTAATAAACAGATATTTCTTAACAAGCACATTTTAAACACGTTGTGCTGTTGCAGAAGCATCACAAGGTGTACATTAAATGTTTGCACGCTACGTTCTTAGCATTTCTGTCTATCTGGGAAGTGTTAATTACCTCGGTAACTTGATTATCGTCCAATATTCTTCTCTGCAAGGAACTGACGCCCTTCTGGAGCAGGACGATACTGACTGCGCTCCAGGTTACCAGTTGCAGTGCAATGACTAGTCTCGAGGTCCACCTGTTCGTTCTCGAGGTGACGGGCATTATGATAACTGATCACACTGGACGATTAATCGGAAGTCGAGACGCGATACCGCGACGCACACCTGCTGCACCTCTTCTTACGGTAATTGAGCGGCATTTTAGCGTAGTTTCATATGCACCGTCGAAGAACAGCGGTGTATGTAGGTCGGCACGCGAGATCTACGGAGACAGAATGTCGCAAGGTCCCACCACAAATAATGACATATTAATGATGTTAAGTGGCGTGTTAATGACACGAGAGATATCATTAATACGTCATCGTGTTTGTTGGGATCTAATGATTCAACGTTTATTTAGTAGATAAAAACGATCTAGTAAATATTATACAACAGCAATATTATATTAATGTTATAATTTGCCGCTTAACAACATAATTGTACAGTGGGTTGTGCAAGAGGGTTCGGGCACCAAACCATCCAAATTGAGAATTACCAACGGATTCACGCAATAACAATATAATTAATAACAATTAAGAATACTAAATTATAGCAAATAATAATAATTTATCCTAATAATAATTAATAATGTAATTATTGGACAAGCATGTCAATAATAAGTTTCAATTTTTGCAAGTTCGGTGAGCTCTCAACTTTATTGTATCTAAATTATTTTGCAACCCACTGTACAGCATGCATATTATATTACACTTACATTGTTGAGGGAACTTATAACATTGATATAATGTTATTACATGTTTAAGAGTACTCGCAAGGCTTCTCAAATTATTTGTGTCAAATTTTCTCAAATAAGTTGAGCCGCGCGAATACTTTTTCCGCGCACTGTACGTATCGAAATTGAATACATCGTTATATCACTCTGACACTCGATACTGTCTCGCAACGTGAAGACGTGCGTGTGCGCGCGCACTCGCGCTCGCCACAATTAATTGCAATTTAAAATGTTCAAGAACGATTCGCGAGAACGATGCGCCTCTAATGCCTGTGGAAATGAAGATACTTGTGCGATTTGCGTACTTTATTTTCCGATTTGTGCGCTTTAACTTCGGTCGGTCGTACTTTGCCGCAGAAGCAAAAAAATTGTAGAAATCGAATTTTCGCGATGTTTGTTTCGCAGCACGCGCGCAGAGGACGATAGGACGGTTTCAAACGGTGGAGTGTCGGCAGCGGCGACTTTGAGGGATCGGGAAGCACGTTGGGAACACGTTGGGCAAACTCCGAGAGTCACTGCTACGGCGGTTCTCGCGAGATTGAGGTGAGATACGAGAATTTTTCTATGACTTTACTGTATCGATTAACGTTTGTATGGGCGAAGTAGTCGTCGGCAGTCCTCAGCGCGGCACGATTGCGACTTATTTGCTCGATTATACGCGATGGGTCGTAGCGAGCCTAGCAGCGAATGACTCATTTCCACTACCTTGCACCGACGCCGTAATCCCGTACGCATTATACGTACGAGACGTGACCAGTTTAGCGACCCTGAACGAGAAGCGATGTCTTCGCACGTAAGACGTTACACGGCATTTTTCTGTACTGCTGATCGTCGTTGAGGCCTCGTCCGTTTCTTTAGACGATCGACGAGTTACTGCACCGTTGATTACGTTGCATCATAAGGGAACTTCCTGTTGTTTGAATATTCGCATATAGAACATACGCGATCTACGTCAGCGAAATAAACGTTCATAGAGAAATATGTCGTGTATGTACAGACGGGTGCATTAATTGTTCCGCGAGCTTACATCCGCCGATCAAATGTCCTTGCAACACCTGAAAAGAGTGCCTTCGCGCTTGTTAAGTTAGTATTACGGTTCGATTGTTCTGTTTTCTAAGGCAAATAAAAGAAAATAAGAACGAAAAAAATCGGTGATTTTTGCGCGTCACGAGATCACCTCGCGAATATATGCGCAGCGTGACTAATATTGCACGCGACTGTACGTTACTATTGTCTTAATAACGATAAAAAGATAAAATATATGACAATGTAAGGTTCTAACTTATACTGTGCGTGTGCAAGCACGCGATCGTAAAACGATCAGAATATAGTCGATTAAATATTTCTAACAAATTAAAATTAACTTTTATACCGCCCGCACGAAGCGATCGTAGATAGTGGTACCATCTGGCGTATGATCAAATGAATAACTTAGACGATGGGGAATGTCGATACTGAAAAAACATCGCGTTTAAACATATCCGTTAATTTCCAATGTAATGTATCAACATCGAATGAATAGTCAATAGATCTGTTCTTTTCAGTTGCAATAAGTTAGAGTAAAACAAATATATTTATCTCACTTTAACTTATCGTACCAGTGTAGTAGTGCAGCTGAAAAGATCATATCAAATATATTGAGTAAAGAACCTAGAGAACGATAGAATTTTATTCTATAGTTAACGATAGAACTATAGAATAAAATTCTATCGTTCTATCGTTTTCTATCGTTTTGAATATGGATTTTGGTTCGTGAAATTCATAAATATAAATAGTATTCTATCGTATACAATAAAATACAATAGATAGTGATAGAATTTCTATCGTCAGTTTCTTATATAATACAAATAGAACTCGATTCTTATAGAACCAGATAAAATATGATAGGATTTATATCTCATGCTCGCGGATGCTGACGCTTGCGAACGATAGAGCTTATAGAAAACAATACAAATTGATAGAAATTATATCGTTCTCAATCGTTCTCTATCAACTTTTTTTACCAGGAATGCTATCGTTTTCCCTTATAGAAATATCATACTAAGAATTATTGATAATTACTTATTTTCAGTATTAAAAATACTGGATAATAAGTAATTATCAATGATTCTTAGTATGATATTTCTATAAAGGTTGTATTCACCATTTTAAATAGCTTCCTCTCTTCCTAACTTGTAAATTATATATTAATAGTCATATACTTTTTTATATGAAATAATATTTATTCGATCTTTTATTCACGTTTCTTCTGTTAAAAAGTGTTATATCGAAATTCGTGTAATATCGACATTCGGTAATTTTGAGTATCGATAAACACCTCCATGGCGGAGCATCGACCATGGAGTGCACAATATTGGCGTAAGGGCATGAATCAGAATGGTGTTGGAGAAAAATCTTAAGATTACCTGGAACCAATATTATGAGAGAGAGAGAGAGAGAGAGAGAGAGAGAGAGAGAGAGAGAG